AACATGAACTATGAATTTAGTTTGTTTGACTAAAAGCATTGTGGATACAGTTCTGGCTAGGAAGTCGTCTAGGTAACCGTGGTGAAGGAAGTTGAGAACCGGGTTGAGTATCACTGTGAAAAACCAAAGTGCGATAGGGATTGATGGTATTCATCCTTTAAGTCCAGACTGGTAAATTTGGTGCCTGGTTGGATCAGCTTCTGTACATTTTTCAAAGATTCCATGGTGAATTTGGGAGTTCGACTGATAAATTCCTTGTTGAGATTTTTGTAGATTTATTATCATCCTCATCCCTCGTGTATACAGCTTTTATTGACGATGGATCAATAGACACTGAGTAGATTGATACACGTGATAATTACACCGGATTTAATAATTAATTACAGAGATCAAATACAAATATTTTACACAATGCTCATGTAAATTGCATAGAGAACTGACCATTCAAATCAACATGAAACTTTCAACAGCTTGAACAAAAATGCTTGAAATACTCTTGTATGGTTTACATGTAATAACTTTTGATATTACTTCTGTCTATGTGTGAGAATGTTTTGAATTACCAACTTACTGTGTTTTGTAACAAACGTAGTAAAAGATTTCATTGTTGTAATAACACTGACGTGTGTGTGTATAGCATGTCCTGCTTGACAGTGTTGAATATTCCATCACAAGGGATATCTATTTCAAATCACGAACTATGAAGGATCTTTATAATAATAGAAGTTCTCATGTAATGATTGCATTTTTAAAAGAATTAGATTTGTTATCTGATTTGTAAATAGATAAATATTTTACGATTGGAAGTTTAAATTAATAACTCAGATTGTTAGTGGCTGAGAGGGTACGTAAGTCCCAAACATTTTCAAAGTCAATTTAAACCTACCAGGATTTATAAACGTAGTATTCTTGTTATTTTAATTTTGGCGAACATTTCTTACAATCGCCAGCAGCTGAATGGATGGTGTAAATCCAACTAGGGTCCATGCAGGTATTAAAGGTACTGTAAGTCTTCATGGTCCCTAATATGGTGATCTACCTTCAGTTGTTGGCAATCTATAGCCTGTTTTTATATTGTATTGCTATTAGTTTTAACTTTCCAGGCTAGTTTTAATTCTAATTGTGATATTCTAGTTGTTATACTGTCCTCTGTCGACAGGTTTTATAATATACATATGTTCCATTTCAATGTCAAATATGTTCTCGTCACGATATGGCTTCAATATTGCCGATGTGACGTTAAGTAATAACTCACTCACTCACTCACTATTTGATTCAACCAACTTGTAATCAGCCAGGGCCGTAGCTACCATAATAAAGGAAAGCCCGGGCTTACACATGATTGTTGCTAAAAAGGTTGGGCAAGCCATCAATACTATAGAAATATGAAGCTTTGCAACGTATCGGGCTCACACGAAAAACAAAATGGCTTGCTACGCGCCTGACAGCAGTAGCCAGAGGGATGCTGTAAATACAGCTGGGGTAGCAGGTAGCAGCAGAACCGTTATCCCCCGTGGTCACTATTATTCTGGTCTGACTTTAGTGGCTGGATCTACAGCCCATTTCCATATTGTATTTACAAAGAGACATAGATCAGTGTATGAAATAAGGCCTGTCCGACCGACCGAAACGGGCTAGATTTCTGACGGACGGTCTCTATGTATAGCCAGCCAGCCGGATTGTCTGGTAGAAATTTTAAATAACATCTTCTATACATCTGAGTAAATTCACCATATCTTAAAATTTATTTTTCAAATTGAGCGTTACATTTAGATTTGACAATACATTGAACTATCGTATCGCAAGCTCAAAGCACCGCGTTGGCACATATTATCACCATCACTTTGGTCTGATAACATTTTGAAGTTACCGCTCTGGTGTCTGGCTAGGGGTTCTGGCTTATTTCATACACTGGTTATATTTTAAAGCTTATGTATCATCTTTAAATATATATAGAATATGTATAGAATATACAGGGATAAGTGCACAAACCACAAATAAGAAACATGGTCCTGAAACCTCTGTACCCAACTGGATCTGAAATTTGACATTTTATGATCGATCAAGGAAAAAGTTTTTTAAGAAACCATCATGTAATATTATGCTATTTTCACGCTTCACACCGAGGGATGACAAACGGCTGAAGGAACAGTGCCTGACCAGCTGGGGTCATCTCACCTGGCTGTGCTGAGTTGCACCTGAATGAAAGCTGGTGCTATTCCACCAGCCGCTGTGAAGCAGTCACCCCTCACCATGAAGCGTGAAAATAGCACAATATTACTTGATGGTTTCTTAAACAATCTTTTCCGCGATCGATCATGAAACATCAGATTTCAGATCCTGTTGGGTACAGAGGTTTCAGGACCATGTGTCTTATTTTCTGTGTGCACTTATCCCTGTTTCGAGATATTCAATCTTTTATGGTTCTCATTTGAACCCAAACGGACTATAAATCCAGAATCATCTTCCTGAGCGAGGTACATAAAAGGAGTTAACTCCTGACTCACATTACACGTCAAGCAACAGAGGACCAGCACTGTATGTCATGGTCATACCCTGGGTAATCACTGATAGGTCCGTTGGGTAGAGTTGGATTACTGTTACTGAGAGATGAATGTGAAAATCATTCTCTATACTGTTATCATCACTGCTCTTGTATTATAGTATCAACTTAGTTTATTTTAGAACACAAAAGTTAAATACATTATCATTTCTTTGTTGCTTTTTGGTACCCGTGAAAGTCCGGGTTAGAATTTTGGCCTTCAGTAACCCATGCTTGTCGTAAGAGGCGGCTAACGGGATCGGGTGGTCAGGCTCGCTCACTTGGTTGACACATGTCATCGTATCCCAGTTGCATAGACCGATGCGCATGCTGTTGATCACTGGATTGTCTGGTACAGACTCGATTATTAACAGACCGCCGCCATATAGCTGGAATACTGCTCCGGCGTTAAACAACATTAACATGTTCAACTCAATAAACCCGTGAAGATCCGGGGTAGAATAGGTCTTCAGCAACCCATGCTTGCCACAAAAGGTGACTATGCTTGTCGTAAGAGGCGACTAACGGGAGCGGGTGGTCAGTCTCACTGACTTGGTTGACACATGTCATCGGTTCCCAATTGCGCAGATCGATGCTCATGTTGTTGATCACTGGATTGTCTAGTCCAGACTTGATTATTTACAGACCGCAGCCATATAGCTGGAATATTGCTGAGTGTGGCGTAAAACTAAACTCACTCACTCGTTGTTTTTGGGATGTCACACGTAGTTTTTGCACGGTATGATTCCCGGATATTTTTTTTTGTTTCAGCTATTAATAAATACGTTTCACGATGTATCTCGCTGCCAGTTTAATGAGATTCACTATGTTACTTCCTGCACGCTCTCACAGGTAACGTCATCCGTGAAGATCCGGGTTAGAATTGGTTTGAGCAGACCATGCTTGTCGTAAGAGGCGACTAACCTAAACGGGAGGACACGTGTTATCGTATACCAGTTGCGTAGATCGATGCTTATGTTGTTGATCATTGGATTGTCTGGTCTAGACTCAATTATACACTGCAGTCATTATAGCTTGAATATTGCTGAATGCGGCGTTAAGCAACAAACCAACTAACCAGCCTTTGTGATTAATATTTTCAAAATAGACCAACACTGTATGTAGTCTGTAGTCCTAATATGTACATTGTACTATGTGTACTTTCATTCATGGTCCTTGTATACTTGGCTGCTGGTAAGTGAGCTTTAATGCATGTTGATATGTACAGTTTTATTGGTTTCTAAACAAGCATTAAATCAATTGGTAATAATGTTTAGTAAGTATTAAAACAATTTGGTACCTTTCACAAATAAGACCTGTAAAATGATCAATAAATATAATTAACCTTCTACATTTTAACCCTGACTGGATAGATTCGTCATTGTCATAGAAGCAAATATGTCCGAAAAACGCAATGCACTACCATCCACGTTCATCTTTGCACAACTGTATTTGTTGTACACCATTGCCTCTTCAGAGGGTTCTTAACACCATCAATGACATGAAATGAAAGTTCAAAGTGAAATTATTATTTATTTAGAAATATTTAATTACTCAGTATATTTGTTTTTTCGTTAACACTAAATGGATCATTCTGCTGAACGGCTGAGCTGGTGATGCAATATAAGCTGACAACACATTCCATGTGTTACAGACTTAACCGAACATGATAACATGATTTGACGAGAAGTCGACCAGGAAGAGTGAGTGAGTTTAGTTTTATGCCGCACTCAGCAATATTCCAGCGGCAGCCGTCTGTAAATAATCCAATCTGGACCAGACAACCCAGTGATCAACACAATGAGCATCGATCTACGCAATTGGGGTACAATGACACGTGTCAACCATGTCAGCAAGCCTGACCACACGATCCCGTTAGTCGCCTCTTACGACAAGTATGGGTTACTGAAGATCAATTCTAACCCGGATCTTCGACCAGGAAGAAGTGCAACATGGCTTTGATACACAAGCTTGTGGTAGACAATGAAACTAAGCACACAATCAGCATGTCCGCCGTGGGTTTGCTGCAGGTAGGAACCCAGCTTGGCATACATCATTGTTCGTCAAAACTCAATACAATCTCGTTTCCAACAGCAGGATCAACCCTTGATCACTTGATCAAGACAACCACAGCTGGTATCGTATATCGTACACCATCGAACAGAGGTTTTAAGTGTGTTTCATCGTTGGGGCAGTGGGGCGGCCTAATGGTTAAAGCGTTCGCTCGTTACGCCGAAGACTCGGATTCGATACCCCACTTGGGTACAATGCATGAAGCCCATTTCTGGTGACCCCGTCGTGATATTACTGGAATATTGCTAAACGTGGCCTAAAACTAAATTCAATTAATCAAAATCCCAGTGTTTCATGGTAAGCCTACAACATGAGCGTTAACATTTCCTTGTTTACTTTCATCACTGTTGTGATCGAACGTTGATATACATAAGAAACATCAAAATGTTACTCTAACGCAGTTTAATGAGTGTACGCTGGGTTGGTTATATATTTGTCGTACTTTATATCACCCCCGCGACGTCGTTGAATGAAGAAAACTATGACGCCACCGAGGATGCCGCCCAGAACCAACATTGCGATTGCTACTCCAACAAGTGTACCTTGGAAAGTGGAAAAAAACACGATAATTATTTTATATTGTGGGGTGCAATAACAGAGTGGACAAGTATACACTACTGGAATAAAGTAACTGTAAATTGTTTTATGTTATGCCATTTTGTTAATGTAAAAAGATAAAATCATGATTTCTAGTGTTTTCCTGCTTAACCGTCGACAGGGTAATATCATATGCTGTATGATTAGACTCCAGGCACCGTGACACGCCCTTGAAGAGATGTGGTGTCAAAAGTCATTTTCAAATTCAGCATCGTGTGTGTCCACCATTGACGTGCGTGTCCACCATTGACGTGTGTGTCCACCATTGACGTGTGTGTCCACCATTGACGTGCGTGTGTCCACCGTTGACGTGCGTGTCCACCATTGTTGTGAGTGTCCACCATTGACGTGCGTGTCCACCATTGACGTGCGTGTCCACCAATGACGTGCGTGTCCACCATTGACGTGCGTGTCTACCATTGTCGTGTGTGTCCACCATTGACGTGCGTGTCCACCATTGCAGGTTTGACAGAGACGATGCATAGACGACACTAAGCTATTGAAGTAAGCTTGGGGAATGTTGTTCTGTTTCTGAACAAAGTTGAACGCTTGTCCCAATTCAGCTAATGTCCAGGGCTGATTCTGGGCTTGACGTAATCGGAGAAATAGCTGACCAGGGGACTACCGGGATGTCCTGCTGTTTCAGGAAATCTGTCACAAGACGAGCGACATGTGGACAGGCATTATCTTGCTAAAGCGAGAAGTCTCTGTACTTGAATGAACGGCTGCACATGAGGCTCAGTGATCTCATCCCTGTATCGCAGACCTGTCAGATTACATTGGCACATGGCAAGATCTGTCTGACCATGAGATGTGATTGTGTCCCATACCATAACATAATTGCCACCAAACTGTCGACGCTGAACAACGCAAAGAGCTCTGTCAATGGGACCCTGTGAGCAGATCTACAAAACGACAAGTGCTTGCTCATCCACCACCCAAGGTGCAGATCTCCATAACGGACTTCATCTCGCCTTACGACGTTACCTTCCCTGAGCTCTCTCACTGCTTTATCTAGCATAACGATGTTACTTTCCCTGAGATCTATCACTGCTTCATCTACCCTAACAACGTAACCTTCCCTGAGATCTGTCACTGCTTCATCTTGCCTAACTACGTTTTACATTCCAGGAACTCTATCACTGCTTCATCTCGCTGAACGACGTAACCTTCCCAGAACTCTATCGCTGCTTCATCTTGCCTAACTGTGTTACCTTCCCTGAGATCTATCACTGCTTCATCTTGCACTCTTTCAGTTCTATCGTTATTCCATGCCATCGAACATTGCTTCATCCTGTCCAAATGCATCCCACTGTCAGAGATCTATCACTTATTGCCAGAGAAAGAGCCCAAATAATTGGCTAGGTACTTATTCATTTCTGATATTGCGATTACAAGATACCTGTTGCTGGCGAAGATTTTGACGGTGACGTTTCCCCACACTGCGTCGCCGACGACGACGGTGATGTTTTGTGTCCTCCTAAAATAAATGCATTTTGATGAGATATATAACACTGTATATTAACTGTCATAAGGTAAACCTATAATCCTACTATATGATACTCCAGTGCAATGAATCATGATCATCATAATCATCAGCGATATTTGAACGTTCAAAGCAATGTAATAATATTGATCACACCTTTCTATAATGTTGTGTTAATTTCGTGCAAATATTTAATGATGTTATCTTATCATCATGCCAGCTGATCAATACTGAATTATTCAACGAATGTGTCATGGTTCTGTAAAAAATCTATGGAGAAACGTGCATTTCAAATTGTGTCTACCGTTGTCTGTGACAATTCCGTCCTGGTGTATGTGTTTTACAAATTACCATTATGTTGTTAGTTATTCAATTATAGTTCTTGTAAAGTTTTGTAATTACATTTAGAAATTAAAAGGAGACCCTGAATATTGTTGCACGGTGCTCCAACAGTGTACAGGAACTCTGTAGGGGAGATAACTGAGCTCGTTTTCCGTGGCGATATTGTGGTACAATTTAGTGCGAAAAGGGAGTAAAGCAGTCCAAAGCAACGCGCTGATGAAGAAACAAGCAACGAATGGAAACCGATATTATACATATTTATAATTATTATGCAGGCATATTTTTCCGGGTACCTGATTGGTCTAGAGGCGGTCACGTGACTGTCGTCAGAAAAGCATATTGACTCCAACCAAGGTCCGACCAAAAGTCATATTGACCTCTGTTACTATGACGTCAAGGTATGACGACATTCACGTCAAGCTATGACGTCATTCTATTGTTTACATGTCACAGTATTGTTGACATAACGTTATTGATTTGTAGTGAAAATAAAATTACTTTTCTTGACTAAATGGACATGTTTTGGATTTTAGAAGCTTTTTTTCGGTAATTAAAAAATAAAACAATTATAGACTGGCGAATTCGGTCAATACCAGTTTTTATGGACCCGCGAAAAGCTTCGTCCTCGGTCAATATTGCTTTTCGCGGGTCCATAAAACCAGGTATTGACCTCATCACCAGTCTATAATTATATAATATTGTTTTAATATTGTCAGTGTTGATTACACGTAATAGGGGAAAAGATTTATTATACATTAAATTTGTTTGCTTTTGTAATGAAGACATGAGAGTAAGCTGTTGCAGTAGTGATGTATCGCATTAGGGTATTTTTTTATTATATTGTAACATGATGAACATTCAGGTGTTATAGAGAAGAACTGACTCACCTGTAAACGTTCTTGTGGAGGAGGGTGATGCAGCTAACAACGTAGAGCTTTTGCCTTCACAAGCACATGGAGTAGTTTTCTCCGCCTTGACAGTAGCTGATGTGGATGCAGCTGACGTTGTGGGGCTGTTGCAGACACAAGCACAAGGAGTAGGTTTCTGCACCTTGATAGTAGTTGATGTGGATGTAGCTGTTGTCGATCCAGTCGTGGTTGTCGGTGTCGCTGATGATGAGGGAGCTTCTGTGTGTGCAGTTACATTCGCTGGCCCATCTGTTATTGCTTGAGTTGTACTGGGGCTGGTAGCTTTTTGAGACAATGATGTTGTTAGTGAGAATTGCAAATACTCTTCGGTGATGTTGCTTTTCATACCAAAGTAGTGATATAATGAACTACTGAGCTATTGATACAGCAAATTGACATGATAAAGCAATGACAGAAATAACTAATATGATCATTATAATCTATTTATATAGCGCCGAGTTCCAGCTAGGCTGCTCACGGGCACTTTGTTTTTCCCTCGAACATTGGATGTCTCAACGGCACTTCGTATTGTCAATCTCAACTCCCTGGGGCAGCATACAACTCTTGCAGCCACTAGGCGCACCGAGTTAATGTGGCTTTCCCATCCTTACGAGATACCCATTCACAGCTGGGTGGACTGGGACACGTAGTTGCAGTACATTGTCCAAGTTCACTGCACGTTGCTGTACCCGCATTAGGTGTTTGCACGTATTCATGTGGCCACCATCTGGTCATGTACCAACGGATTCGTGGGTTCTTTTAAGTGCACAGGGTTGTGTACTGTACACTAGGGGTTGTGACAACACTGAAAGAGTCTGCACTCAAAGATGACTCCATGGTTGTTACACCCGGTCACAGGTGGGCTCGATCCCGGCACCTCCAACCTGGTTGGATTACTAGCCTGGCGCCTTAGCCTGCTCACCCACCACGCCCACCACGCCCCAGAGATGTAATTAACCACTAGCAATACGAACAATGTCACCTGACACTGGTATAACGAACCCAGGTCAATGAGTAAAGCCCATTTCTGCTGTCCCCCGCCGTGATATTCCTGGAATATTACTAAAAGCGGCGTAAATCTAAACTCACCAACTCACTTATTACTTTCATAACGTAAGTATACGTACTTTATCATTGTAATTTTACGCCCGAAGTTATGCATGAATTAGTAATATGATTAACGTGCGTCTGAAATAGAATTTTACCTACTCTGAAGACAGGTGTTCGCCGTGAGATCATGTGGAAGGTAGAGACGCCCATTCGGGTAATGCATACCTGAAAAAAACTAGATGGAGTGAATTGTCCGACTTGAACTGATATTTTTTATACATAATATTTATCAGTGCTTCTAATACGACGTCTACGAAATCTACCTAGACGCATCAGAGGTTTCAAATCATTATAACATGCTTTATTGATTAGTACGGTAAACTACGTCTGTATCAAACACGTTCATAATGAACTAACACGTGTAACGAACTGTTTTTTTGGTGCCGGAATCGTGTTGTATGTTTTAGTTTGGACGAACTGTGGTCATAACGAACTAAATTCAGTGGCCCCTTGGTTTTCGTTCTAACCACAGATTACAGTGCAGCAAAAATCTAGACAACTCGAAGCGGTTTGGTAAAGTAAAAATAATTGCACTTGTTCGAGACAAGTGGAATGGCGATAATTGACACCTTCTCTCGGGATGATCGTTATTTCGTAAACAATGAATAAAATGAATTCGACGTCAACAGTATGTAGATTTGGCACTTGTATGTGACATGACGATGAAACCCACTTCTCTCTGTCCAGTGAAGCCAAACAAAACTAACTGTATTTCACGGCTCACTAACTCTGTGTTACGTGGGTATTGTAATATATTAATATTATTTCGTTTCGCTATTTGTCCTAAATTTGTAATGTATATTCCAGGTGCGAATCCCCGTTTCGCTTTTATATGTAATTGGTACGAAACCATCATGGCATGCACAGAACCAGAATAAAAAGGTACCAAGGTACACCCCAGTGTTATCACTGAAATTTCACAGCATCGATACAATGCAAGTATGTGGTACCTTTCAAATACTTTTGCTATCAAATATTGGTGAAAAACGGACGCAGCCAATCCACGGCGGTGTGTAAACAATATAGTCTGGACCAGACGAATTATCAATTATTGGTTACATCGTTAAACGTGGGAACCAAACAATTTATACTGACGGTTGTAAATACTGCACCCATCAAACGGGATAGCTGACACGTGATCCACGTCAAAAAGAGACTCTGTTTGGAGTCTGCACGTGAGATCCGTGCAAAATATGAAGCTGTCACACGAGAAATCCGTTTCTGCTACGCACAACATTGCGCAGTCAGTTACCGAACTTTGCTGAATAGTCAGTTTAGCTTTTTGCGATATGGTATACCCCTTGCTTTCCTTGAAGTCTGAGCTGTAGTCACCTGAATATATAAAAGAAAAAACAACATATTTGTCAATGAAACAAATGTATCATACAAGTGTATGTGGGTGGCTGTTTATGCCGCTATGAGCAATACGCAAATACTATCAGAGCGTGCGTGTGTGTGACTGTAACAGTATTTATGGGAACCTCAAATGATAATTTTCAGGAAGCACGTTGGCTGAGTGGGTTAGACGGCTGACTTTGTGTGCTGGCGATTAAGTGTCTGACTCTGAGTGTATGGGTTCGAATCCCGGATGAGATTAAACCCAACAAAAGTACTATAGAATCTGTACTTTACTGAGAAAGTGCAATCCCAAATATAGCATGCACTACATTTGACCACTTTCTAAAGTATCATTGTGTATTCATTGACTAAGTTTGTAATCCACGTGTTGTAACATTATATCGTACACCAATTTGATTTTTTTTATTTTAATGTCTGAAATGACAGGGTTGCCTTAAATATGTCCCCTTGTGTATATGAGTCGGATTTTAGGATCAATGATAGTAAGACAACGGCAGTGGAATTCGTGGCAGCAAGGACTCGAACGTACGTGAGTAGTGGTTCCAGATAGTGCTTGAAACACCATCAGAGGGGGACACGTCGTTCAGGTCATGTGACTCAAGGACACACGTGCCGTATTTCTGGGCGTAATTAAAAGATGTACATGGTTTTGACGTCGACGCATCTATACAAAGCTGTGCACACGAGTTGACCGTGGGAATGCTGGGGTGTGTCTCTGAGAAGGACTTGCTCCCGATGTACGTGGAATAGAGCACTCCAAACCCCAGTGTATAATCGCCTGAAACGTGTATTGACAATGCTTTGTACCAGTCATCTGAATGTTAAATCGTGAAGCGTTTGTAAGTACACACTATGGAAAAATACACATTGGTACAGGTACATATACTGGTACAGGTACATACACTGGTAGTGATACACGCTGATACAGATACACACTGGTGTAGATCTACATTGGTAGATTTAACTGGACAATCCAAACTTTCATTTCAAAACTTCGTTTGTTTGTCTTTGTTTAAAGCTACAGCAATATTCCAGTTATATGGCGGCGATCTCAAAATATTCGAGTCTGCACAAGACAATCCAGTGATCAACTTCACGTGCATCGGTCTATACAACTGGGATACGATGACATGTGTCTACCAAGTCAGCGAGCCTGTCCACCCGATCCCGTTAGTGGCCTCTTACGACAAGCAGTATGGGTTGCTGAAGATAAACTCTAACCGGGATCTTCAAATACCAAAACTGGGCTATCCTCAGAAACTGATTCCATGTAGTGTAAAGGGGAAAGAAAATTTGAAAGTATATGAATGGACCACTGGCAAGCAATGAAAATGCCAGGTGTTCGCAGACAGGGTCAGCATGTCCTGTAAAGAAGGCAATTGGACCAAGAGACTCACGTGTGTAGACATGCGACGCCTCCACGTGGCTTGCTGTATGACTTGTGTCAGGGAGGTCAGAGGTGAGGGAACACTTGCCACTACTTGGTTGGTACTGAAATGTCCGGCACGAGAAGACCAAGGCAGCTAGACACTGACCAGCGCAGTCTTCTAGTGACAGTCCGGTTAGGACCATATTACCATCCCCTCTGGGAAATGCACGATTTGCAGAAAACGTGAAATGATGCAAGACTGATACTGTAAATAAGAACGGGTTTCTTCATACAAATATATCGTACATTTAAGGTGTACAAATTGTTAGATTACAGAACGGTCCGTTTTGCGAAATCTTTCGCCCGGAATCCAGAATGTAATAGTTATATTACACTGTACAGCTTCTTCAAACATACGTTTAGTCATTATAATATTGCTCTTTTTGGCTTATTGTAAATATCTGGAATTGAAATTTGTTTTTTTAATTGTTCTCACAATTATGTTTTCATATTTATTTTGTAATGTTTTAGTTATGCAATGCTTTAGTTTGAACAATAATGATTTATTTGCATGGTTTGAGACTAACATTTGGATGAATACTGCACTGCTGATGTCTGTTGCCTCCAGATGTCTGTTGTGATGCTCGTTGCGTTAAGAACAGTGCTCTGAAACAGGAGGTGGAATTCTGAATTGAGTGAGTGAGTGAGTGAGTGAGATCACAGCCTGTCAGGGGGAAGTGATACATGTCTTTGAAGTTACAACAAGTCAAACACATGATGCGGCTTGTAACACCTCCGGGGCTCTTGAAACAACTGGAGGCGTAGTGACGTACCAAGAATGGTTGTCTTAGGTCTGGCAGTGCAACTTGCAGGGGAAGGCAGGTTTGCACACAGCTTGCTCAAGGGGAAAGCGGAGAAGTGCGAGGCTGACACTTGGGCAATAGATGGGCTGGATTGGCTGGTCAGTTTGTCGCTTCCTGTCCCAGGCTGGCCTTTCTTCTGGTCTGTCCGCGCTCTTCCCGCTGTCTGTCACCTCTCTCTTCTGTTCTGTCTTTCCTGCCTGCTTTTAAAGGCAGATGAACGAGTAACAATCTGCGTAGGCCTGCAGTCCTCACGGACAGAGTCTGTTTAGCTGGTCATATGTTGCCGACAAGTCGGACAATTGTCCAAGACAAACAGTGTTACAGCCTGCTGATAAACCTAGATGCAAAGTTTCGGAGAATCCGGGATTGGAAGCTGCAATCATGGGGTTCCTCAAACCCAGCGAGGCTACGTACCCTTCGATTTTATGAATTATAGCAAGCAGAATTGAAGGTAGGTATGCAAGGATCAGCCACAACGGTATGAATCATTCATACTGATTTAACTGGAGACCTTGACTGACCCGTGTCCATATGCTGCCAACGGGCACGAGAACCCTTTGGTCGTGGTTTCTAAAACTAGATCCGCATGATCAGGGTGCGATGGGGGTAGCCTAGTGGTTAAAACGTTCGCTCGTCATGACGAAGACTCGGGTTCGATCCCCCACATGGATACAATGTGTGAAGCCCATTTCTGGTTCCCCCGCCGTGATATTGCTGGAATATTGCTAAAAGCGGCCCAAAACTAAACTCACTCACTCACCACATGATCATGGTGGTAGCTTTGTAAACAAAATACCCGGGCTCTGGGGTTTCGCCAACATCATGTGCGTCAATAACGTCATCACTTTGGAAGTCCACCAACAAGTGTCCAGATCAAACTGCAATACTGATTCAACCTGCACCAATATCAATTCACACAAAACCTGTTCCTTCATAAACACACATCAATTAGTCTTCCACCGATGTAACCATCCAAACACCTGAGGTCCACAGTCCAACAAAGCCCATACCGTATTTCCTTGGGGAACACCAAGAACCAGTTGACCGCTTGTCACCGCAGTATCCAGAGCCGTGTAAGCCTGACCAATGCTCACCTCGTGGTCAGCGCCACCTAACAAAACAACAACAAAATTTACCCATGCTAAGTGGAAGTAGACAGCAAAATTTAAGATTGCTAGAATTCAGCGCGCCTAAAATGTCACACTGATGGAATGAAATATGATGATGGGGGTTTTAAGAGTGACCATGAAACCTCACACGGCGTCTGGGATGGCACTGAACAATGATGATTGGTCTTGGAATGGAATCGTACACAAATATATACATAGGGTTGGTAATACATGCTGCAGTGTAAGGGTGGTTTCGCTGATCACTGTGGCAGTTCAAGATGATTCAGCCACGGAACAAATAAGCATTGTTTTCGTAACACATTATTCATTATTCCAGGCAACGTTGGTACAGATCCCCTGTGTAGAGTGGCCTCCCTTGCCAGTGAAGGATTCGCTGGGTGTGCATACAAGTGTCTCTAGGTGTAATTACCCTATTCATGGGTTTCCAAAATGGTAACTCTACAAACTGGTCCATTTTGGAATTTCCTCACATGTTCAGACAAAACCGCCGTATAACCTGCATATTGTTCAAAGCGGGGGGTTCAATCACCTCACTCGTCTCACCGGTGAGAGGGGCCTGATACAGCAATGTCCCAATGATGTACGTATTGTTCTCATCCCAGTGAACTTCCAGATCCTGAATACGTAGAGGGGTCACTCGGGCTGCACCGGCAATGTCCATCCTTGCCACGTCATGCACGACGTTTTCTTGGGCGGGCAAAATAGAACTTGTATTACCTGAAATTGCAAATAAAGCTAACAATTGTTATAGCTTCAGTTACAGTGACGTGATTCGCACCTGTATCTTTAATTCCGGTTCAGACACAATAACACTATGTAAACCATGTATGTATAATCTTCAGACACCTCAACCGGATTAACAGGTCTGGATTTGGGAATAAGGTATGGATACATTAATTGCGAAAAGAAGGTCACCAGAAAGTGAGCCTTCCGGATTAACTGATGTTTAATAAAGTATCACTTTGACAACTGAAGGTGCACAGAAAACGATGTTTCCAGATTAACGGATGTCCGGATTTTGGAACAAAGACTGGACACTTTGACAAATAAAGGCGAGGTTTCTGGACTAATGGATATCCGGTTTGAGGAATGTATACAGAGGAATACAATATACAGTTTATAAACAGATGGTACCTCTACGCCTACTCACGCATTAATGGGGGTTGAGGTTTTGTATGATAGTTGAAATAGTTTCGTCGCTTCAATTGATACTTCCGTTACTAAGCTGGTTCCCGGCTCGCTTTGCACGCGCCAACTTGCGATAAGTGAGATTTCCGGTGACAAGCGTATATTCAAGGACCAGTTCTGGTTCAAAATTGAGCGACCGCCAAATATGACGTTACTAGACCGGACCAAGTGTACAACCAAGCTTGTCTGTCACAGATGTTGACAGTCGTAATAGTTGGCTAATTTGGGGATGATTAGATCGGAAATTTATTATTCCTGAAAGCATTATCGGTTCCTTACTGTCAGTTGACAACCATGAGACCATTCGAAAAGATATGAATCGGTAGTACTAAACAACGTAAGATCTTCGTACCCCATGGTTGATTGGTTCTTTAAAGCAACACTCAAATATATTCTACCTATCATGTAACGTATCGACTAGTACCTTATCGAATCCGGGCCAGACAAACAAGTGATTGATATTATGAGCACTGTCCGGTGCCAACACAGTGCCTTACCATCCGATACATTCCAGTGCCTTTACAACAGCTTATGTTACCAATTCTACCTGGGAAGCCCAAGGGGTGTTTTCATTTACTTCACGGATTTTGTTTTTAATGTCTAACTATTTTGAACATAATGTACTACCTGGGAACGTTATCTGAAAGTTTATATCTTGGTTGTCTCTGTAGCATGACGTGATGTCGAAGGCGTTGATGACATTTGGATGTGTTTGGTCGAAGTCGTAATAGTCGTAGATGACTTCATAACCAGTCTGTAAAGTAAAGAAACATACAATGCTTTCTGACATAGTGTAATATATCACTGGCAGTGTTATTCATTGTAGAACAGTGCAGTCAATTGTTCCTGGTGACTGCAGGATCAGTGGTGTGCTATATTTAGACTCAGAGATCTGGAAGGTACGAGAGCCGCCCGGGAATTTCCAGCACAGTCTGACCAGGATATTATAGAAAGTTCCGGTTACACATTTATGTATAGATTGCTGGCGCGAGCCCAGTGAATAACACATCTATCAGGCCGTGAAGATCCGGGCTAGTATTGGTCTTCGGTAACCCATGCTTGTCGCAACTAAAGGGATGGGATGGTCAGGCTCGCTGACTTGGTTGATACATGTCATCGTATCTCAGTTGTGTAGATGCTCATGATGTTGATTGTCTGGTCCAGGCTCGATTATTTACAGACCGCCGCCATATGGCGGGAATATTCCTAAGTGCGGTGTTAAACAACAAACCAACCAAGCAGACAGTATCTCATATCACAGAAAGACCAGCAGTTCTGTGAAGATCACTCTCATCTTTTGCCAATTTTGGAAGTTTCACCGCATCTGTAGCGAGCTGTATTTCATCTCTGTCTGTATCATCATGATCACTGCTTATATATTATATTGGCATTGAATTTGCACTGGCCCTCTACTTTGCACTTCTATTGTACTTCCTCAGTGTTGAAGTGTAGAGGTTTATGCACTTAAGTTTAGAATCGAATTGTTAACATTTCCTTTGTTGTTGTTGCTTGGTGTCTCACTGAATTCCGGTGAACTTATTGTTTGAACTTATCAACACGTAAAACTATCCTTGAATCATAGGAAGACATACTTCCTTCCATCATAGGTTATTGTTATGACAAACGTGAGCTTCTTTCGAAAAAACTAAATATTTCACTCGAATAACCAGGACGTAGCCAACACGTTTCACAGTCATCGCCACACATGGACTCAGCACATAAGTATTCATATGGAGAACAGAAACTCGATCTGCGTTACGAGCAGATGCTTAAACCACTTCACGACGTACAAGAGTAAGTATCGGCTGAACACCGCGGAGATCCGTGTCGGATCATGCTTGTCATAAGAGCCTCATGCAGACATGGTTTAGAACTGGTCTCCAGCGACTCATGCTTGTCATAAGAACCTCATGCAGACATGGTTTAGAAATGATCTCTAGCCATTCATGCATGTCATAAGAACCTCATGCAGACATGGTTTAGAACTGATCCCCCGCAGCAATACTTGTCATAATATCCCGGATCGTTTGGCCGGCCCGCTGACTTGTTTGCTGCACACAACCGTATCCCAGTTGGGTAGATTCCAATCCCGATGGAATACGTCATGTCGAGGGGATGGGTGGCAAGCAGTAGTCCACCTTGGGTATTAGTGCAGGACAAACCTATTTCCCTCAGTGTGACAATCATGTGTTGATGAAAGGTATAAGACTATCCTTAACATGACGAAGGACTAGTTCCAGCATGATGTGTTTGTTTATGTGTTGATTAACACCGCACTCAGCAATATTCCCGCTATATGACGGCGGTCTGTAAATAACCGAGTCATTACAGTGATTAACAGCCTGAGCATCGGTCTACGCAATTGAGATACGATGACATTTGTCAACCAAGTCAGCAAGCCTGACCACCCGATCCCGTTAATCGCCTCTTACGACAAGCATGGGTTGCTGATGACCAATTTTAACTCGGATCTTCACAGGTTGATTTGAGAAGACGTCGCATATGACGTTCATAACGCCCACCCAGAATTGAGTCAATGTCTCTCCGTCGCTTCGAGAGAATTCACAGAAAAAGCATATATGTGGAACAGATAATGGCACTTTGTCAACATTGACAAACAAACTCATGACAGTTCATGCCTTTTGAGGATTATTTCAACAAATCTATAAACTGGTTTTTAGGCGACAGCAACAGTCATCAGGGGTGTAGCTACCATTATTAAAAAGAGCCCAGGCTTACACATGATTGTTGATAAAATGGTTGGGCAAGCACTGAATACTATCTAAATATACTATTAACACTTTGCTAAGGATCAAATCATGGATTCAACAGAAAACTATGATGTGGGGTCAAATTTGGTTTAAATATCTAAGCTTATTGTAAGCATGGATCCTAGGTTTCAGTATGTCACTGCATCTTGTGGATCCCATACCTGCCATTTACAGGTGTTGTGTACTTGTCAATGACTCGTTCCATGTTTTGCAAAATCGTTGATTGGTGCCATGAAAACCATCTTGATGGTTACTAAAGTTTTTTATCCTTAGCAAAGTGTGAGTATATAAAGCTTTGCAACCTAGCGGGCTTACAAGAAAAACATGGTTTGCTACGCGCCTGGTCATAGTGAGTTGTAAGACAAGCGGCAAGTCTTCATAAGATAAAATGCGTTGTCTCACTAGATCACACAACGCAGATGACAAAAAAATAAACTTACTGTTGGTTCTGTTATGTGTTGTCTGACAGGCGTGTCCGTGCTGTCGGGTTCGGTGCCGATGTCGTTAGCACTATGCCAGTCATGCTGCAGATGTCACAGATATAGAATCAGGATTTTGTAAAAGAAGGTTCTTCCGGTATGTTTCACCCGTAACGAAGAATTATATGATTGAAGCAAGTACTTAAAGAAAAACATTGGACATGTTAAAATGTAAAATGTTGTGAAAGACTAACATATGACGACCTTTCGCTGGCATATTGTTTCCGTATCTTCTGTAAATCCGTTGTGAAATGTTTGTAAACTTACGCTAATGAAATAGATCTCAAATGTGACATTAAGACCACGGAGACTCTCATAGTCCGCCCGAACCGCTGAGTACACATCACAGGCCATTCCACGGACTGTTCGCTGGGAAGGAGAGAAAGACTAATCCATATATCTTCATAATAGATAATACCATTGAAGTCAAAGTTAACCATAGCTATAACTCTCTCTGGGTTGGAGTGAGTGAGTGAGTTAATATTTAACGTCACATCGGCAATACTCTGGGTTGGAAAATATGGCAGACACTTAAAGGAGACATACAGTAAAATATTATAATTGAATCACTTTTAAGGCATATCAAAATTAGCAACGTGAAGACGAAATATTTTTTCAAAAGTCAATATTAATAGCAAAACAAAACCGTTAAAAAACTACTCGCTCCGGAAACTACCGAGAATTAATGAGCAGAGTTCTTATCACGTGACCTGACGTCATAGTAGCCGGCTGACATGCAGCAGATTGCTCTTTACGTATAGAGTTTAGAAGTTCACGAATGTTCTCGATGGCATCGACAGACAATAACACCCACGTGAAGCTTGAATGTGTATGAACGTTCGCTCAGTGGCTTACACATGTTTGTCCATACCAATATGATCCCGTTGTTAGTAAACATAACCAGGACAGTAGCAAAAAAAGCCAGGACCAGCTGTCAGGTGGAGACATCAATATAAAGGTTATGACAGAAATGATAATGCCCTATTTCAGTGCTGGTCCACTGAGATACTATGACGCAGTTTAATGATATTTTGTACATTTGACATGGCGGTAAGATAAATACGTTGGAAACTTCTCCCTCGGGTAATACGGTCTGATGTACGCCTTTTTCTAGCAGTGTCATCATCCCTCGCCTATCGGCTCGGGTGACACTGACACGACCGTATAACCCAAAGGAGATGTTTACAAGGTATTTATCTTACCGCCATGTCAAATGTACAAAATATCATTTTATTTTATTTTGAAAATCGATAAGCTCGCTACCGACTACATGAAATGTAAACAAAATGGCGTCTGCCCCTCGACTGGATTTTAAAATTAAGTGAAACATATTCTCACAAGCTTAGAACTGCTATAAAAATAGTTAATATTGTTTAAGTTGAGTGTGCAAACGATTCAATGTATAAATAGTTTAAATAAAGAAGTGACCGCCTCCGTGGTGTAGTGGTTAGAGCGTCCGCCCGGAGAGCGGAAGGTCGCGGGTTCGATCCCCGACCGCGTCATACCAAAAGACGTTAAAATATGGTACTTGTTGGTCCCTGCCTGGCGCTCGGCATTAATGGGTACAACAAGGACTGGTCGGCTCGGAGTATAATGTGCCTGAGTGGGGTATTCATGCTTCACTGCGGCATGGTATCTCAGTGGGCTAGCACTATAAAAACCAGCTTCAGTCTGGGCTAGTACAAACAGCCGCACATACACATACACACGTATGCACGTCGTCATATGAGCGAAATATTCTCAAGCACGACGTTAAACCCAATTTCACCTCACCATAAATAAAGAAGCTAAAGTCAGTGAAATAAATGTGTACATAGTGAACTGAAAAACAGCTAATCGAACGGTTTTCGAACTCCGTGCATTGCATACGTCATATTATGACGTCATACGATTGTAAGCAATACAGCTTTTCAGCTACCTGCTCGGGTAACACTGCTACAAAGATGCAAACATCAGACCGTATTACCCTCGGGAGAAGCATACAACTTATATTGTTAAAGCGTCATTGACCAATGAAATTAAGGTATTTTACATGAAGGTAAGATAAAGTCCACTGTCTTTGATTAATACACCTAATGCCAAGCCCCAAGTCAGATAACAGGGCATAACCATTGTGGAACGTCTCATGCCACGACGCGACCAGAGCATCGAACCTTCAACCTTCCGCCCTTCAGGCTCATACTCGTACGCGGGTGCTGTTTGAACAGAGCGAAAGAAAGAGCGAGTGGGAAGAAGAAGAGGGGGGCACGAGGAGAATAAAAGCGTAAGTTGGGAGATGAAGTGAAGCATGGCATTATAGGGCTTGTTTAAGCGAGTGAAATAGTCTGCTTTAATTCCCCTTTGAACAATATTCCAGGGTGTCACTTCTCTAGGACAGAACAGTTCTAGGTGGAAATCTCATATTTATTAGGCATTAACAGCTTGAAGTAAACCCTCGGGCACCTGTATGGTGTTGTTAAACCTTGAAATGTAATCGCAAATCTGTTTTAAAACCCATGGTCAAATATTTCTGGCATGTCTGAAGGACATAGCTCTACACAACGAAATGATAATTCGTGTATTGGGGTGCAAGTTTGAAGGAAAGGACTTAAGGAATCGACATAAACGATGGATGGAGCTGTTTAACGCAAGACTTACCTGTTCTGAACAGAGCTTACTTGTCCTGAGCAGAGCTTACCTGTCCTGAACAGAGCATATATGTGCTGGACAGAGCTTACCTGTCCTGAACAGAGCGTACCTGTGCTGAACAGAGCTTACCTGTCCTGGACAGAACTTACCTGTGCTGAACAGAGCTTACATGTCCTGAACAGAGCGTACCAGTGCTGAACAGAGCGTACCTGTGCTGAACAGAACGGACCTGTCCTGAACAGAACTTACCTGTCCTGCACAGAGCTTACCTGTCCTGGACAGAACACACCTGTCCTGAACAGAACTTACCTGTCCTGAACAGAGCGTACCTGTGCTGAACAGAGCTTAACCGTCCTGGACAGAACTTACCTGTCCTGAATAAGCATACGATGAATCCAGGCTGAACATTTCCTCTGGCTGCTTCAGTCTCAGTGATGACGTTGACGCATTTCTAGTTGCATCCCAGGTATTGTTCTGTATGGGAAAGATGTTGCAGCGAGGGAAGTCTTTGTAAATAACATAAGCCACACCTGAAATATAAGCGTCAACATTGTTATAGTTGTTATAGCGTTGTTATAGACAAACAATCTGAAAATTTTAATAAAATTCACATAAAATACCTCAGCATGGAAACGTACTGACTGGAGAAAGAAAATAATTCTGCTGAAATTATACATCTCACTTGGTCAACAGAGTGATTGTATGGTTGTTTTATATAAAAAACAAATGCACTGCATTTTTCTACAAGCAATATTAATATATGCAGTCCTTCATATATGTTTAAACCGTAAGCCATGTTTCACAGTCAGTTCAATCCTTGGAGCCATTAGCCTGTTCATTTAGCCCAGTCGCTCGCTTTTCCCGTCAACGCTCCGTTCCTCACACACGCACGCACGCACGCACGCACACACACACAGAGAGAGAGAGGTCTCTGGGGCATGACTAGACCTGTGTTGAAGTCGTGAATCTCGGTGATAGCGTCCAGGGTGTTGTAGTGGTTGTCTTTGTGTGTGGGGCGGTGGTCCCAGCGGACGAGTTGGAGGTTGTAGTCATACCACACCTATCACACACAATCCGGTTCGTCATTATGATTTCTGCAGAGCAGTCTTAATTATGTTAAAACAGTCAATATCATCGGCAACGGACTGAAATAGAGTATTTTTTTTCACTGGAGATATATATACATTATGAGTTGTTTACTGGTCACGAAGAGGACATGGGTCGATGTACCCTCCATGTCTGTTTATATTCCCTGCCTCCGAACAAACTTAGAGGGTACCTCAACCCATGGCCCCCGAGGGACCAGTGAGTAACGTATTTAACTTACTGAACACCTCAATGTTTAATTCTGAACTTTTTGAAGCACGGGTGTAGGATCATAATAATTAGTTCCAGAGTTAGGCAATTAGCCATTACCGACAACGACAGGCACAAAAAATACATTTAGAGTTATCTCCCTTCCATCGATCTGCATTCGCAAAACATTGGTAATTTCCGTACATCACGCGTGACTCAATTATTCGAGATAGAGAATTACTAAACAGGAAGTACCAAATGAATCCCACAGTTCGGCATTCCCAGCGGGTAACATCGAAAATGTTACGAGCTTGTAAGCTGGGTACATTGAAAATAATAGAAGAACGTTCAGCCAATCAGAAAACGGCATTTATGTGTGAGGAAAGGTAAAATCACTAATCATAACAATTCAAGAAACAGCGTGACTGATTTCTGTTATCTGCTTTCAAAATTTCAAGATGTTTTTAGACACAAGCCTCGCTTTTTTTTCCTTTCAGAAGTTCACGAACACTAGGTGATTTCCATTGAACTCTTCATTAAGCCTGCCCGCTGTTTTTGCCCTTTGCCCAAATAATCTGTTAATAATAGTTAAATAATAGGCAGATAATAGGCAAGTAATAGGCAGATAATAGGCAAGTAATAGGCAGATAATAGGCAAGTAATAGGCAGATAATAGGCAAGTAATAGGCAGATAATCGAAACTGAGACATCTCCGTCCTCGACGTTTTACAAATTGACTTTGATTTGCGGAATTGTACATAGTTTGTTTCTGGAAACTCGACCAGAAAGTTGATTTATTTTCATGATGACCAGGGGCGGTGGGGTAGCCTAGTGGTTAAAGCGTTTGCTCGTCAAGCTGAAGACCCGGGTTTGATTCCCAACATGGATATGTGAAGGATATGGATATGTTGATAGACCGCCGCAAAAAGAATTTTAAAAAATGCTGGGACATTGCTGGGTGCGGCGTTAAACAACGAACAAATCAAAACCAACTCACGTCTTCTTGGTAAACCATCTGTTCGCTGAGATGTGTCACCTCCTGTCTGTACCGGTACCTTTGCCTCAGCTGCGGCATGCGGCGTGTCTGACGGCGGCCTTCACAGGCCACACCTACTGGCGTCTAAACATTACGAGGTACAGTTGGTAAAACCTCAGTATATATTGGCAGATAACTGGATGTGTAAAAGTAATTAAATGTATCATGAGCATTTGTTTCATAGGCGTGATAAAAGAAGGACAACTCTTTTGAACAAACGTGATGAAGAAAGTTCAGGAGTGACGTGCGCGTTGGAAACAAAGGTGTTCAAGAATGAAGTTGTCGTTGGTAAAAGGCACATGTGTTCATGAGTTAAATGGGGCGCCAACTTCACCCCTCTTAATCATTCTTATTTTGGTAGACGAAGCATTTGTTCATGAGTGAAGCTGACTTTGGTAAGAGGCACAGGTGTTCATGAATAAAGTTGGTGTTGGTAAAGGCACAGATGTTCATGAATAAAGTTGGTGTTGGTAAAGGCACAGGTGTTCATGAATAAAGTTGGTGTTGGTAAAGGCACAGATGTTCATGAATAAAGTTGGTGTTGGTAAAGGCACAGATGTTCATGAATAAAGTTGGTGTTGGTAAAAGGCACAGATGTTCATGAATAAAGTTGGTGTTGGTAAAGGCACAGGTGTTCATGAATAAAGTTGGTGTTGGTAAAGGCACAGATGTTCATGAATAAAGTTGGTGTTGGTAAAAGGCACAGGTGTTCATGAATATAGTTGACGCTGGTAAAAGGGAGCAGATATTCTTGACATAGAGTCGTGTTTTTGTCTTTGATAGAAACAGGGATATATCACCGCTGGAACCCTCAAGATAATCAACCAGTGATGACGATAGTTTCCCTCCAGTTTCTTTTACCAAACAAGGGCGGTGGGGTAGACGTGTGGCCAAAGCCTTCGTTCGTCACGCCGTATACGTATATTCCCCATATGAGTAAAATATGTGAAGCCCATTGCTGGTGTAGCCCGCCGTGATGATGCTGGAATACTGCTAAAAGCGGCGAAAAAAGATACTCACTCTCTTCCTATTCCAAACAACTAACCTGAAAAACTGTTATGTCAGTGAGATAGCTCTTGAAGCCAGTATAGTCATATATATGATGAAAGCTCGAATCGGGTCCGGGGCCCAGCAAATTCTGGTAGCCGATGATTTCAGCCCTGACCGGGATTCGAGGAGAACCGTCTGCTGTTGTCCAGTTGGAAACTGGAACAAGTCATAAGGATCTTCTATATACCAGGTGTAACCTTTGAGCCGAGACAGTTGCCTAACATCCTCGATATTCGCCCACTTCGCCTTGGCCAAAATAGACCTCCATGTATCGAACTGTTAATCATATATACTGAACATCCCAATGTTGGGGGCAAGGAAGGCGAGCTGTCGAAGGCGCTGGTCTAGTAATCGAAAGGTGCCGTGATCGAACCCGTGACCGGGATCGAAGTCTTGTGTATAAACCTTGGAGCTAACATTGCTTGCAGGCTCTTAGTATTGTCACAACCCTGTGCAGTACACAACCCTGTGCACTTAAATGAACCCACTCATCCGATGGTAGGTGACCAGATGGTACACACCCGAACACGTGCAGACACCTAGTTGCGGGTATAGTAATGTTCAGTGTCACTGGACAAAATACTGTGACTATGTGTCCCAGTTCACCCAGCTGCAAATAGGTACCCTGAGAGGATGAGGCTATGTGATAACTCGCTGCGCCTAACAGGCTGCATGAGTTGAATACTCCCCAGGGAGTTGCGTTGGTTAAAAATATTTTTTTTTAAATAAACAATGCCAGAAAAAAAGACATCCGTTGATGAAGGGAACACTCCAGCGCCTTGAGCATGTACTAGTTGTGTGGATATGTGCGCTACGTAAATATCCTGTAATGATAATGGGGCTTCCCTGTGTGTTGCTTATTTTTTTTTGCACTGAAAAGCTGTGTTGCACTCTCGAAAAGTATTTCATTCGGCGAATGAATTGATATATCCTTAATCGTTAGCTAAATACAGGTATGTACGTACGTGCGTGCGTGCGTACGTGCGTGTGTTACGGGTGTTGCGTGTGTTTTACCAGAGAAGTAGTAGTCGAGAGTGAAGTTGACGCCGAGAAACCCCCAGTACATGCACGACTGCCAGTGATCACACGAAATGCCCCGAACGGTTTTCTGGCCTTTATATACCTGGAAACATGGGAGTTCAACAGTGTTTTATGGGTCAGAGTGTCAGCTTATGTGATGGGAATGCTCAATGTGACGCTTTCTTGATAATGTGCACTGATCTGAAAACCTGGTTATAATGGTATATCAACGATTTGAGTTTAACGGATTCCAGCAATACAAAGGGAGGCAACTCAACAGTTAGTGTAAGATGAAATTAATAAATAGTTTTCCTATTCATTTTAGAAACACATTTGTTAAATGTGGAAATGATGGGAAAACGTTAATCGGCTTATTGAAATGTAAACTGATGCCAGTAATTGTTTCGGGTACTTGACGGCCAACACAACCATCCTTCTTTATAATCAGTCCTCGTTTATAGAAATTCAAAATGTCAACGCCAGAAACCACCAATCTCAATTGCCTGCCAAATATGTTTTCACGGGCTTAAGTGGCACAATACACTAAACAATTACCTGATCAATGATAACACAAGGATAATCATGTCATGTGTTTGAAATGTCAGAGGATAAGGAGTGAGTGAGTGAGATTAGTTTTACGCCGCACTCAGCGCAATATTCCAGCTATATGGCGGCGGTCTGTAAATAATCGAGTCTGGACCAGACACTCCAGTGATCAACAGCATGCGCATCGATCTGCTTAATTGGGAACCGATGACATGCCCAAGTCAGCGAGCCTGACCACCCGATCCCGTAAGTCGCCTCTTACGACAAGCATAGGTTACTGAAGGTTGATTCTAACCCGGACCTTCACAGGTCAGAGGATAAGGAGTGACATAAACGTATGTTAATATCATAAACTGAAGCCTGGCTTGTTTTTTGTTTTGTTCGTTATAAGATTCTCTTTACATTAATAATATCATAATACCAAATAGGTTATACCAAGAACAATATTTAATATTTATATATTAAATATTTGACAAAAGCATGCGACGCTACTCACGCTGTATTGCTTCTGTGATAAGGTTACCTAGGTTATCTCTTGGTCAGAAGCTAATCGTTTAGAGGACCTGGCTAGCTATTCTCCAAACGTTCGTAGCCCTACGAACTTCTTAAGCCCATTCTTAACACACTGGCTACGATCAAAGTTAAGAATTCTTAGGGCTACGAACGTTTCGAGAATAAGGGCACTGGTTCTTGTTCTTCAACAACATAAGAAACAAACCTCGCCATACTTCTGGGCGAACTTGAGCACAGACGCTGTGGAGTATGTATGTGGCATTGACGACATGCCTGACGAACCCCCGTTCAACACGTCCACAACGTCGGTCGACCTGTTATACACGGTACACTCTGAATCTGTGGTATTGAAAAACAACTGTTATTTCAGATACAAGACTAACGAAACGGTTCTCAGTGTCAATATGGTGATGCGAATGCGCAACTTTGGTGTAGTGCATAACACACACATAACCCGTCTTGTAATTAGGCGGATTCCCGCCGTCATGTTGCTGGAATATTGCTAAAGGCGGCGTAAAAACCAGACTCAGTCAGTCAGTCAGTCTTAGGCAGATCAAGGCTTTTGGAGAAGGGGAGAGGGATGCACAGTCATGAAGTCCAAAGGTTAGGGGGAAATGTTCCTCAGGGAAATGGGGCGGTGGGTTAAAGCGTTTGCTCGTCACGCCGAAGACCCGGGTTAGAATCCCCACATGGGTACAACGTGTGAAGCCCATTTCTGGTGTCCCCCGCCGTGATGTTGCTGGAATATTGCTAAAAGCGGCGTAAAGCCAAACTCAGTCAGTCAGTCCTCAGGGAAATAGCAACAAAGATAGAGATGGTCATATTCACTACACTGTCAAGCTGGTACGAATAACCTCCATACCAATGCTGCCCGTCTTTTAACTTGAGATGTAGTGTGAGGTGGGGGTCAAGAGTTAGCTCCCCTTGTATACCAAAGAAAAAGACCATAGAAGATTTATCAACTCCCTGGATCAGAATGTGATAGAAAGACCCTGTGCCCTGTTGCAGTACCCCGTGGTACTTTCCAGAACCTTCTTACACAATAAATAACACTGCCATACAACGAGAGTCTAAGACGTTTTCCTCTAGGTTCCACTACACTAAATCAGAATCACATGCTCCCTGAGCGAGTAGCGTATGTAAACATCTGAAGAAGTAGAGACATGGGACAGCTGTGATTGGATGAAATAGCGTAAGATTCTTATGGGTTGTTTTTTTCAAAAGCACATCCATCCAGTAAAGTATTAAAACTGACCACAATTGTAAGTATTTAGTGCTGTCATTTTCATCACCATGACTTATGCGTAATGCGTGTACATATCTTTTCCAGTAGGTGACATTTGGTGCGGAATTGGGGTTGATGTGTTCAGCTTCCTGTGCTCGGAAAATTGGCAGGGTAAGTTAGCCGGAATTTGTGTTTTTAGTTTAGTTTAAAGGCCAGACTTTATCCATGTGTACATGGAATAACATTCTCTAAGGGCAGACTACTCACCAAAAATGTGATAACTTTCGTTTGTGTTGGTGTTGAGAATAACAGTTTCGCTATTCCCACCCTGCGTCACCTGCAGGGACGATGCTCCAATGATCACCGATACATACTCGTCGGCCGTCACCGTCATCGACTGGTCAATGATTGTACCTTCCACGTGGACTTCGAACTCCGAGGGCAGAATAGGAAGTCTGGGATCTGTACCAAAATGACGTGATACAGTGTTACAACACAACAGATCTGTGGCATCACGTGATCTGGGCCAAGATTTTCGAAGCTCTCTTAGCGCTAAGATAGTCGTAAGTTAATGTTAATGTGTGGCACTTACGAATCTCTTCAGCGCTAAGAGAGCTTCGAAAATCTGGGCCCTGCTCTGTACGAATCAAGATAATACAGCATTCTTCCAACAATATCACGGCTGGAGACACCACGAACTGGCTTCCAACACTAAAACAGGTTGCTACCTTGACTCGACAGCTTCTGTTGCTGACGGTGGGGCAATCTACGCAAGGGAGAGAACTCTGATTTCCTTAGTACTTCTCCAAAGTGTAATATTTGCTAACAGTGAACCTAAGCAGAAAATAACGTACATGGTTAACGTTAGACAATGCATACCGGGCTGGATATAATGTGACTTTCACTTGATTATTTTAACGTAATCTCTAATAGATACTGTTGGCAAATGAATGATGAAAGTCCAGGTGGGGATGACAGACATACAAGGATATGATGACAGACAGAGGAGTAAGTGTGTGAGAGACACAGGGTAAACCGATGACCAACGGACAAGAGGGTGATGACAGGCATAGGCGGATCCGGTGGGGGTGGGGAGTTTGTGGGATGAAGGCCCACTCCCATTTTGTCCTAAAAGTTTATTAAACGACGCTGAAAACGGCTGAAAATGAACTGTGCACCCACCCCTTTTTCTCAAAAGGCTGTATCCGCCCCTGACTGGCATACGAAGACATAAATGATGACGGGTAGAATGATTACAGACAGACAAGTAGGGGAATGACTGGCATACAGGTGCAATGTGTATTTCACATGCAAATATTTCAAGAAATGTATTTATGTTTAAGTCAGATTGCTGGCATCATTCCAAGGTAAAGCGAATAGGTGAGTTGGGGTCCAGGCAGCTTTGATGGGTGAGTTGGGGACTAGGCAGCTTTGATGGGTGAGTTGGGGACTAGGCAGCTTTGATGGGTGAGTTGGGGAATGGGCAGCTTTGATGGGTGAGTTGGGGTCTAGGCAGCTTTGATGGGTGAGTTGGGGTCTAGGCAGGTTTTGCGCAATATTCCAGTAACATCATTGTGGAGGTCTTCACACATTGTACCCATGAGGGGAATCAAACGTGGGTCCAAGGCATGGTCGCTTTAACTACAAGGCTACCCCACAGCCCACCTAAAGCAGTGTTACAAGTTACACACTCTGTGGGCTTTTTTTCAGTCATCATTTAAAACTGCGTCTGCCTTTCGAGCCAAGCTAGAATGATAATACTCCAATGCTTGTATACAGTGTGGTATGTACTGAGTATACACCTGAGACAGACACTCACCTCCTGGGCTGACAGTTGATTTGGGATCTGTTGAACACATGGGAGTCGGGAATTCTAGCCCTTGGACCTGAGCACCATACAACACTACACACGCAAAGGCCAGAATCTGAAATAGTTCATAATGGTACATGTTTGTAGAGTTGTGTCTGTAGTACCCCGTAGTACCACCCAGAAGTATGTCATTACACATGCATAGGCCAGAATCTGAAATAGTTCATAATGATACATGTTTGTAGAGTTGTGTCTGTAGTACCCCGTAGTACCACCCAGAAGTATGTCATTACACATGCATAGGCCAGAATCTGAAATAGTTCATAATGATACATGTTTGTAGAGTTGTGTCTGTAGTACCCCGTAGTACCACCCAGAAGTATGTCATTACACATGCATAGGCCAGAATCTGAAATAGTTCATAATGATACATGTTTGTAGAGTTGTGTCTGTAGTACCCTGAAATAGTTCATAATGTAGTACCACCCAGAAGTATGTCATTACACATGCATAGGCCAGAATCTGAAATAGTTCATAATGATACATGTTTGTAGAGTTGTGTCTGTAGTACCCCGTAGTACCACCCAGAAGTATGTCATTACACATGCATAGGCCAGAATCTGAAATAGTTCATAGATGTTCGAAGCTCTTTAGCGCTAAGAGTTGTGTAGTAGTATCCCGTAGTACCACCCAGAAGTATGTCATTACATTAATATTAGAATCTTACGTTCTATCTTGTAGAGTTGCTGTAGTACCCCGTAGTACCACCCAGAAGTATGTCATACACATGAAATACATAATGATACATGTTTTTAGAGTTGTGTCTGTAGTACACCCAGTACCACCCAGTAGTACCACCCAGAAGTCTGTTACTACACATGCATAGGTCAGTATCTGAAATAGTTGATGTTACATGTTTGTAGTGGACATGCATAGGTCAATCTGAAACATCTACCATGTTTAGTAGAACCAACCAGTAGTACCACCCAGAAGTCTGTTACTACACATGCATAGGTCAACATCTGAAATAGTTGATGTTACATGTTTGTAGTGGAGTACCCCGTAGTACCACCCAGTAGTACCACCCAGAAGTCTGTCACTACACATGCATAGGTCAGTATATGAAATAGTTGATGTTACATGTTTGTAGTGGAATACCCCGTAGTACCACCCAGAAGTCTGTCACTACACATGCATAGGTCAGTATCTGAAATAGTTGATGTTACATGTTTGTAGTGGAGTACCCCGTAGTACCACCCAGAAGTCTGTCACTACACATGCATAGGTCAGTATCTGAAATAGTTGATGTTACATGTTTGTAGTGGAGTACCCCGTAGTACCACCCAGAAGTCTGTCACTACACATGCATAGGTCAGTATCTGAAATAGTTGATGTTACATGTTTGTAGTGGAGTACCCCGTAGTACCACCCAGAAGTCTGTCACTACACATGCATAGGTCAGTATCTGAAATAGTTGATGTTACATGTTTGTAGAGTAATATACGCGGTTATACAGAACTCAAAGGGACGACTGATTATAGCTCGGTATAACAGTAGTTCGTCATACGCATGTTGAAGAAATCATACAGTTCGTAACATGAGTTTGTTCGTTATATGCGTGTGTGAATGGGTTTTCTAGTGTCGCGTTTGGGCAAACGTGTATCTGTAAGAGGAGGGGGGAGTTGTAAGGGGTGACAGGCATTCGGGTAGAATGATGACAGACAAGCCGGGCGGTGACAGGCATTCGGGTAGAATGATGACAGACAAGTGAAAGGATGACAGATTAGGGTAGAATGGTGACGGACAAGTGAAAGGATGACAGACATTAGGGTAGAATGATGACAGACAAGACGGGCGGTGACAGGCATTCGGGTAGAATGATGACAGACAAATGAAAGGATGCCAGATATTAGGGTAGAATGGTGACGGACAAGTGAAAGGATGACAGACATTGGGGTAGAATGGTGACGGAAATGTGAAAGGATGACAGGCATTAGGGTAGAATGATGACGGACAAGTGACAGGATGACAGACATTAGGGTAGAATGGTGACGGACAAATGAAAGGATGACAGACATTAGGGTAGGATGGTGACGGACACGTGACAGGATGACAGACATTGACGGACAAGACAGGTATGGTGGACAAGGTAACGGACAGGACAGGATGACAGACAAGGGTGAAAAGGATGAAAGGATGATAGACATAAGGGTAGAATGGTGACGGACAAGTTAAAGGATGACAGACATTAGGGAAGAATGGTGACGGCTAAGTTAAAGGGTGACAGACATTAGGGTAGAATGGTGACAGACAAGTGACAGGGTGACAGACATTAGGGTAGAATGGTGGCGGACAAATGAAAGGATGACAGACATTAGGGTAGAATGGTGACGGACAAGTTAAAGGATGACAGACATTAGGGTAGAATAGTGACGGCCAAGTGACAGGATGACAGACATTAGGGTAGAATGGTGACGAACAAGTGAAAGGATGACAGACATTAGGGTAGAATGGTGACGGACAAGTGAAAGGATGACAGACATTAGGGTAGAATGGTGACGGACAAGTAGGGGGTGACAGGCGGACGAGAAAAACTACTGATCCGGATCTGATCTCTGCCATGGATATCTCATGTCAACACCACCACAAGCGATACATTCAAGACAACTGCCCCTGCATATCTTCTATCACGTGGATTCATGAATAGCGAGATTGGCATAACGGATTTAAATAAAGGCATACACAACACTTACCAAAACGTCTACGTGTGATAATAGCAATTCATGTTTAAAAGAAAATAATATGAACACAAGTGTACCTGAAGTAGCTGCATGCTGACTGCCGTTGTCTACGTGATGGCGGACGAGACATACATACGAGATAACAGCCATTGAGATACAGCACACGGTCGTGCCGAATAAACTGATACGGTGTTACAGATGCAGTAATTAGACATACACTGTCGAGTCGAGATCTCCAGCTTTCATTGAAACTTGTGTTATGATTATTAAAATCTGTTATATGACACGACCTCATGCCGTTCTTAATAGCGACAGTACGATGTGGGCCTGCAGGTTACGTGTATGGAAATATATTAGAGAAAGAATAAGGTTAGGAAAAAGGCCAACCTCGCCTAGTAGACCTTTCAAAAAATGAGAATGTTTCATAGAAATCGGAATTGTTTATGTCTTGGTTTTTTTTCGTGTGTTTGTGCGTATGTTTTTTTTATTTGTTGATGTTTTCGTGAGTTTTGTTTTTTTGTTGTTGTTTTTCTCGATATTAACGTGAGTGGGATCTTTATCTTATGTTGAAATGTATTACTATTTGGGTTAAATCTCAGCACTTCGATGGCTTGTAATCGTTATCCGCAGCATGGTTTGATATCGCTGTCCGACTAATAGATAACTCGATATTTACACCGTTCCGAAAGATGTCGTCCACAGCACGTGTCGTGAACAAGTTATCCATACAACTTTATGCATCAGTGTTTTAGGTTATCGTTAAGTTAAACGCTGCAAAATCGTACATTCAGATGGTTAATAATAATAATAATAATAATAATAATGTGTCCATTTATATAGCGCCAAACTCCACACTAGTTATGCTCATAGCGCTAACAATCAAGGCCATTATTACCCCGGATAACCCAAGCTGCCTGTTAGGCGCTAGAAGGTTATAGTCATATGACTTTTTTCCACCGGGTACCCATTTTCCTGCTGGGTGAACAGAGACAATTTTGAACAAACTCACTTGCCTAAAGTGAGACCATATGTGTCACATGTGCTTCGTTGTGGGGCAGGACTCAAGTCCTAGAAACTCTCACGAGTCAAGCTGCCAAACACGGTCACCCATCCAAGGACTCTCCGAGCTCGACGCTGCTTAACTTCACCGATTTGTGACCTGAGCTTTAAGCACAGGACCACGCGCCACCACAAATGACAAAACAGAGTTGACAATTTATTCATTTAAACGTGAAAATTTGAGAAAAGGGTACACATTTGTCCCGAAGTCCCGGTACTGATCGAATTTAGCTAAAAAACCAAAAACATTTATGAGATTTTCTGCCGCACCAAGCATTGACTGAAATCCTGTTGACAGATCGTCTTTAATCTCACAGGAGTGAGTATGGTCTTTTTGCCAGTAATATCACGGAGGCGAAACCCGAATTGGGCTTCACGCACTGTTCCGGCGTGAGGAATCGAACCCTAGTCTTCGATGTGACGAGTGAACGCTCAACCACAATACTACCTCACCATTCTAGGGGAAGTTAGTGTGGTACTGGAGTGACAAGTATACAGATGAGCGATGAGAGAGAACGGTGAGGTGTAGCGTTGTCATCCATGAATATCTGTCAACTGGCAAGTAGATGGTTATGATAATGTGGCACGACGGCAGTATCCAGTACTTCTTGTCGTTAACGTGGACATAGTGTTATCGACTGCCCTAGGTAATGTAATGAGATGCAACTTGCAGTCATACGAAAAGCAGCCCCACGCCATCAATGTCTGTGAGATAGGGGCGTTTCATTGGTCAGCGGCCTAAGACCAAGAGCCTGCAGCCGCCTCCTTATGGATCTGGAGAGTTGGACAGTTATTCGGTATTGCTCATTGCACCATGTCAGACAATTTAGGATCATTGGCCATTGGTCTCCGAGGTCTGGACGATACATTTTTTCACCGATGACCACATGCTTCCTCACTTTTCGACTAATAAAACCGTTTGGTTAATGTTAAAGCTATCACCGATGTTGCGACAGAAGTTCCCTGCGTCGTGCATGCCAGTATCTTGCTGTTGTGTAGTTTCTGAAAGCATACGTCTTGCCATGTTAACACAAGTTACTTTGTCTTTTTTTAAACTTTAGAAACCTTTATTGCAAACAGAATATCGTTTTGCTATTTTGAGTAATCTGTACACATAGAAAGTTAGAAACAAGTTTTTATTAAAAGTAATTTTTCATGATCCGCGACAATGTTTCTATACACCGGATGGGTCTCTTGTTACTTGTCCTTCCACTGGCAGTCTAAATCCTTACTAAGTTAAACCCTGAAGTGCCATGCATCCTCGCAGCAAGTGAACATATAGCTCTTGAGATATTAAGTGAGGCGCGTGTGTTACATGCATTCCAATATGTTAGGGTATGATCGCCTGTTTGGACCAGCTATTTAAGACTTGCCTTTGGATTCATGTACTGCTTAACCATGTGTATATATTCAACAGCCAGAGATACTGACCGTCACCATTGCAACAGATAACGGACAACCGCATTTCTGACCTGTTTGTTTATAGCAATGGCGTTAAGTAGAAATTTGGTTTGAGGTATAAAATATATAAACAAATATGAATACTACTCATTAGCGGGGATTCGGTATTGGCACGGCAAGTCATGCTTACACACCCATGCAATCAACTGATCTGTCCCTGGCTGTCCCTTTCTCTGCACTCCTCCCACGTAACAAACAGTGAACTGTGTCAATATTTTAATAATAGATTGTCAAACAACTATTTTATTTTAAGGACAAAAATTCTGCAAAAACCTCACAGAGTGGGTATGATGTTTTGATTATGATCAGCGTTTCATTGAGTATTTTATGTTTATTAGTTTTCGAGTTATATTGCAATTCATCGGTCCGCTTTTGAGCCAAACGGACTATAGTTATAGTTTTGATTTTCCGCATGTGTGCAGTGTGTGAAGTCTGTTCAGGGTGTCCTCAACTTAATCAGGAATAATGAAAACCATCGACGTGAAAACGTGACTATTGTTTGTTTTTTTCATTTTCTCGTTTGTTGGTTCACCATCCCAACCATTCACCGACCCAATCACTACCAGTTGCAAGTACACAGTGCCACGTCAATCATTCAATCAGCCAGTCAACCCTCAACCACTCTTTCACTCAATCAACCATCTTCTACCCAGGCACCTAGTCCCTCAGACATTCTAACAGAAATCCAGCTATTCACTTAATAATTCCCCGCACGTTCACCACCCACCTACTCATGCAATCCTTGAAGGCAACAGTGTATAGCGTGATCTGATAACCTCAAGGCTGATAGACAATGTGGTATGTGTGTGGTGTTATCACCGCCAGTGTTCAATGCCAAACAATGCTTGTTATCATAGGACACGACACCGCTAATCAGGTGGACATTGTCCCATCATCCATGGACTGAGAACCTCCCCTCCACTCTCATTATGAAGGTAAGTTTCTCCAAAAATACAATTAAAATGCCATATTGTATGTTTTCCTGCTAATGTTAACATGACGTAAAAAGCTACACATATGGTGCGGATGGTATGCACAGAACATTAAACACAACTAAAACGTCTACATGCAGGTATTGAAGCTTGTCGTAACGATATTATCACTCATATATGTTAACCATACCATAATAGGACTTCCGGAGAAAGTTTAATGTAGGACACTTTACTCTTATTGTCATTGGAATGAAAGGCTCCGTTCATTTCGATTCCTTGTAATATAGTTATGTTGCCTGTTTTCTACAAGTCCCGATTGTGAGGCGTACATAAAAAAATAACGAATTGTGTTTTTTGCTATTAAGGTTTTGTATTTATGATGTATAATAATCAAATATTACGAAAGAGATATTATGAGTAAAACCCAAAATACATTTCAGGGTATTTTCAGCATAAATTGACGCCATTGTTGATCTTATACACATTGCATATCTATGTTGATATAATATTTATTGCGTACCTAGGTTGATATGAAACATATTGCGTAGACCGCCTCCGTGGTGTAGTGGTTAGAGCGTCCACACGGAGTGCGGAAGGTCGCGGGTTCGATACCTTGATTGGTATAATACATATTGCATATCTAGGTTGATATGATACTTTTTGCATACCTGGGTTGGTATAATACATATTGCATACCTATGTTGATGTAATAAACATTGCATACTTCTTACCTTGGTTGTATAATACATATTGCATATGATGTAAAAACATTGCTTACCTTTGTTGATATAATACATATTGAATATCTATGTTGGTATATTACATATGACACAAGCATGTAGATACAAAATAGATTGTAACATTCGTTGAAATAACATGTCGCACACCGGTGACAATATGACATATATTGAATACATATGGCACACCTATGTTGATAGAAAACACATAAAGGGATAACCAAATGTGTCCCCTGCTATCAAAGCTTTGCATTCGTGATGAATAACAATGACAAATTGCAAAAGAGATATTGTGCGATCTGATGTATTTTCACGTTATGAGCATAAATTGCAAACATTTGCATAATACATTATATATTGCATATCTCTGTTAATATATACTTGAATATCGATATCCTTCATATTGCATACCCATCTTGATGTCATACACGTTGCTTACCCTTACTGATGTGATAAATACATAATATTGCATACCTTTGTTGATACTTGTTGGTCCTTGCCTGGCGCTCGGCATTAATGGGTACAACAAGGACTGGTCGGCTCGGAGTCAGTATAATGTGTCTGAGTGGGGTATGCTTCACTGCGGCATGGTATCTCAGTGGGCTAGTACTATAAAACCAGCTTCAGTCTTGGCTAGTACAAGCAGCCGCACATACACACGCATGCACATCGTCATATGAGCGAAATATTCTCAAGCACGACGTTAAACCCAATTTCACCTCACCTCACCTCACCTCACCTCACCTCACCTTTGTTGATACTGTATGTTGGTTACTTATTTGATACAACATTGTTGCGTGTCTATTTTCACGTTGAAATAATATGATACACTGAAATATAGTGAAAAGAGAAGCTGGAGTGAAATCCACAAAGAACATACTGTTGTTCAATCAATTGTATTTCTAACTTAAACTCAGTTTCCGAGCCAAAGCAAAACACTCCAAAGGAATGACAATGGCAGAGCAACGATTACAGGCTACATGCACCAATGACAGTACAAATACAACGACCTTGTAATATAAACTTAGTATTTATATCAATAAAGAGTGAGAATAACATTTGAGACCAGTTTTGACTCCCAATATAAATTAAAACTTGCACATCACGGCCATCTTCTGAATCACAACAATAATGTAATCGAAATACAAAACTGTTCCCTAATGACATTGGTTCATCTCCATATATATTGTATATCTATGTTCATATAATACACATTGCTTCTTATATAATGTATATTGCATACCGTCTTTACGTTATACATTCTGCGTATCTTTTATGTCTTATTACATGTGCATACCTAACCGATGTCGATAGAATTCATGTTTAGTGTTTACCCCGCTACTATGGTCGCGCTTTTCTTAGAACATTTTCGTGGACTAGTTTGCTCCTTTGTTTCAGGCTGTGAGCTGCCCAATACTGCTGCTGTTTCTTGCTCAGGCGCTGGGAGATGATGGGGTGCAGTACCCACACCCTATGTGCACAACAGACCCAAAAGCCACCGTGGGACCAAATGGTGAGTCGGTGAGTCAGTGAGTCAGCTAGTGGGTGAGTCGGTCAGAAGGTTCAGAATTAACATGAACACGGACAAAATGCATTTCAATATCCGTATGAAATCTACGTTAAAGTTCTGTTTCATTATTTCGACTGTATGACGAACAAACAGTGTTGATATGAGGTGTTCACGTGAGCCTCACGTGAAAGTAACACGGTATAACTACCCGTGAATGAATTGATCTTCAGTAACCCATGCTTGTCGTATGAGGCGACTAACGGGATCGGGTGGTCAGGCTTGCTGGCTTGGTTGACACATGTCATTATATCCCAATGGCGCAGATCGATGCTCATGTTGTTGATCACTGCATTGTCTGGTCCAGACTCGATCATTTACAGACCGCCGCCATATAGCTGGAATATTGCTGAGTGCAGCGTAAAACGTAACTCACTCACTACCGTTCAAAGTGGCCAGACTCCTCTCACACTTCCGAACACTTTCAAACTTAACAGTTAGTGACAATTGTAAACCAAAAGTCACTGTGTTCTATAATCTGATTGGTTGAAAAACGTGATCAAATGGTATTCGATTCCCGGAAATTCGCTGCGTATTGATACATACAAACATCGCTCACACCATTGTATTGTTACGTCGTCAGCTGTGATGACGTCATTAAATCATATTGTGACGTTAAGTCCGAATGACGTCACAAATGAGCAGGTCAAGATGCTACCATGGGAGACAGCCGAAACGGCCGGCTGATGACATTTCACTGCTGTACCCGTACTCGATGTCAATGAGTGCAGACACAAAAACGTGTATGGACCTTTTGTGTTTACAATGTCGATAAACATCATGTGTTGGCCAATTTCCGGGTGTTATTGCGTATTTGAAGCACGGGAATATTTCATTTGAAACATCCGGCTATTAATAGTGAGAGGGTGCTGAGGTTCACTGAGATGCAGCTAAGGTCCCGGCCAGTATGTTTCTTGTGTCAACACTACACCCGTGGGTTTCACCAACTGGTAAATATCTGAAACAATTAACTTTGAGCTGTCCTCCTCCTCAATTTAACACCCACGGAGTGATATAAATGGAATGGTTTTCTAGGCGGATTCAAACACATATCACTCACTCACTCCAGATCCAAGGCTTCCCAAAGTGATGCCCCCTGAATACCAAGTACATATTGAAGCAGCCATTATAGACAAGTTCAAGACAGTAGTCGCAGATGAATACGTCTCCACTTCGGACGGTGTTTCTTCAATGACAATCACGGAGGGGACAACGTAGAAACCATTATCCTCAACGCCAACACAAACGAGAGCTACCATATCATAAGTGAGTCACGTTTTATTCAGTTGGTGTCAGTATGGCAGGCACCGTCATGGTCAACGTCATAATGACGTTTCGAGTCTGTTTGTCTCTCTGTCTGTCTGTGTCTTTAAACGTGTATTACCTTTGGGAGATGAACAGTAGTTTAATAGTTATATACAAAATGACGCCTCAATCACTCCGCTACGTTAACCATGACAGATGACGAGTGCACGGTGTACAACCAGTCGATGGATCCGGATGACGTCTTTTTAAGGGGTCGATCAGGGAAGTCGGCCATGCCTCATAGTTATTCGACCGGATCTGTCCTCCGGTTCGCACAGAGGTACGGAGAGGTCGGTATGAACGTTTTTTGCTCTCATGTCTGAAACTTTCCCTGGTGTCTAGCCATTGCATGCATAGAATCCCATGACTTTGACATGCATCACACATACTGAGTAATTCAAACATAAAATTCTGTATTTTAAGTTTGAAAAGAGACGTTTTTGGCAGTCAGTCCTGTTTAAGGTTTTTTCCAGACCTTTCGGAAAATGAACGATATGATCAATTCATTTTCCTCGGTACCGAAGTATTGTTCTATTGCAACACCGTCCTTTGTTTTCTTTTATTATTACTTTCCCTTAATAGACAGTCACGAATGTGGACTTTAATTCACCAAGAATATAACCATTTAGATAAATGTGTTCCTGCTTTTTAGACTCATATGATTAAATTCCGTTATCACTTTACAGTGTATTTCATGATGAACGTGATTGTACTAAAATATTGTTTAGAAGAGTAAGCGAGCATGTATCCACCTGTGACGATCCGGCTTAGAACTGGTGTTCTACAACCCAGGCTGGTCGTAAAAGGCGACTAACGGGGTCCTGTTGTCAGGCTCGTTGACCTGATTGACATGTGTCATCGTATTCCAGTTGCGTTGATCGATGCTCATGATGTCGATCACTGGATTGTCTGGTCCAGACTCGATTATTCACAGACTGCCGCCATAGCTTGAAACAAACAAACCAATTATACTCCCTCGATGTGAAAGGCCCCACACAAACCTGAGCAGCATTGAATGTAACTGGGGTTCTCCAGGAGGTCGACACAAGTTGTTGCGCAGAGTTTACTCCCTTTGTTGTGTCAGGATAATGAAAATGAATAACTTCCTATCATCCTTCTATTGGCACTATACCAAACTGGTAAAGGCAGTTCAATTTACTAACTCACTCTTTCAGAGATATATGAATCGGTCTACTGTCCGGGGTATTCTGTGTGACCACTGGCAGTCTTGCATGTACTGGGGCTACCTCGGTGTCAACTTCACCCTCGACTACTACTTCACTGGTAAGTACATGTGTTTCATTTTTTTCATTTCAGATTTTTAATAAATACCGGTATCGTTGAGGGGTAGTGTATGAACAAGTGCAAGTCAGGCATGTCATCTAACGTTTAGAAAGGTATGGCATGCATGGCCGCCAACGATAAACCCAATCAATGCCCTGTATTTTCCATGAGAAGATCGGGGTTCTATTCCCAACCGCGTTTTACCAAAGGAGGATGCTTGATCTAACCCTGTAATTAGAGGAATGGAGCATGAACTCGTCAATTCGGAGTCATTATAATATCAATACACGTCGCCAAAGAAGTACAATAAACTTGCTAGACGGTGAACCCGATTTCACCTCATCCCAGCTCTGTCAGCAACGTTGCTGGTGTTCCGTGCAAAGAAGACATTCAACATCTATGTTAACTTACTGCCTCACTAATATGCATCTGATCATCACATCGAACTAGGAGACAAAGACTTTGGATTCCTTCAATCAAATTACCCGAGGTACCAACCAAACATCTCTTTGACATGATGTCATTAACTTTTTTATGATGATTGATTCCAGTTCAGAGTGAGTGAGTCACATCGGCAATATTTCATCCATATCGTGACTAAAGCAAGTTATAAATATATCAACAATTTAAGTGAAATTATAAACTCTGCCGACGAAGGACAGTAAAATAACTAGATTATCACAGATATAGATATAAAACTAGTAACTAAATCTAAAACATTTGAACTATACAAGACGATACAATATAAAAAACAGGCTATTGATCACCAACAACTGAGGATAGATCACCATACTAGGGACCATGGGGACTTACAGTACATTTGCTTCCTGCATGGACCCTAGCTGGATTTACACCACCCCTTCAGCCATTGGCGACAGAAGAGAAACCTAGCCATAAATTAAAAGTACACATATTCTACGATTAAAAACCTGGTACACTTAAATTGACTAAATGTTTTGGGACTTCTAGTTCAGAACTGGACAACAGCGGATAATTCTCCCCAGATCCCAGTCAGGGCTGAAATCATCGGCTACCAGAACCTGCTGGGCCCCGGACCAGATTCGAGCTTCCATCACATCTATGACTATACTGGTTACAGGAGCGAGATTCAAGACCAGACTAAGTTAGAAGTAAGTATTTCGCTTGAAAGCTTACAATTTGAAAATTTCTATGGGCACAGCTTTCGATGGAAGATTTGGCCAGTCACGACAAAGGTCCGAGAGGCCCAAATGTTTTATCTGCCACCCGTCAATATTAAAGATATATAGTTCGTCACAACCGAGTTTCATAAACATTATCAATACCGATGACCATTTTAAAGTCGTGTATCTGCTCCCTCCGACCTCGACTGAACAACAGATGAGTGGCATGTCCACATATCCCCATGTAATATCCACACACACATCTCCGTGTTTTTGTGTTCCTTCGACGCACTGACTTCTGATATTAAAATGCTATGAAATGGATATGATCTAGTCTGAGATGCATCTCCGATTATCTATTCTGTTACCTTAGATACCCCGCCAAATCCATTTGCTACCATAGCTTCCTTCAAAATCCAATCCGATATTCCAAAGATATTTTGCTGAAAGGGTTCAGAGATGTTGACATCAAATACGGAACTACAATGAATTATTCTTGGTTAGAACTCAGCATCTCTATACGTGCTATCTGTAACATCGACATATCCCCGGACTATCGCATGGAACGTGATATGGAGGAATGGAACTGCCTGGACAATCCATGATGGATGAGATATAGCGATGGGTGTGAGGCTGCTGTACTTCTGTGTTGTAGACACCCAATGGAATTGCGTGCAGAGGACGTAAAGGGACCCGCCAGATGCCCCAACTACAGGCTCAGTATCAATATAGGGAAGAGATAACAGACGTCATGGATAGTACGGTCACGCAAGTAGACGCAAGTATTTTAACACCATTTATACAATAATAATATGGTCACTTTTATAGCGTTTGGCCCCGTTCCTCAAAGCGATCGTAGCGCTACGACAGTCGTAAGTCTATGTTAAAGTATGGGAGTTACGATCACCTTAGCGCTAAGATCGCTTTGAGGAACGGGGCCCTGAATTCCACACCATGATGGACATTATTACCTGGGAAAACCCTAGCTGCCTGTGAGGCGCTAGAAGGTTCATAGTCATGAGACTTATGGGTACCCACCGGGTACCCATTTTCTACCGGGTGATCAGAGGCAGTTTTGTACAATACGTGTAAGCCACATATATTCTCAACACGTAATTTCCTGGTTCACTCTGATGGCGAATGTTCTTCATTTCAAAAGGCAGTACATATTATAAGCGTATGTTAACATAGTGGGCATATTGGTAGTTGTGAAAATGTTCTAACATTGTTCATATGAAATTATACTGTTCTGTCACTGCTTGGAACGCAAGTTAGGCCATAAAAAATACAGTTTCTCTTCTCAGTTTCTCCAAATTTGCAATCTAAGGATGAAAAAGTTAATGCTAAAATTAGGGACCCATATAATGTTTATGTGAGTATGTTTTAACAGCAGGTAGGTAAAGAAATGCTTCATTCGATACTGTATATTGCCTTAGGTGTATTACGACTACAACTACCAGCTGGTCAGGTTCGACTCCCGTCCCGGTTTAGTGTTCCCTTACTACAGCCCCGATGCCAACGTGGAAATCCATGACTACAATACTGGTAAGACAAGCTTTAGGGGGCTTTGAAATACTTGTGGGTGGGTAGGTAGGTAATGTATGGTGGCTGATAAGGTCCATCGCTTTCTACGCCTTAAAATTAGACCGCGAGAAAGCGATATCACGTGACGAGAAAATGATACCGCGAGACGAGAAAGGGATATCACTAGACGAGAAAGCGGTAACGCGAGACGAGAAAGCGATAACACGAGACGAGAAAGGGATATCACGAGACGAGAAAGCGGTAACGCGAGACGAGAAAGCGATAACGCGAGACGAGAAAGGGATATCACGAGACGAGAAAGCTGTAACGCTAGACGAGAAAGCGATAACGCGAGACGAGCAAATGATAAAGCGAGACGATATAGCGATAGCAGGAGACGAGAAAGCAATATTCTGGACCATATCCATGCATGACGATTAGGGCTGACTAAAATGATCGATGATCGGAAATATCGTCGATAAGAAAGGTTATCAATGATTATCGATATGAAAATTGTGTAATCGATATTATCGTACATAAACGTTTGTGATAGAAAAACGTTTGAATTTTCTTACACAGTATACACATTTAGGACTCTATTCATAGTCTGCATCTTAATTTGGCTCAGGGCGTTGTTTTGTCAATCATCCATGCAACAAAATCACCACTCACCTGCGATGTGAAATATGATATTCATTTCTTTGAAACAGTTTTGGCATTTTTGCTCAAAGTTATGTCTCCGATACTTATCGATAAAGTTATCCATCTCTGTGATCTATATCGGTAGCCAACCCTAATGACGAAGTCATAGGGTTTTCTGCGGGGGATAACTTTAATAGCTGGGTACACCCATATACATGTATTCATATGGGATTGCAACACAGAGAAGGATAAATAACGATGGGTGATGTAAATCATTTATCCTCTTTCCTCGTCTCTGGATACGCCCCTTCTCCTCTTTAGATACGTCTCTCCCGCTCTCTGCTCTTCTCTGGATACGTCTCTCATCCTCTCTGGATACGTCCCTCTTCACCTTTGGATACGTCTCTCCATGGATACGTCTCTCCTCATCGCTTGATACGTCCCTCTCTGGATACGTCCCTCCATGGATACGTCTCTCCTCCTTTCTGGATACGTATCTACTCTCTGGATACGTCCATCTATAGATACGTCTCTCCTCCTCTTTTGATACGTCTCTCCTCCTCTCTGGATACGTCTCCCCTCCTTTTTGGATACGTCTCTCCTCCTTTCTGGATACGTATCTCCTCTCTGGATACGTCCCTCTATAGATACGTCTCTCCTGCTTTCTGGATGCGTCCCTCCATGGATACGAGACTCCTCCTCCTTTGATACGTCTCTCCTCTTCTTTGGATACGTCTCTCCTCTTCTTTGGATACGTTTATCCTCCTTTTCGATGCGTCTCTCCTCCTCTCTGGATACGTCCCTCCATGGATACGTCTCTCCTCTCTGGATAGGTCTCTCTTCCTCTCTGGATACGTTCTGCCTCCTTTCTCCTCTCTGGATAAGTCCCGCTTCCTCTCCGGATAGGCCTCTCCTCCTTTCTGGATACACACCCCCACCCAACCCCCCACCCCTTCCACTCTGGATACTGTCCCTACTCTGAATGTCTCATCTTCACTAGGTGTGGCCTACGTCGTGGACTGGTCGCTCTTCAACTGCAGCATCGTGCCCATAGAGAACAGCACCTGGGACTCCTCGCGCAACACTTCGTCGGTCCCGATCCATCTCAGGAAGCCAGAACAGCTTTTTTTATCTTGATTCATCCTATTCCTATTCAGGAGAGGTAGGTGAACTCAGGTCCCTGTACATCAGATTAGAAATGACATCTTGTAAGAAAATTACGTTAATTAAGATTGAGTTGAATTGAAATGTAAACGAATAACGTCCTGTCATATCAAGTCTTTATTTTGCACTTAAGAGGCCACAGGCCAATAGTACATGTATACTGACTATATTTTTATTAGGCAGTAGAGAGTACATTTCTCCTGTGTAGAAAGGCATGGTATAGGAACACTGACAACTTTTCCAGGTGTTCCTTGCTAGAGTAGGTTAATAGAGATATAAATTTATAAATATTATGATGTACAAAGTAATATTCTTAATATATTTATTTCTTAAATTGTGGCAGGCTGGACAAACACAAAGAAAATGATATTCATCTTCAATTAGATTCAAGTCACACATTTTACATATTCTATCGTCTTTCTTTATTCCAATATATCTACCTGTTTCTATTAACAAATCATGGGAGGAGCAACGAAATTTGGTAAGCGTGATTCTATATTTCCTTACATTCAAAGATGATAGATAGGTTTCATTGTATATAGATTGCTTAAACATTCTGTAATAGAAATATTTATATGATGCAGATAATTGGTCAAGCCAAATCTGGAGATATATATCTTGTTACCTTTGTTTAATGGATATGAGAAAATTTGGATGCGAGTCTATGCACTGTTCTAGCCAAATATTACCGAAACCAGTAGAAAATAGTAAATTTTTGACATCTGTGACACAATTACGTTTCCCATTTCTATCGTACAAAAGCATCATATTGTAACAGTTTTTGGGTAATCTGTAAGATAGCATATTTAAGATTTTTAACCAATATTTTACTACTTTCATTTTTTATTCAACAAATAATGGAAACCTACCACATTCACCAGAGACCATTATGTTTGAAGTAGTAACTTTCACACCAAGGAATCTTTTTATTGCATATAAATGTACTTTTTCTAGTGTATCAAATGTTTGTAGTCCCCAAACCTCAGAACCATATAGACGTATGGGACTAATCTTAGCATCAAAGATTCTAAAAAATGATTTGTGTGACAAGTCACCTAAAATATAAATATATCTAATAATACCAATTAGTATTTTCTTTGCTTGCATCGATGCATTTCTGACATGTAAGGACCACGATAGGTGGTTTGTAAAGTATTTGTAAGACGTAGTTGTTTCTATCATTTCACCTTGATAATACCATTTCTCTTTTGCAGCAAGTTTACCTCCATTCTTGAACACAATTATTTTAGTCTTATCTTTATTTACGGTTAGTTTCCATTTATGACAGTATGTTTCTAATTCATTTATTTCTGCTTGTAATCCGCGAATAGTGCTAGAGAAAAGTATGATATCATCAGCAAATAATAGAAGAATAGCTGTACTATATCGGTATGTAGCTGAATACCATTTAAACAGTTTTCATGAATCTGAATTGCTTGTTCATTAATAAAGAAAGAAAATAAAAATGGACTCAAGATACAACCTTGTCTTACTACTATTTGGCTCTCAAAGGTTTCAGATATTTCATTATTGTTTCTCACACACATCTTTACGTTATCATAAATACTTCTTAAAAGTTTACTCAATTTACTGCTTAAGGAATGATTATCTAGAAGATTCCATAACTTTTCTCTTTGAACAGAGTTGAAAGCCTTTGCAAAGTCTACAAAGAGAACACAGAATTTGGTACCTTTCTTTTTTAAGTATTTCTGTATAAGTGAATGTAAAACAAATATGTTGTCAGTAGTAGTATATCTTTTTCTAAAACCAGCTTGGGATTCGCTTATCTTATCAAAGGATTCTTCCCAGAATACAAGACGTTTATTTATAATGGAAGTGAATAGTTTACTAAAGACACTTAGAAGAGTTATCCCTCTATAGTTTTCAGTTTGATTTTTATCACCATGCTTATGAATATGTACAATGATACCAATCGACAATGAATGTGGAAAAAAACCATTTTCAAGAACGACATTAAACAATAATTCAAGATATGGGAGTAGAATATCTGATGAGTGTAAGAAAAATTCGGAGATAGTATCATCTATTCCTGGTGATTTGTTCAGTTTCAATTGTCTAATACTATTTAAGATTTCTTCTCGAGTTATTGGAGCGTCAAGTATGTCATTGAGTTATTAATATCACATCTTTGACAATTATTTTTATCGTCCTGGCTGGCTGTATAGTTATTCATGGCATCATTAATTTCAGATGTAGAAAACAATTCTTTAAAATAAGAATACCATTCATTGATCTCAATGTCATTTGTTTGTCTTGCTTTCACATTCAATTTTTTTCAGCGAAGACCAAAACTGTTTAGAATTGTTAACACTATGTTCTAATTGTTGTTGTTTCAGTTTCAAATAGTCACTTCGTTTTTGTTTACATACTGCATTATACGTATTTCTAATGCAATGGTAATCCTCTAAAGCTCGAACATCCTTAGATTTACGAAACCTATTTAAATATTTGCATCTTTCTTTGTTCAGTTTATCACACTCTGCATCATGCCAAGTTTGAGCTCTGTTTCCTCTCTTACCAGTTCTTTTTTTCATATCTGAGGCAGCTGTGCAAAGGGCTTGTACAATAAGGTCTATGCTCCTATCGATGTTTATAAATACGAAATCTGCTGACTGGCTTAGTAACTCTTGAATACTTTCTGAGAACATATTTTCTCTAAGGAGCTCAAGTTTATCATTATGCCAACCAAATCTATACGACTGTTTCTCAGTTGTTGTATGATACGTGTGAAGCGCACGTAACTTCATAGTAAGAGGAAGATGGTCGGATTCTGTGCGGGAAGGGATTGCAATGTCAAGCAAACTATCAAAAATTGATGTTGAACTTAATATATAATCTACTACACCTGTTCCGTTATGACCAATAAACGTAGGGTCGCCTATTTCGGAGTCGGATCCACATCGTCCATTCATTATATGAATGTTGAGAACTGAGCATAAGTCTAACAAGCCCTTGCCATACGCATTTACAATTTTGTCAGATGAAAATCTTTTTATGCTTAAATAATCTAATAAGAAATCGCACATTGAGTGGTCTTGCCCTTCTGTATGTTTGAGGATATCATCCTCGGTGAAATCGGGCTCAGTACCTGTACGAGCATTAAAACCTCCTCCGCTCAAAATATGTACTTCTGACATACTTGATAAAATATCTAATAAACTATCCTGGAAAAGACTTATACCATTTTGGCAATATAGACCTGGTTTGTTGTACAATGTGGATCCCTCTGGGTGGATCTAAGTACAGGTATACAGTCATGTCACGAATGATTCTCATTTCATAGATGATTTCCAAATCCTATTTCAAAAGCTGATTTATATGATGTGTAGTCCTTGTCCTATATATGAATTCTCTGATTCAAGCGCTCCATCGGTGGTAACGCCATGACCGATATAACAAAGAATAATGGTATAAGAACGAGCGATGATATCACAAGAAATAATAAAAAGAGAGCGAGGGATGATATCACAAGAAATAATAAAAAGAGAGCGAACGATGATATCACAAGAAATAATGCCTAATACAAGACCTTTAATCAACAACATATGTGCTTGTGATACACTGTACCAACATATTAATCTGTTATAGTATACTAGTAGTTTAGAGACACAGGTAGCGAGGCATCTCATACTTCACCAAGAATCCTGTGATGGATGGAATTCTGAACAATGCCATCTGACGTGTATCAGCACTATTACCCAGCTGCAGTCCAACTGACATGATGGGGTCCCCCGCCGTGATTTTGCTGGAATATTGCTGAAAGCGGCATAAAACTAAACTCACTCACTCCACTGAAATGGTAAACCAGCATCCTTTGCATGGAGATAACAACGCTCGATATGCTGTTCGGAAACACGACAACTAATATCAGTGAGCAATACACTACTAATCTTCGTTCATAGAGGACCGTCCGGGGCATCGACTGTGACGTCTACACCGCCATCAGGACAGACTTTCCAGAGAGAATGGGATCTAATGTCTCCTTTGAAGTGTACTTCATGAGCGTAGGTGGACTACATTTACATACATTTACTCAAATAGCAAACAACACCTTACTGATTTTGATTAACTGTGGTTATATTTAATTATTTCTATATAACCTTATTCTGCAATAGTTTGTAATATCTAGCTGCGTAATCTAATATAAACTAACTTGCTTCCAAACTGGGTCACGAAATTCTTATGTAACATTATTATGTTTGAAAAGTTTTAAATTTGTGACCAAGAAATCACATTTACTGGATTTCACTGATAAAAGTGAGTACGTGAGTTTAGTTTTAGCTATATTGAAGGAATATCAAGGTGAAATTGGTTTTACACATTGTAACCATTCGGGGAATCGAACCCGGGTCTTCTGCGTGACGAGCGAATGCTTTAACCACTAGGCTCCCCTACCATCCCTAACTAACTACATATCTTAGATAGTTACCTATTGGCAGATATCTATTTTAACATTTCTTCCAATTTTTTCAACTGTTAGATAAAATTTAATTGTAAAGGTGACTACTATTTGACATACATTTATTACACTTTAAGACTTTTCAGTTTTCATTACAAAACAATAAAAACGTGTAGTATTAGAAACCTTTGAGGCGGTTGGGGTAGCCTAGTGTTTAAATCGGTCGCTCGTAAGGCCCCGGTTCGATTCCCAACATGGGTACAATGTGTAAAGCCCATTTCTGGAGTCCCCGCCTTGGTATTGCTGGAATATTACTAAAGCCTGCCTAAAACCTTTCTTACTCATTCATTCAAGGTGACTGCGTATGACACTCACCATATGCCTCTGATTTTGCAACCGCCTCCGTGGTGTAGTGGTTAGAGCGTCCGCCGGAGAGCGGAAGGTCGCGGGTTCGATCCCCGACCGCGTCATACCAAAAGACGTTAAAATATGGTACTTGTTGGTCCCTGCCTGGCGCTCGGCATTAATGGGTACAACAAGGACTGGTCGGCTCGGAGTCAGTATAATGTGTGGGGTATTCATGCTTCACTGCGACATGGCATCTCAGTGGGCTAGCACTATAAAACCAGCTTAAGTCTGGGCTAGTACAAGCAGCCGCACTTACACACACACGCGCATGCACGTCGTCATATGAGCGAAATATTCTCCAGCACGACGTTAAATCCAATTTCACCTCACCTTTCACCTGATTTTACACGTTACCTTCGAATATTATAATGGTTATAATTGTATTTGCTGTTTGTTTCTAGGATTACTGGACAAGTGCAAATGACATAGGAAATGACAACGACAGTCCAGATACACCAGTTAGGCTGGAAATAAACGACCCTTTGGTGAGAAGGATTTTATTGTTGTCAGGGTCAAGAGTAGGGCTGGAAATAGGTGACTTTTGGTGAGGTTTTCCAAACAATAGTAGTAGAACTAGTAGTAGTAGTAGAAGTAGTAGTAGTAGTAATAGTTGTTGTAGAAGTAGTAGTAGTAGTAGTAGTAGTAGTAGTAGTAGTAGTAGCAGTAGTTGTAGTAGAAGTAGTAGTAGTAGTAGTAACAGTTGTAGTTGTAGTTGTTGTAGGAGTAGTAGCATAACAGCTAGTCTCTGAAATGAACATATTTTACCGAAAAATGTGGTCCTAGATTATAATCAGGAGACTTCATGTTCAGAAACTTTGGTAATCTAGACTTGCCACACATTTGCTTGCATGGGATTTTTTTTATATATTTCTTTCAGTGTCTGTACGACATACTGTAGTTTCTCGTTTGTTTGTTGTTTAACGCCGCACTCAGCAATATTCCAGCTTTATGGCGGCGGTCCATAAATAATCGAGTCTGGACCAGACAATCCAGTGACCAATAGCATGAACATCGATCTACCCAATTGGGATACTATGACAAGTGTCAACCAAGTCAGCGAGCCTGACGTTGCAGGAACGTACTACAATAACCCTACAGATGGATAACACTTTTTCTTTTCAGAGTGGGTTAGAGTACATATACGACTTCTACGATTTCGATCAGGAACACCCCAATGTGCTCAACGCCTTCATAATCAGACCCTGCTTTTCAGATGATCAACAGACTGATTTCCAGATAACTTTCCCAGGTACTGTTTCTGCAGTTATGTCTAGAGGGAAAGAGGTAAATCACAAGCAAAAGAATAATGTCATAAAGAACGAATTGTTTTAACTAACAATACAGATATATTCCAATTCGTTTGTATATATATTGATATTCAGAATGATATGCACGTAAGATTGTTTTGTAACTTAACAGCTCATTTAGTCAGGATTCGGTTTACAAGATCCCCTGAAAACAAGTCACCCCGGTCGACTCTGTACACAGAAAGAAATGTTAGTCCTTTACGAAAAGCGTCTTTGTCGGTTTTCTTGGGCTTGAAGAAAAGTATCGCTTAAATAGTCATTTTACGGCATATATGACGTTTTTAAAAAGGATATTGATATAGAATTATGATGTCTTCGCAGGAGACGCAAGTGACTTCCTTACAGATCACAGACTTGAGTTGCAAGAGCAGATTGTTGTGCAAATTTCGAAACTGACAACTTTGAGTCCTATTCGGATACAAAGCACTTCAATTCATTGGGATGAAGAAAACACGTACTTCCTAGGAACTCTCTTGGACAAGGCGCCGTCTATTGGTTGGTTTATTGCCCCATACTCTGTAATATGTAAACGGTGGACATATAGGCGATTTCTAAATCATCTCGTATTGATTGTTCGCCTGGCTGAATTCAAATTGTTAACCCGATCCGGGATAGAATTAGTGTTCAGCAAACCCCTGCTGGTCTGAGGCGACTAACGGGAATGGGTGGTCATGCTCGCTGTCTTGGTTGACACATGTCATCGTATCCCAATTGCAGAGATCGATGTTCATGCTGTTGATCACTGTATTGTCTGGTCCAGACACGACTATTTACAGATCGCCGCCACATAGCTAGAATATTGCCGTGTGCGGCGTTAACAACTAACAACATTAAATTGGAGTTACTTCAATTACTGGAGGGGCGGTGAGGTAGCCTAATGGTTAAGGCGTTGGCTCGTCACGCCGAAAACCCGGGTTCGAATCCCCACATGGGTACAATGTGTGAAGCCCATTTCTGGTGTCCCCCGCCGTGATATTGCAGGAATATTGTTAAAAGCGGCTTAAAACTAAACTGTCAGTCAGTCAGTCATATGAAACGACGAGAAGGTAAACATAGAGAATTTTCTGTGTTTCATCTTCTTTTATATTGTTTGGTACAACGTTTCAGGGCTTGTTCTGGCCCCATCATCAGGTAGAACTAAAGAGATTCAGTTCTGTACTTTAGTTCTACCTGATGATCGGGGCCAGAACAAGCCCTGAAACGTTGTACCAAACAATAAAAAAGAAGATGAAACCCAGAAAATTCTCTATGTTCATCTTCCAAAACGCCAATCAAACATCTAAGACGAGAAGGTAAATGCTATTTACAGATTGAAAATGATATACAGTGACACTGCACTGCCTAGAAATCATCTGCGCTTTCTTACAAATACAAGTTTGATAGGTCTGCAACGATATATCGAACTTGGAGACATGAGAACATACTTGTTTAATTTTGCATGCATTTATATGTTCGTATTTACTCTTGAAATGATGTAATTTGCGATACGTTTCGATTGGAACTTAGGAACAGGAATCAATAACGGGTGGGGAATGGTGAGTGCGTGCGCGTTCGTGCGAGTGTTTGTGTGTTTACAAAATAATTGTTTTTTATTTTAACCCGCCTTGCCTGTAAGGAAAGGTCAAGTTGAATTTTACGTCAATAAATCAGTCTGCTTTTATTGCTTTTTCAGCTAAATTCCGACGTTGGCCCAACCTCGTTGCCCGGTATAAAGATGATATGACGATCTCAGGCGTGACTAATGCTTTCACGTGTGCAAGTGCGTGCGACCAGGCGACAGGAACCTGCAACAGCTTCGACATTTGCCCGAGTGCGCAGACGTGTGCGCAGAGTCAGCAGTATACCCCGGATGGAACCAAGTTGTCAACAAGCGCCACCTGCGACCACTATTCACGTATGTTAGATCGTCTTTTGTAGGGATAAGTTTCACAAATTAGATAAACAGTAGTGACTGTAATGTCTAATGGATTTGTAAGTGTTGCAAAATTGCTGTCTTGCTGAAAGCATGTGACTGACCACTGGCCATGAACATTTGACGGCAAACATATTGAACACCACCGTTCCTACACGTGAGTTACAAAGGGAGATAAGGCGGACGAGAGTTACCTACCCTAGATCATATATGAATATAATGTAAAGACGCCGCATACGGTAAACTATCGTTATAACCAACATGATTTGCCGAACTGACGGATATAACGAACAGAATCTTTGATCCTGGTCACAATTCGAAATGCATATAACGAACAACGGATATAATGAACTAAAACTAGCCCGTTGGTTCGTTATAACTGTTTACGGTCGTGCAAATGGGCTATTACAATTTTGATTAGACATAGTAACATGTGGTATCCGGATCCCTGGTCTAGCGTGGCAACAACTGTATCAACCTTCGATACTTTTAATTTGTCATGATCATCACCATCATAATCATCATCATCATCATCATCCGGCCAGGAACCCATTTTACACCTGGGAAGACAGGGCATATTTCCAACAAAACGGCAAGGCTAAGTATGTTTCATTTACATTACGGATTATTGACCTCACCCAATAACGATTGCAACAACGCTACTAGTCGTTTCGTGAAATGTCTGGCTGTAACCTGCTCTCTGCGTTCCTCAAATCAAACCACAACCATCAGGCCTAGGTTCCTTTTCTAGCCAGAATGTGGGACCAGTGAGCCTCCAGGTTACACCGTATAAGTGGAATTATCTCTCTTCTGACGACGAGATCTATTGATGAGCGATTCGTGAATTTCTGGGACAAGCCGATTAGTGACTCGTGCCTTTCCCGAGGAATTTTTTTTTCCCGACTGGATACCGTCTTAGCCCAAACTGGCTTTCAGCTGCCAGGACGGCATAAGATTCACGTATATTTCCACAATCTATCAGATATATTGCAGATGATATTTAAAAACGGACTTAATTTGATAACAATATCATTGAATACAATTCACAGTATCGTAAGTATATTTTTAGATACAAGAAATATGTAAATATATTTTAACGATGGTAGGGACGAGTCTTTTATAGGTTCCATAAACGGGCAAGTGGTGTTTTTGTTTCTTGTTTAACGCCGTTTAACACCGAACATTACAGGCGGTCTGTTAATAATCGAGTCTGGACCAGACAATCCAGTGATAACAGCATGAGCATCGAGGCGAATGGTGAAGAATGATCATTTGCAGTGTGTGTCACAGACATATCTGCTCTAAATAAAATGCGTCAATGGCAGCCGATGTCAGGGATCTCTTCAAGTCAGTGCAAGGAATAAGACTCTCTTGACTTGAATTCGTCACAAACGGCTTCATTTTATTGTTAAAAAAACGCATGACACCACTACGGCTAAAATTAGCATTCACATATAAAGCCGAAGGGAACTGGCAATACGTGGAGTTCCTGAAATAGATTCCAGAAGCAGCATGTGAATCAGACGATGAAGTGTGTGAAATGACGCTGCGCATGTGCAGCAAGTGGTAAGCCTGGTCCAGAAATCGCCTCTGTACATACCGCAATGATTCAGTTGCAGTTTAACCTCCACTCACTCACATTTTTTATTTAAGGTGTGCTGTCCGGACCAGTAGACCACGAAATTGGACTTAAAGATGCCTACATTTCATTGAAAAACTATGTCTTAACGAACGGATTTAAAGTAACACTTTCACAATCGGTATGTGTATACATATTTGAAGACACTTTTCTTTCCTAAAATACTTCTTTCTTGAATAACTTCAACGCAACAACTCGTTTGCCGTTGCAAACGTTAATGTTGAGACTGTGAAAGTCAAGCAGAAATATTATTGCCTCTTCATAAGACCGGAGTTTTCGAAAATAATCCTAACCAAGCCATGCTGATGGATTTGAACTTCCCTACTAACCTTCATGTTAACCTTACAACACTTTAACCCCCACCGGTTTCGAAAGATTGACCCCTCCACTAGTCCCGCCTCTGATGGTTACAAAACGTCCACTGTGCTTGTACATGCACGTTGTTTTATACAAAATACTAATCACGATGTTTGTGTTCCAGAAAAAAACTTTTACCGCTTCTACAATAACGACTGAAGTTCTCAGAAATCCAACCATAGGGTCATCGAACAAAGGTGACTGGCTCCTGAATTATAAAATAAAACTTCAATGTGTTTTAGAATGAATGTTATTATGAAATAAGACGATGTGTTTTAGGGTGAATGTTGTTATTAAATAAAACGATGTGTTTTAGGGTGAATGTTATTTTAAGGGTTATATATACTCGGCGTCATTAATGAAGGGTCAAGGTATTGGTAACACTATTTATTACCTACGAGGGCGAAAATATCGGGGTTCATATTTTTCATACGATGCCCTAGGGCAAAATATCACTTTGTCAGGGTGACGTGACGTCACGGACAATGCTATGACGTCACGTTTCTTCTGTGACGTTGCGTTCTACATGAGGTGACGGCGGGGTAGCCAGCCTATGTTTGAAAGTAGATTTGGGTTTCTTTTCCTCTATATGACGACTTCAGTAATAAATAGAATATCATATTCGTGCCCATATCATATTATGTTTACGACACTCGTGCCTAAATATCGGTTTATCCGTCGCTCTCGCTCGGTAAATACCAACATTGGGCACTCGTATCGTAAACATAGCATGACATGGGCACTCATATAATATCCTCTATTTCTTAAAGGTGTAAAATCTTCGTTTTTGTTTGAAACATATACAACGGAATGTTTTCCAAACTTTATTAACAATATGGAAAAACACATCAGGTCGTTGAAGTGTCATTATTACGTTCTTTAAAGTCCGACACATTCTGTTGCAAATGGCACATTTTTCATTCAGATTGTCAGTATGGAAATCCACCTGTCACTTAATGTCAATGATTTGTACGTACAAGTCGCTCTATCCATGGAAGGTGGAGGACAATACATATGCATTGATGCTTGTTTCACCGTCGTTCACCGTTCAGGTACCTGTTTGAAATCGCAGCTTAAAATGAGACATTTTTTACACTTGCTGATAGGGGTAAGGCTATAAGCCTTTTGGAATCTGGTCAAACTCAGCGGCAGGTTGCAGTCCGCTTTAATGTGAGTCAGAGTGCTATAATTGTGGTAGAGATTTCAGGCAAATTGGTCCGTGGAATATGCACGTCGACCAGTTTATACAACTGATGTTTGCTGGTGCTGTTTGAACATTTTGTGTGTATGTCACGATGTGTCACGTTTGTCAAAACATTAAACATTATGATGACACTCTTAGTTCTATTATTTCTGAGAAACGTTCCTTTACATGTGCTATATATCATTTGACCCTTCATTATGACGCCTAGTACATATAGTAGGTTTCTGTGTGATGGCTTTTTTAGATAACTTCTTTGAGTGGCATGCCAGATAAAGTCAAACTTTATAGATGAACAAACGACGTTTCGAGGCAGATTCTTGTATTGTTGTCCTTACAACAAGTTTGTATCTGACTGTTTTAATGTGATTAGGTTTAGGAACTGGAATCGGGTGAAGGGGCGAGGGGTTTTTGTGGGGGTCGAATCCCGGATCGGCCTTACAAAAGTACTATAATCAATAGTTTACTGAGAAAGTGTAAGCCCAAATATAGCATGTGTTACATTCGAAACCATCTAAATGACAGTGTGTATTCATATACGTTTATACCTTTGATTCCTTCAAAGTGGCTGACCTCAGTCAGTTTCATCGGCGAGTTCCATAAGGCTGTCAGAGGCTCCCAGGATGTACAGCTGACGGAGATGGCCATTGACGGCTGCGCGTCTGAGTGTGTGGCAGAGCTTGAATTCACATGCCAGTCTTTTGAGTACTGCATGACCAGCGGAGTATGTACCCTCAGCCGCATCCATCCTGACGAGAGACCCGACCTCATCGTCAACAACGCCTCTTGCGACCTCTACATCCGTGAGTATCAAAGAACTGGTTCTCGTTTACTAAAACCTGAAGGTCCATTTATGTGAAATCAGTAGGTCGTTTAGTTCACATGTTATGGATTCAAGTTATCAGAAGCTAAACTTCTGCATATTCCTGTGTAATTATGCCGGTGGGATTTACGTTTAGTCAGTACGCTTTGGTTACACTAAGCTGGTAAGAGACGGTGTCATGAGTACCGTTGCACAAAGCGATCTTACCGCTAAGGTGATCATATCTCCCATACCTTATTGACCGTCTCCGTGGTGTAGTGGTTAGAGCGTCCGCCCGGAGAGCGGAAGGTCGCGGGTTCGATCCCCGACCGCGTCATACCAAAAGACGTTAAAATATGGTACTTGTTGGTCCCTGCCTGGCGCTCGGCATTAATGGGTACAACAAGGACTGGACGGCTCGGAGTCAGTATAATGTGTCTGAGTGGGGTATTCATGCTTCACTGCGGCATGGTATCTCAGTGGGCTAGCACTATAAAACCAGCTTCAGTCTGGGCTAGTACAAGCAGCCTCACATACACATACACACGCATGCACGTCGAAATATTCTCAAGCACGACGTTAAACCCAATTCCACCACCACCACCCATACCTTATCACAGACTTACGAGGTCCTAGCGCTAAGGTTGCTTTGTACAACGGCACCCTGGCATATAACTCTTTGGCCGTTGTTAACCAAAATCAATCACTGGCTTCAGTCCATCTTTTACAGACATGTGGTTGGAATTGTACTGTGTGGAAAACTCCAAACAAAATCTTGTCAAACAAATAGAATGTAGTGTATTGTTGAGGTAAAAAGCGTCAAAATTACATTTCAAGAAATCTTATTGATATCAGCTGTTGTTGCAGTAGTTTTGCACTTAAGGATATGTTTTGTTGTCATATCACTATTCGAGTTATATCATCAGTTGTAGTGGTTCTGTTCTTAAAGATATCACTTGTTCTCATAGCATTATTCTTATTGATATCATCGGTTTTGATCTGAACCTCAAAGATATCACTTGCTCACACAGTATTATTCCTAATGATATCATCCCACGTCCCCGATACCTTTTCTTCTCAAGGTGACTACACAGCAAAGTTCACAGAACTTAAAGGAACGACGGTCGTCTCTGACTCCGACACCATTTACCAAAACATCAACACCCCGAACCAGTGCGCAAAGCTATGCACGGACTATCAGAGCTTCCCGTGCAAATCGTTCGACTTCTGCCCCAATATCAACGCCTGCTTTCTTGGCCACAAGCACGTGTTTGATACTCCCAAGGCAAACGTCAAACAAGACCCAACGTGCAACCATTATTCAAGTTAGTAATCAGTGGTCATACATGTACAAGACCTTGATACGATGTGGTGCATCTGTTTATTAGGAACTAAACCCCGGAAAAATGAAAGTCTACCCACATTCATATTCGATTGTGGCCGATATTGAAACACACAGGGAACGGATAATCGATTGTAGTGTATAGTAGTATTTCTACCTAAGACTGCAGCGTTTTAATGTTGTTTCTGAATGTCAAAGTTTTGTTAATTTTGTCCAATTTTCAAATACTCAGTTTCTGTTACCCGACATTAATAATAATATAATAATGGTTATTTACAGAGCGCGTGTATCCACTCGCCAGCTGTTTATTATCCCGGTTAACCCAAGCTGCCGTTGAGGCGCTAGAAGGTTAACAGCCATACGACTTATCCCACAGGGTACCCATTCGCTGGTGGGCGAACAGAGGCAGTTTCATAAGTCACTTGCCCAGGGTGAGACGCATGTGTCATATGTGCTTCGTCGTGGGGCAGGACTGAAGTTGTAGAAACTCTTAGCAGTCAAGCTGCCCAACACGGTCACCCATCCAAGGACTTTCCGTGACCAACGTTGCTTAACTTCAACTGATTTGTGACTCTGGGCTCTGTGCACAGGACCACACACCAGTATTCTTCACTGTCCGATGTGTATTTATTTCGTCTGTAATTCAGAGCCTTGTATAAACTACATCCATCCATCATCTATCTCATGGTATTTTTGTATGATATTTAAGTTGTCTGTCAAACCCACATCTAACATCTAACAACTGTTCTATCGCTATTTCCACCAAGGAATCAAGCCATGGTTCCCATGAGAATGCAACCATTTAGGGCTCAGATAAGCATATGACCAATGCCTCTCATGGCTTTCCATCAAATTTGCTGCAGTTCTTAAGGACACTTTCTGCTGCACACCGTTAAGTGTTGATACGCCTCTGCATGCTGACATGCTATTTTTCCAGGGAACTACGCCGACGACTTCAAGGTGGTCGCCAACCGCCAGATAGCGCTCAAGGACAACCGGATCGTTCTGATGGTCAGCGTCGAGCAGTGCGCCAAACTGTGTGTGGACGAGGAGACCTTCTCCTGTGCCAGTTTTGACTACTGCGGCAACACCACGGAATGTCGGCTCTCGACGTCATCAATGTCGGACGTGGGCCAGATCACCATCGAGGCAACAGCATACTGCTCTATATATAACCGTATGTACATCACTTGCTCTGGGATAGCAGCAGAGACTTAACTTGGGAGTTAATTAAACAACAATTGGAAGTGCTGTAAAAACAGACATTGGATGTAAATGGAATAGCCACCATTACTGAGTTTTGATCTCGTGGGTACATCTGGGTACGGATTCGGTTATTGTGAGCGATTATATTTAGGCTGAGGCGACAGTGCTTTAAATTACTAATACACCACGTGAACCATTTTTGTTCTAGTTTTCTGTTCGAATGAACATCCGCTACCAACTGTAGCCGCTCTCTGTCATTTGATTACCGCCCCTTACCTTGATTGTGGTCACGTGATGTTTATTGCTGCGAAAATATGTATTTTGAAAACGCATTTTTTTCATCTCCGTAAGTCATATTCCTTGGCGCCGGAAGTACTTGTTTTTTAAGCATGTATCTTCCTTAATAGATGATATTTCACGTGTCGACAACTCTAGGCTTATTTGAATCAAGTTTGGTTTTATTTCATTTATAAATTGTGTTTTATGTCCGAACTACTAAGATTTACTACTGCCCACAGGTCAGTTTTACCCAAATGGACAGCGATACATACCACATCCAGACACAAGCGCCAAATACACTGCAGGTAAGCGCAAAATATACATAACACATACCTCGGTTTGTTGAAGAATACTTTCAGGTAAGCACTAATTTTATACTTCATTTATGCCAAATAAACTCTATACCATGCACTGCTACAATCGATAGGATCATTCTTCAATAAACAAGGTAAGCCCTACAACAGACACCAGGTAAGATCTGTTGTAATCAAAAGGTAATATAAACTCTGTCAAAAAGAAACGCAACCCCTGGTAATATATATGTTATTCGATATGTATTGAAATTATACACGTAATTAATGAAGATTACCAATCCAAACAACTGCATTTGTACGCATAAGTGTATTTTATTGCTTATTCCGTCACAACGCATGAAATGACCCTCATGGTGACTTCGCACAAAAAAACACATGCAAATCATGAAAATGGCAGTTAATGTAGGGGTGTATAAAAGCCCATGTGCTTTCGTATTATATTCATTCATTTGTCGCTGAAAAGCTGTGTTAAAAATGCCACGATTGAGTGCTGCCGACCGAAATATCGCCATTGGTCGTGTTCAAGCCGGAGAAAGTTTTGGAACTGTTGCACGGCACCTAAATGTTCACAAAACAACGATATCCCGACTTTGGAGCCGCTACAACAACTTCAATTTGACCAACGATCGCCCGAGAAGTGGAAGGCCAAGAATCACGACCCGCCACACAAATACCAGGTTTGAGGAGAGTGTCAGCTCAAACGATTAGGAACCGTCTGAAAGAAGCGGGTTTACGTGCCTGTAGACCAGTTGTTGGACCTGTACTACGCCCCCTACATCTCCGCCGACGACTCAGGTGGTGCAACAACGTAAGGATATGGACTTTACAAAACTGGAGGCGCATCTGGTTTTCTGATGAATCCCGTTTTCTTTTGCAACATCACGACGGAAGAAAACGTGTGTATAGGAGACGTCATGAACGTTTTGCGCCCATCTGCGTCCGACAGGTGGACAGATTTGGCGGAGAAAGCGTTATGGTTTGGGGATCCATCTCATACAACCAGAAATCAGACTTGGTGATCGTTGAAGGAACCTGACAGCCCAACGTTACATCAACCACGTATTACAGCCTCACCTTCTCCCGATTATTGACCAACAGACATACAGATTTTTCAACCAGACAACGCCCGGCCTCATACTGCACGTGCAACAATGAACTTCTTGCAGAATTCCAACGTCAATGTCTTGCCATAGCCCTCTAAATCAATGTTGTAAACACCAGGTAAAATCTGCTTTTAAAGCCTCTGTTGTAAAAATGCTGTGTCGGTAATATCTGATCTTAAAGCCTCTGTAAACAGCAGGTATATTGGAATGTCGGGGCGCCCACTCACTCACTCACTGTATTCTGACAAAGGTGCAATGGGAGGTCTGGGCTTCGCCATGCTGGTCGTGGGTCTCCTCATTGGATTCGGGGCACTGTTTGCGTGGTCCAAGTACCATGGAAGTCGCTCTGACGAAATGGCAGTATCGTTCTCAAGCAAGGACACCTTATCAACCAACTGAAACCAACAAATCTGCACTACAACATGGGCATGTCTACTCATTGAAAGTATCAATGATCATTCCTTCATCTTTACTAGCAGACATCGAAATCTGAAGTATTCTATATGCCACGCTGATTTGTTGAAGATTTCACTATGGTTCACGTTCTATATTCTTTCGAAGCAAAGGCCATTTTAACCGTTTTCAGATATTCAACCTCGCTTTCTACTTTACACGCCGAATCCCTATACAATTATCCCAAATACCCACAGATACCCCATTCTTTAAGTATGTTTCCGTCTCTGAACTGTACCCCTCTCTACACGTATTCCTACCAGTATCTTATGGTTCGGGCAACCAAATACCAATAACATTCTAGGAAAAAGCCTCATTTTCCTATGAACATTTGTGATGAAAATACAATAATGTATTCTGGTCAAAACTGTATTTTATAGCAGGAAAATTATAACACCAACCTGCCTGCGAGCTATTGGTTCGACGTACATTGTAACACTGGCATTAATTCATCCTCATATTCATCTATGTCGAATAGTCATAGATGCATTTGTAAATGTTTGTTGTGTCATACTCTAATCACGTTTTGACAGTTGTATGATTTCTGTCGTGTGATTATGTTGTGTGAAAGTCGGGGTAAATATATACAACAGATGTATGACCTCACTATAATATGTTTTAATTGCTTTAAATATTTCATAGCGCTTTGAAGCGTCCTTAAAGAACAAGAGAAGAAAGAACACATTACTTCTCCTCCGCTGTGTTAGAGAAGCCTGAATTACTCAAATGTCTTTCCCGCTCACGTGACGACGCCAACTGATGTCATCGTACCAGTTGCTGTCTCTGACTGTGGTTGTGTGATCACTCAATAACCTTCCTCGTCGGTTGTATATAATATACCATTCAAAAAAGGTAGGGGATATTGGATTTACAAGATTGATAAAATGCAAATGATGAAGCCAAGGAGGAAACAGATGATGAAGAGAAATTAAGGGAAAATGTGTCAATTTATTCCATTCCTTTGGAAATGTTTCATCTGTATGGATATGTACTACTTTTCTCATATGCACTGGCATCGGTTAATGGTATGCTCGCAAAATGGAATATCCCCTACTTTTGTTTAATGGTACAGATGAAGTTGCCTCACACTACCAACGAAGGTGACCACATTTTGTGTGTACATAAGCGCTGTGTTAATAAACATATCACACATCATGGCCTTGTTTGTTTTGGTCCAAGCACTTGCACTTTGTTTAGATTATCAAGCCCTGATTACTCAAAGCAAACTAATTCTGAGATTTTACTACAGTTTGAGAAGCCTCAGCAACAGGCTTTTCTTGAAACCTTACAGTTCAATCACCCGTTAGTGCAAAGGCAGCTTAGATTAAGGACAATGTCCGTAAGTTGCATATTATATGTGCTTACTACAAAAATGACAAACAGAAAACTGTTATTGGCACCTTTAAGTTTTCAGAAGTGTTATCCTGTCATAGGCGACCAACTCCTCTCCTTGGCCGGGAATAGCTTAAAATATAGTCAAAGGTCACTTGTTTAGAGCGACTATTTGAAACAGAACCCTTCATACCTTACTGCAAAACACCCCAACCCCACCCCCACCCCCCGCTAAAATAAGAAACAAAACAAAAACACAAAGAAAGAAATTAGCTGGACCGTCGTTGCTGTCAGCTGCATGTTATGTCTATACAACATGACATGACGACCATGTGCTTGTGATATCGATGGGTCAAATGCAATCCCAGATTATATGGCTATGGAGCACAGCCGATGTCTGTTTTCAAGGGATATGACCGATGTTGTGCAGAGTGAGTCTATCGCTGAGTGTCTTTTGTTGTGCATATAAAATCATTGTACACACATCTGACATCACTGACATCACTGACATCGGACGTAAGAACATGAGCTCGGAAGTAGTAATACGGGGTTGTAATCCAGAACCTTTATTGCGTCATCAACAAGCTACAACATTGAAGGCATTATAAAAAAGTCCGTAATAACTCATTCAGTATCACTGTAATACTTTGTCTTTAAATGACACGTGACCAGATAATAGTTTTCGAACAATGTTCAACACATGGTCAGTATGCAAATGCTAATAACTGGATGTAAATGAAACAAAAGATAAGAAAACAAATGAAGCTGCGATAAAATCATCATAAAAACGTAACACATACAGTGAGTGAGTATGGTTGTATGCCGCTGTTAGCAATATTCCAGCAACATTCCAGCAACATTCCAGTAATATTCCAGCAACATTCCAGCAATATTCCAGCAATACCACTGCAGGGAACACCGGAAATGGGCTTCACACGTTGTACCCAAGCGGGGAATCGAACCCAGGTCTTCGGCGTGACGAGCCAACGCTTTAACCACTGGGCTACCCCACCGCCACCACAATTACAGAGCGGCTTATCATTACAACCCATCAGCGAAAATGTAACAAATTCGAGTCTAAACTTGTAAACTAGAACTCTGGTGTTCCCGCCGAGATATTGCAGGATAACTGCCAAAGGCGGCGTAAAGTGAAACTCACTGTATTGCGCAATGTATTTTCTTTTGACTTGTTCGGCATTGCAAACATTCAGCTGGAATAAAGTTGGTTTCACTCACGAAACAAAAGTTGCTGCCCATAAAGTTTGTCAATATCGGATAGATGTCGTGGAATTTGAAGTAGTGAGAGTGACAACAATATATATATTTCAAGGACACACGCACGCACGCACGCACGCACGCACGCACGCACAAACACACACACGTACACCCTCATGCATGTGATGGTGTTGGGATCAACACGAATCAGTGATAGCTCCATGATGACCATACCGTCAAAAGAGCGTGATGCAGTTGAGTGTGTGAGTGAGTTTAGTTTTACGCCGCACTCAGCAATATCCCAGCTATATGGCGGCGGTCTGTAAATAACCGAGTCTGGACCAGACAATCCAGTGATCAACAGCATGAGCATCGATCTGCCAAATTGGGAACCGATGACATGTGTCAACCAAGTCAGCGAAACTGACCACCCGATCCCGTTAGTCGCCTCTTACGACAAGCATAGTCGCCTTTTATGGCAAGCACATGGGTTGCTGAAGACCTATTCTACCCCGGATCTGCACGGGTCTGATGCAGTTGAATACAACCAGCATGTTTTCCGATGAAAACAAATCATTATTGCATACTGCCAGTTTGTATCGTGAAAAATATTCCCTGTTATTTGCATGGCAATGTACATCAAATGAACCTTGATATTCTAAGCGTTTCAACCTAAGATCTTTTTCAAAAGGGAAGGTGGTGATGTTTCTTCAGAAATCAGCTGCTTCCCAGAGGACAAAAGAGTTGGGGATAGAAGTCACGGTACCCGTTGGAGGTACACTTTGGCGGAAGTCCGCGTGTGGTTGTCGACACGGATGCAGCTTTACCTCCGTGGATGATGTGGATATCTGACATGGTGCAGGCGGTGCTGTTGCTACTGATGAGTGCGTGACTGATGAGTATGATGAAGATCCCTGTAATTGTTCAGATACAGGTTTCTTTATCATGTGTGATATACTGGAGTGAGCGCTGTCATGTTCAGCCTCATCTTCAGAAACAGTGGTTGCAGATTCATCCGGTTGACAATCCTTAAGTGACTGAGATACGTCACTGTCTATTGGCACCTGTCTATAAGTGGAAACACCGCTGTCGGATGAACTGGACCATCCTTCGTCTTCATCCGGAGAACCAACAGGTCCACAGATTACGTCCAGATGGATATGATTACCTTGACAAAGACCCTGGGTCTGTCTGACTACATCTGTACAGTCATGGGCTACTGATAACGAAGGTGTGTTTAGCCCAGGTCCAGATCTACCATTAAGATGCTTCCTTGTTGAGTTATGAGATACAGACCTATCTCGACTACAAGGGAGACAATCCTGTGATGGAGATTTGCCAGTGTCTATAGTGACCTGTTTGTAGTTTGACCCAACACTGTCCGTCAAGAAGCGCGTATCGCTTTCCCCATCACCTCGTTCCGTCTGCATCCCGACTGCTTGCAACTGTTCCTCAAGAAGAGGTACCCTCTGTCCATCTTCTTCCAGGACGTCGATGGTGTTAGCCATAACTTGTGGAGTTCCCTGGCGTCCTTTGGCATTGCCGTTTCTGTCATCCTCTGTCCACGTACATGGCTCCTGAAATGAATAGAGTCAGAGGCTGTGCTGAAGCTGTCTTAGGATGCATACACTAATGATGGCATCGTTGTTTTCGAATATTGAAATATAAATAATTGAAATTAAATCTCAGCGCCGTGCCCTTTGGCACTAAGGATTTCTAGCTCTATCTGGCTATGATACGTTTACATATCTCCTCATTCTAGCATTGTATTTCGGCTATATTAGCCCTTTACTCTTTATGGTAAAATTTGGGAAAACTGAATCATTTCCCCATTTCTAAGCTGGAGTGTTGTGGCGATGTTAAACCTATGTCACTTCTACTCAAGACACACGATAAGTTTCCTTGACAGCAGAGGCGGAACAGTTTCTGAAAATCTTTTTTGTCATATATACCCACCATCCTTTATGTCCAGCTGACGTTTTTTATTAATAATATCTGAGGCCTCTGTTTCAGAAAACTGCACTTAGAAACTGCACTGGCACCTTAGACTCTGTGGGAAGAGTTTTGCGCACTCACCTCTTTGTCGCTAATTGACCACATCAGTTGTGGCATCTGGATCTTGAATCGCTCACACAGGACATTCCGCTTAAGCTTGACAACACTGTAAACCAGGAACAGTACAAGTACAGTGGAACAGAGTGTCTTTCTGTCAGCAGAAGTAAGGGAGACAATGACATGACTGCTGACATCGTTACGACCCATCCAGGAATTCGGTCAATTTGATTGATTGATTGATTGGTTGATTGATTCATTCATTGATTCAGCAATATTCAAGCCTTTACGTAGCAATGTTCGACGTTATATCACATTAAAGGTGACGCCTCATATATTCAGGCAAATCAATTATAATGTCTTCAATAAAACTTATTGAAATATGTCCCACCTTTCTTAAAATGACAGAATTGAGATTGTATATATTTTATTTATTCATACTATAATTTTAACTTAAATACGAACATACATGGCAAGGTATGCACTCGTATTTTTGTGTGTTTATCTAGAGTATACTCAACATGTAAAATTCATTCCATCTTAATTTGTTTTAACCTTCAGTTTTCAATATTTCAAACTACTGAAACATACATACACAACTGCCACGCCAACACCTACGACAACTACTACCACGATGACCAGTGCGGTGATCACAGCCGAATCATCCGTCATTGCTGAGGCTGATGGACGAGTTTCAAAATCTGTACATAAACGCAAAATATTTTAAGGTGAGTTTCCATACAAGTAATTAATAAACTGATAAATATAGATAGAAGAGACAAACCCTTTTGACAACCATAAGAAAACTCTGGTAAAAGTGGAGTCAAATGTACAATTATGACTACATCATGAGTGTGTGTATGTTTCAGCAGTATTACAGCTTTACGATGTTGTTTGAAAACAATTGAGACTGGACCAGACAATCAAGTGATCCAGACACATTAACTTTTCAAACATCTATGTGAGTGAGTATGGTTTTACGCCGTTTTTAGCAATATTCCAGCAATATCGCGGCGGAGGACACCAGAAATGGGCTTCACACATTGTACCCGTGTGGGGAATCGAACCCGGGTCTTCGGCATGACGAGCGAACGCTTTAACCTCTGGGCTACCCCACCGCCCCCAAACATCTATGTATGACTGGTATAATAAAACTAGTGAACTCGTTTGCCCACACACTGAAACCCTACGTTGCAAGCACCTGCTGAATGCGAACACTGACGGTTTCTAATCATTATGAATATGGTTTGCCGCGAGCATGTATTTGAACGAACTGTGTCAGATGTGCTTAGGTCACACATTGACCCGAGTCGATGGGGCTTTAATATACATTATTATACTTTATATATTACTTTGAATTATCACGTTATATGTACAAACCAGAATACAGTCAAATAACGATGTGTAGAGACTTACTTCGAGTTACCCAAGATTCGACTGAAATTAAAAACGCTTATAAAGAAAGCATACGAAGGGACGAAGCTTTTGATTGTATGCTATCTCCATTGTATTTTAAAAGCTATCCTGGACCCTGGACCCCCACAGATTTGGATCAGAAGTGACATCACCACCTCCATCGTTCCTCCATCTTGCAGAACGTGATTTGACTGAACTTACACGTTTATCAGAGCGCCTTTGGGAATTGATCTCAAAACGAGTCCAGGGTGTTTTTCCACATAGAATAAGTATGTAATACAATCTATATTTGACAGCTTTGTGTTATTTTTCAATGTTTTCTTCTCATGTCGTACGCTCTAGTGGGAGCGGTGGGGTAGCCTAGTGGTTAAAGCGTTCACTCTTCACGCCGAACACCCGGATTCGATGTGTGAAGTCCATTTCTGGTGTCCCCCGCCGTCATATTGCTGGAATATTGCTGAAAACGGCGTAAAACTAAACTCACTAACTTACTTACGTTGTAATGGAGTGTTCCACACCATCGGTGACGTGACGTTGTCAACGTGGGCGGAGACGGCGTATTGCCAATCACATCCTGCGCAGGCTAATTTAGGCGGCACGTGGTCTTCTAAAGGTAACGCTCTCTTGTTACCAGGAACCCGTATCGTATTCACCTGACCCTAATAAGTGTATAAACAATAACAAGAGTTAATTACGGCGAGAAATGAGGAACATACGAATACAGAAGTTCTTAAACAACGTCATGGAGAACGCTTCCACACATACTTTTGTCTATTTCTTACCCTGCATTTCACAAGCTGGAGCAGTTTGTCATCTTGACTCCCGAAACACCGACACACGTTGAAAAAGTCTGGCTGTTTACCCGCGTTATCATGGAACACCCACGACAACTTGTCGCCAGACCTTTGTACTCTGTCAATGAACTGGACATCTGAAAATAGGCCAGAATTTAGTTTTACCATGAATCGCCATAAGGAACTGAATAAGTGACCTTATCATTTTGTGTACATGGAAAATAACCCGCATCATAAGCCTCGCTGGTGCATAAATTCGGAAGCCATGTTTGTTTGTTTGTTTGTTTGTTTGTTTGTTTGTTTAACGTCAAACTCAGGACTAATCTAGCTGCATGGCGACACACTTGAAAAAATTCGTCTGGTGCAGTTAAAACACTGATATCATGCAATAATCACGCCGAATTCTTATCACTACATCCTGGCAAAGACTAGATAGATAACTCTTTACATCAAACTTAAAAGCATTAGCCGACTGGAACAAGATTGCTTTTTAATCACCCTTCTTAAATGTCGTAGTATCTCTCAACCACTGATATCATGCAAAATCTCGCCGAATTCGTTATAATTGGATCCTGGTAAAGGCAAGGTAGGCAACTCTGCCCATCGAATTTAAAAGCATTAGACGACTGGGACGATGCTGCTTTCTTAATCACCCTTCTAAAATTTCGTAGTATCTCTCACCCAAATTCCGTCTGTATACATGGACCTGTGACGCAGTCTTAGACCAGCCGATCTTTGTCGCAGCGTTCACCCGTACAGTCACGTTGCTGTGTCCGGTGATGTTGATTGTGGTCGAGTGGTCAGTGGTGTACAGCGGCTGTGACAGACAACAGCTGGCGTGGACGGAGTAGTTGACGATAACTCCCCTGCTGGCATCCCGAGGAACTGACTGTGGACACAACCATATACGGTACACACGGAGCAGAACATTCAACGCCTTTCAACACAAATATAGTCAGGACAACGAAACAGAGGTGAAAATTATATGAACTGATGACTGAAAAAGAAACGCGACACCAGGTGTTCACAAAAAGGGCAAGTGTGTCCTGTCACATCAGTAACACGCCATTTTGTATGATGTCACACAGCTGTATTTGCCATTTTCTACATAATTCAAACAAAAAAGCTGACATTCGCGCTAAGTTAATTACACAATGCGTAATAATTCAACTGAAAAAGACTGTTATTTTGCAATTCAAGATGGCCGCATATTAGACCACAAACTTGCAAGAACAGTTTGCCGAGTATGCAACGTTTAACAGAACTGAAAGTGGAACTAGTCTACAGTCTGACTGTTGGGGGAATGTATGGTGCCAATCCACAAAACGTTCGTAGCGCTATCACATCCGTAAGCCTATGATAAACTATAGAGTTACGACAGGTCGTAACGTTACGAACGCTTTGTGGATCGGGACCTAGGACCCTGGATCCTTACCTGTGCTGTATAGTAGATGAAAGCGGTAATATTGAAGTACATCACAGAACAAAAATGTGACCTTTCCAATTTGTACAGAGATCCTCTGGTACCTTTAAATTGTTTTTCAATGTTTGATGTAACCTCTTCCTCATCTACATAGACGTAAGTTACTTACACTCCAGTAGACCTCTAACACTCCAGGCGCCACCCTGCTATACGGATTCTTTGGTATCAGTGGACCTGACACTGGAACTGTGAAAAAATAATCATGATGGTCCCCAGTTACCGTTGTATATTTCCAGATTGGATTTAGGACATGCAGACATGTATTTACAAGCTTTGGTTGGAATCATATTTGCTAGTAGAACTAGTCCAAAAAACACTAAACTGAATGCTTGTCGTAAGGCGCAAGACGTCAGGCGAAAATACGGTTTATCGCCTAAGATAATATTTTCCCGACGGCTTATAAAGTTGTTCATAATATCAACCACTGGTCTGTTTGACTCAGATTTTAATATATATAAGCTGCTGTGTTGAAGCTAAAATAATGCACTCAGTCACATTGTAGGTACAACTACGTCACAAACTTCGCAAAGTTTGTACAATTTTTGTACATTTTGTAAAATCTGAGCATTAATTACTCAACTATCGTTTCATCAAATCGAAATATGGATTTCTGTCTATTTGGGCCGATGATGTAGCCTAGTAGTGAAACTGTATGCCCGCTATGCCGAAGACATGGGAGGAGCGGGGTCTAGCAGGGCTATTTAGTGTTCAGTGCTATGGGTTTATTCATACCAGGAATGGAAAGAAACCGAGTTTCAAAACACGACATATCCATAAACGTAATTTTTTAAGCTATTTCCGGGTATCCCCTACTTATTAAAAGAAAAATATTTGTATACAAATACTGACCGTCCTCTAAGGTTGAATTTGTGGCATTCTGTGGAGGGCCACGGAAGCCCTTGCTGTGGGGTCGTGACCTGACCGTCACTGTGTAGTTGGTCCAGGGCTCCAGGTCTGTCAGAACCACTTCAACATCCTCATCCTTGGACTTAGTTTTCTTGACCTGTATGTGAAGGGAGTCACATGAAACTATATACAGGGCATCCACGGTGTGCTAGTTTATTATGTTGTGAATAGGTCGTTTTAAGCTTCTTTCACAAACATACCAGCAATAACTCGGCTCAGGAAAGGGCTCCATATACTACACCCGTTTCGGGAGTAAACCAGGTCTTCCAGTGTGACGAACAACTGCTCTAACAAAATGATCACTTCTTCACAGATACCTTTATGTCATTTTGTAAAGGGCATTCATGACATGCCTGTCTGTGAAGGTAATTCATGTCATACCTGTATGTAAGGGAAATTCATGTCAGTGATTTCATGTCAAATCCGTATTTAAAGGCAACTCCTGTCATACCTTCATGTTTTAAGTGATTTAATGTCATACCCGTATGTAAAGACAGCTCCTGTCATACCGTCATGTAAAGTGAGTTCATGTCATACCCGTATGTAAAGACAGCTCCTGTCATACCTTCATGTAAAGTGAGTTCCTGTCATACCTGTATTTAAAGACAACTCCTGTCATACCTTCACGTTAAGCGATTTCATGTCATACCTTCATATAAAGTGATTTCATGTCAAAATCGGCACGTAAAGGAAAGTCGTGTCTCACTTGTATGTAAAGGGCGCCCATGTCGTTCCTGAAACTTGAAAGGAATTAATGGAATGCCCGTCTGAAAAGGGCATTCAGCCTGTGGAATCTTTGGATGTGTCAGTTTGTGCCTTGGTAATCAGCATGCCTGACTACGAAATTGGAAAGGAACAAACAGTGTAATCATCGTTTATCAAATAAAATATCAAAGGAATTACTCACATTTTTCGCTTTCGTAAAATACTTCACGAAATATTTATACATCATCGGGTCTGAAAGACGACATCTGTCATCAGGCTGTTTCCAGGACACCCGTAATGCTGTGCTGTTGATGGCCGTCACCCGTAGGTCACGCACTGGACCTGGTTGTACTACAAACAAGCAAGAAATAAAAATAATGGTCATTTATAAAGCGCCTGTTTCCACGCACTTGTGCATTCTCAAGGCGCTAACGCATTAATACCCAGGATAACCCGAGCTGCCTGTGAGGCGCTAGAAGCTTAACTGTTAACTGCCATATGACTTATCCGAACGGGTACCCATTCACTGCTGGGTGAACAGAGGCAATTCATGAACCAAGTTACTTGTCTAAAGTGAGACCACATGTGTGACATGTGCTTTGTTAAGGGACTGGACTGAAGTCCCAGAAACTCAAAGGAGTCAGGCTGCCAAACACGTCCGCGACCAATGTTGCTTAACTTGACTTGATTTGCGACCTGAGCTCAATGCACAGGACCACACACCGTCGAAGAAGCTGTTGTCCTGGGTGACACAGGTGATGGTTACTGTCAAACAGTTCATGAACAAACTCACTTGCCTAAGGTGAGACTACATGTGTCACATGTGCTTCGTTAATGGGCAGGACTGAATTCGGAAGACCTAGAAACTCTAGCACGGTCTCCCATCCAAAGACTGTGCTTGGACTATCTGGGCCCCGTTCCTCAAAGCGATCGTAGCGCTACGACAGTCGTAAGTCTATGTTAAAGTATGGGAGTTACGATCAACTTTGCGCTACGATCGCTTTGAGGAACGGGGCCCTGGACTCTAGCTTAATAAATGGTCATTGATGATAATTCAATATAATACTCACTGTAGTCTTCAGTTTCGATTTGTCTACACATTGAGGCAGAAATGTCTCCCTTTCCCCCAACCTCGGTGACCTTCATCAGGTGAAAGTAGTCGCAAAACTTGAGATCATCACAGTCGTATTCACATTTCCCAACTGCAGTGTTACATCTCGTCTTACTGGCCTCTTCACACGGCTCTACTTTACTGTAAAGACAGAATGTGAGTGAGTCAAAGCCTTGCGTCTGTTCCGCTTTAACTTAAAAACACCTTGAATGTGGATAGCACACTCGTGGTTAGGCAATTAGCGTTTCATTCTCAATGTGAGACCGGCTTCCAATATGAACAAAGGCGGTCGGGGGCCTTGAAGTTAAGACCTAGGTTCAATTCCCAGCATCGGTACAATGTGTGAAGGCCATTTCTGGTGTCCCTCGCCGTGATATTGCTGGATTATTGCTACAGACGGCGTACAGCCATAATTGCTCACTCACTCCAATATGAACACGTCTGACTCTTCTCATCACCTGTACTGAAAACATGTGGTGCATGTCGTGTTGCTACGGTCAACGCCGTCACGGAGGTCGTAGTTGCAGGTGAGAAGCCTTTTGGCATACAGGACGCAGGTCATGTTCTCCGGCTGTGTGGGACCTGTTGAAGAAAGAAGGTCACTCAGGAAAATACAGATGAAGAACCACGGTCTACCCTCCGCAGAAAGTACTCTCTTTCAGATGGATATCGTCAACTCACAGCTTCTATAAAATGCGGGAATGACAATGGTAAGGAAGTGAATTGGGTTTTACGTCGTGCTTGAGAATATTTCGCTCATATGACGACGTGCATGCATGTGTATGTGTACGTGCGGCTGCTTGTACTAGCCCAGACTTTAAGCTGGTTTTATAGTGCTAGCCCACTGTGATACCATGCCGCTGAAAAGGTATTGGGATAGTTCATGTTCCAGTACAAGCAAATCTTTTGTACAGCTAACTTGTGATATGCTGGGGTGGTTTTGTGTTAAAAGTGATCGAAAGCTGGGTTCGATTCTCCTCATGGATTAATTGTGTAAAAAACATTTCTATTTTGTCTAGCTGGATATTGCTGGAAAACTGCTAAAAGCAGCGACAGGAGTGCGAGAAAGAGTTTGGTGTAACACCTGTTAAGATTATATGTTGGTTCTGGTTTCTGAAAAGCATGTCGCCCAAGGGACGCAACTCCACCCCTTTTACCGCCTTAGGGGCGCAAATAGGCCTATTATTGGCCCACGTCGCCCTAAAACTATAAAACCAACCAACCGCCTTATGATTTAATATTATTGAATCAATTTATTATCTGATTTATTCAACATTTACCTCCTGCCGTCGTGTCAGGTAGAGTTGCCATGACAACGCAGACTGAGAACAGCGTTATCATGTCCGACAATCCCTTGCATCAAGTCACTTCATGAACCTACCAAAGAAACATGCATATATAGACAATCAAACTCGGAAACCACGGTTACTAATATGTGAGAGTGAAAAATCTCTGCCTCAGACTTGTCACATCTCGTATGGACTACTGTAACAGCCTTTTGGCCGGATCTCCATCTTGTGTCACTGACCAACTCCAACGCATACAGAATTTAGCTGCTCGCTTTACCTCCCAGATCCCCAGAAAACAGCAGATCACACCAACTCTAAAGGACCTCCATTGACCGCCCGTGAAACACAGAATTCCCTTCAAACATCTAGATCTCTGAAATCAGAGAATCAGCGTCATCTTGTCATCCTCAAAGTCATAGAAGTTTAAGAATGTAATTTCATCCGATCCAGGGCCCTTATTCTCGAAACGTTCGTCGCCCTACGAACTTCTTAAGCCCATTCTTAGTACATTGGTTCCGATCAAAGTTAAAAATTCTTAGGGCTACGAACGTTTCGAGAATAAGGGCCCTGGTCCGACTACCAGACATTCAAATCTCTCCTGAAAACTCACTTCTTTAAACAAGCCTACTATTAGTTATTATTATTATTTACTCAAATTGTGCGCTTTGAGCAGGATATCAAGCCTGGAAAGGCACGTTATAAATATTCTTCTCATTACTATTATTATTATTATTATTATAGTTTGCAAGATCGTTTTAACATACCTTTGAACAATCTTATTGTTAAAGCACGGCGTTTCAACTTAAGGTGGGGGAAAAGCCGGAATGTGATGGAAGTCTCAAACGTTTACAACTTGGACGAAACCCGCAAGTACGGGTATGACACTCATAACCTAAAACAACAACAACAACAACAAAATGGCGCTTGGGTAGCCTAGTGGCTAAGGCGTTCGCTCGTCACGCCGAAGACACGGGTTCGACTCCCCACATGAGTACAATGTGTGAAGCTCATTTCTTGTGTCCACCGCCGTGATATTGCTGGAATATTGCTAATAGCGGCCACAAACCAAACTCACTCACTCACTAAAAAAAATATGTTTGGGTGAAATCTGGATTCGTACCAGGTTCCTGGTGCCCAAGGGACGTAACTCCTTAAAGCCAACTGCAGTGCTTCGGACAACTGGGCCACCCGTGCCCGCGGTTAATCATATGTGCACCCAGCCCCAAATGGTTATAGCAAAGACATTTAAAAATCTAAAGGTAAAGGTCCCTCGGGATTGGAAGAAATACTAGAATTGATACGAATATCCCCGTTCATTACACTGGCATAACATCGGTGTGACTTAGTAAGCATAATCGTAAACAGATTAATTTTACAATAGAATTACTAGTATCTGGACATCAACATCAAGATGTCATGAACATTAATTTGTTTAGCATTGCCGTTTCGGTTTTTATAGGTATTATACAATGAGTTCAGTGATAACAGTTCTACAATTTTGTAAATACAAACAAACCCAGAATAGATTATTTTCTCTTTATTTTATCGTTTTTATTTTTTATTTTATTTTGATTTAACTCCATTTTATTTTGTTTGTATTTTATTTTTTTTATTCATTTCTTTCTTCTTCTTTGTGTGTGTGTGTGTGGGGGCAATACGACATGTATTTACTTAGAAACTGGCGGTTTTATTTTTTTCTTAGCATTTTATTATAAACACTGTTACACTGTTGATGTCAAATACTTAAAAACGTTTAGTGTGAAACAAATTCACGTTGTTTCGAAACATGAAGGTCGTCGCAGTGTCGGGTCAGCTAGCTAATTCTACCGGATTCACTAAAAACAAACTGCATTTGGATCAGATGATACGTTTTTCAAAACAATTCGTGCTGCCGCTTAATGTCCTCACAGGCTATAAATACCCTGTGTCAACCAGTTCGCTCTGTGCGTGAGACCTTGTTATCTTACTGTTTGTTTTCTTTAGGGGCTTCGAGGAAACAGGTACTAGTTGGCTAGGTGGGATTATATTGGACCTATAAAGCCAGTTTTGATTAGAAATACACCTATGTTTTTGAAGGTTTGGGTGTTTGTCGGCCTGGGAGTGTTTGTAGTATTTTTATTCATTTTGTGTGTGTGTGTGTGTGTGTGTGTGTTGAGTAGTATTGTGTGTGTGTTATGATTTTACAGGTTTGTTCTGTAAGTGATTTGTGTGGACCCGTTATCAACCTACACATTCTGACATTGATCGATACCCGGAAACCTTCGATCTGACAATAAACTCTGGGACCCTACTTCCCACAAAGCACATCGAGGTATAGTAGCTGTCATAATTATGCTATATGAAACTATATTCCATTTTATAGCGATAATCATTTATATCATTCTACCTGTACACTTGATATACAATGGGAACTGGTTTTGCGTGCAAGGAAACTATAAAAATAGCCCTATCAAACGTGTTGTAGTATAATGTCCTTCTTTCTTTAATTACGAACAGCGCAACCTCTTTAAACCGGACGATACATTTCAAAACGTTTTGACTAACAAGTGTCCGGATTACCGTGCTGAGTACGGTCCATGGAATGAGTTTAAAAGGAAAATACGGACAGTTATCGCAGGTGTCCAGATTAGGGAGGTTTAACAGTATCTCAGTAAATAAACACACACAGTTACCATAACAACTGTAAACAAATCATTATAACCATGTTCACACAATAAGTAACTGTACATTCGAAATCAAATCAGGAGTGGATCCCCGAGATCTCATTTGTCATGTACAAGGTAAACAAGTAGGTCACGACTGTCAAATGATATAAACAACATACAGAAGTAAACAACTGACCTTGGGATCCGATAACGTTGATATGAAATATTGAACAAAAACAAGGGGACGCGCAGCAATAACCTCATCATGTCTTGCCTTGTGGTAGGTTTCTGAGCTCTATCCAGATAGCCCCTGTTCTGTCTGTGCTGATAACTATCCGGGACGCTATGACATGACACTAACAATTACTGAAACCGAGATCACACACCCTTGACGAGATTACACCCTGAAACCAGCAGTGCATGAGGACACGTTATTGGATGTGTGATTCAAAGGAACAAAAGGCGGTTACAGCCACTTTAGGGGTTGGATAAGGGGCAGCAGAACAGAATATTGATTACATTCAGGCCGCCCTCCGTGGCATATGAAGTTCAAGGTACAATATTATTCAAACTGGCGATTGTACAGAGACGTGTGTGTAATACATACCGTATTTTGGGACATGGCTCTCGTTGTCTTGAGTTCAGGCAATACTATGAAGTAAATATAAACCCGTGTGAGTACCCCTCAGACAGGTGGAGACATAGCTGTGTGTTCTACACCACCGGTTCAGCGTTAACGAGTGTGTGTGCTATTGATTTGAAGGGTTGGTTTTTTTTCAATTTAAATACACGTATAGTTTGAGTATCGTATGACTCATTGCATTGACATCTCGTGAGGAAAATCCACCTTCACCCGCGCTATTAATATCAGGGTTGTCAACGTGCATGCTTCTTGCCTGAATAACGCGCATTGTTGCAATAGCAAATGTCTAGCGTTGATTTGTTTTTACTTAAGGAACTCGGTTTTTAGATGTTAACAATGCATAATAAGCACATGACTGTAGGAAAACTTTGAAGCTGATTACAGCTTTAACCAATTATTATATTCAGTTGCCTAAAATGTTTTAGACGAGGAAGTAGTTGATAGGATACATGTTTCATTGTTCAGGTATCAACGGACAGGAGAGGTTGAGAGTTGGTCGGTTGGCTGGTGTGCTGTTTTACGCCGCACACAACAATATTCCAGCTATATGGCGGAGGTCTGTAAATAATCGGTCTGGACCAGACAATCCAATGATCAACATCATGAGCATCGTTCTAGGTAATTGGGATACGATGACGATACGTGCCTGACCACCCGATCCCTCTTACTATAAGCATGGGTTACTGAAGGCCAATTCTGACCCGGATCTCCACGGGTAAGAGGTTGAGAGAATGCGGCCCCTTGCTACATATTTAATAATGTTCAATTTTAAATTCTTTGTGAGTGTCAGTGAGAGTTATGTCTGTGTGAGTTTTTTCTTTGATTATATCTGTGTGTATGTGCCTGTGTTCATGATATCTATCATCGGACTGTTTGCTCTAGAGGAGGTCATTAACAGACCACCGGCATATAGCCTTAATGGGCGGACTGTGCATTTGTCCATCAGCTTAATCAGGTATACAACAGACCAAAGTTTGTTTGTTATATTGTTAAAGTGTTGTGTTATTCAGTGAAGGATACAAGTTCTATACGTACTACTATTTTAGTATCCTGCTAACGAGTTTTACCAATCTTGGCGATGAGATAAAACGTCCAGTGGTAAAACGCCCAGGTTCGATTCCCGACATGGTGACAATCAATAAAGCTCATGCCTCATGGATATTGCTCAAAAGCGTCAATCCTCACTCCTCAACATTATTTATGCGGCGTATTAACCGCAGTGTTGGTGAAGATGTAGAAGGATGGTGACAGGTCGAAACGAATAAAAGATCATTTAGTCATGGTGAGTTATGAAACAAACGATCGGTGAATCCCGGCACGACCAAAGGGCACAATTCTGCACAGCCAATTCTTGTGCTGCGATCCCCATGCCCATACTTATGAAGTGTCACTGATCGATTTCAAAGTTGAAACAATACGTGAGCACATAAATCAATTGAAATAATTAAATTCAGTGTGAAACCTCCGCACACCACCCCACCCCCAATAAAAAACAACAAAATAACAAAAACAAAAACAACATACACACATACATGAAAAATATAACCCATTAGATTAAAGATAAAATAAATAAGGTAAGTTAAAGGTCACATGCAACCAAAAAATCAAACATAATTAAAACACAATTATCACTTCTTCATGACATATAATATGCATTGCTGATTATGAAAAAACAAATAAACAAAATTATAAGCGTATAATCGCAAATCAAAAGTGCAATATTTTGTACTTGGGTTTACCTCCCTCGAAACGAAGCAGCCGGGATACCGAACCCAGTCAGAGCGGGTGGGTGTGCACTCAAGTGTAACGGCTGGTTCATTAGCAGATGCCGCCTTCACGGGTCATTGTGTGTGTATATATATATAGAAAGTTGGGTTTTGTAAATACATGCTCATTTTTTGTGTATAACATTTTGCAATCAACAGACATCATAACATGTCATGTGTTCAAGTATCACACCTGCCTGTCTGTGTAATTACATAATGTGACAGAGACCGAACTCGGGCCATAAATCAATGCGTTTTGTTTATGGTGTATAGCCTGATTGGTGTTAAGTTCAAATTGCATGTGGTCAGTGATCGCAGTTGTGTATTGAATATTGTCATTAGCAGACAGGCAGGCAGACACACTGGTGTCAATAAAACAAGACATTGAGTTTTGTCTGTGACAGCGACATATCTATATCACCGTTAGAAATCGTGTCAACTCTAAATAATGACATTGCTTTTAAGTATCGAACTGAGAAAGTGACTCGGTAAGAAGAACGTGTGGTGAAATAGACAAATGAAATTATATAAACAGTTTATTTACTGTCATAACATACAAAAAAAGCTCGCGCATGTGAGATATCAACAAAACATTATGAAACTAGCTCACACCAAAGCCTTCACCGAGTATTCACCAGACAGCCCGCATCCAAGTTGCGCGAACCTATTTCACTGCGCACGTGCTATGAGCGCAGCCAGCTGTTGAAACCCGTATTCCCCAGAAAAGTCTGGGGAAAATTAGTGAAACGTTTGAACTCCGATTTCGCGCGTTTTTTTTCATCGCGTTATTTTTCAACTTTATAAGTTGAATTTGCATTTTTGACGCTTTTTTTCGGTAAGTCCATACCGAAAGGTATCAGAATCTGCAAAGTTGTGTTTTACGTTGCATGTGACCTTTAAATAAAACACTAGCAAAAACATCAACAAAGAAATATTAGATAATTAGCAGTTACTATAAAGATTTAGTCATCAATACAAGTTACTGCAAAGTAATTGCTATGACAGTACACAACAGTGGCGAAACTTACTTCTGTGCACAACCACATATAGTGGTAGTGTTCAAAATGACGAAGATAGTTAGTCAGCAATAACGACATTCATCTAGTGGCAACAGCGCTCAAGCTTAAACAATAGGCCCAGGCTGGATATCCAGACTGGAACGTTATCTACACCACAGACACATTCGTGATGTATGACGACAGAAGTATGTTCTTGCCCGCTTATATAGTTATACAATCTACCAAAAACGTCCATATCCTGCTGGATCAATCTGTGCTGTTGTAGAAGATTTCCGACATGTTATAACAATTTGCACGCTTTCTGAACAAGCAACGGTGAATTCAAATATAATCTTTCACTAGTTGACCTTATACGCGTGAAGATCCGTGTTAGAATTTGCCTTCAGTAACACATGCTTGTCGTAAGAGGCGACTAACGGGATCGGGTGGTCAGGCTCGCTCACTTGGTTGACACATGTCATCGATTCCCTATTGCGCAGATCGATGCTCATGATGTTGATCACTGGATTGTCTGGTCCAGATTCGATTATGTACAGACCGCCACCATATAGCTGGAATATTGCTGGGTGCGGCGTAAAACTAAACTCACTCACTCCTAGTTGACTTTAAACAGGTACACGGATGAATAAGCATTGCATCACATAAAGTATTCCTACCTGGTACACCTAGCTGGTTAACGCCGCGCATGCCAGAGTGATGAACGTCCTTTGAAAGTCTGACTTTATGTATGCTATCGTGCGGAAATATTGAACTATTGAACTGACTTGATATGGCGTCAGGCGTCAGGCGTAAGGATCCGGGTTATGATAACCTTTCAGCTAATCATGCTTAATGTTAGAGTCGAAAATACCTATAAAGAGGCGACTTACGGGATCGGGTGGTCAAGATCGATGATGATGTCATCGTATCCAGATTGAGTAGATCGATGCACATAATGTCAATCACCGGATTGTGCAATGTACGTGACATGACTCGGTGGTTTCCTTTGTTCACACTGCCTGCTAGACCAACATAACAGTTTTGCTTATAGTTGTAGTAGGATTAGTAGTAGTAGTAGTGGTAGTAGTAGTAGTAGTAGTAGTAGTAGTAGTAGTAGTAGTAGTAGTAGTAGTAGTAGTCGTAGTAGTAGTAGTAGTAGTAGTAGTAGCAGTGGTAGTGGTAGTGGTAGTGGTAGTAGTAGTAGTAGTAGTGGTGGTAGTGGTAGTGGTAGTAGTAGTCGTAGTCGTAGTCGTAGTCGTAGTAGTAGTAGTCGTAGTAGTCGTAGTCGTAGTCGTAGTCGTAGTAGTCATAGTCGTAGTCGTAGTAGTAGTAGTAGTAGTAGTCGTTATCGTAGCAGTTAAAGTAGGTGTAGTCTTTGTAGCGGTAGTAGTACTTAGCGAGTTATTGAGTGAGTAGCCAAGATAGACGCAGACAACAGAATTGGGCTTCACACATTATCCTATGTTGGGAATCGAACCCGGGTCTTTGGGTTCAGGGACAAACGTTCAAACCACTAGGCCACCCCACCACAACTTGTAATAGTATTAGTAGTACTAGTAGTAGTAGTAGCAGTAGTACTAGTAGTAGTAGTATTAGTAGTACTAGTAGTAGTAGTAGCAGTAGTACTAGTAGGGTAGTAGTAGTAGTAGTAGTAGTAGTAGTAGTAGCAGTAGTACTAGTAGGAGTAGTACTAGTAGTACTAGTAGTAGTAGTAGCAGTAGTACTAGTAGTAGTAGTAGTAGTACTAGCAGTAGTAGTAGTAGTAGCAGTAGTAGTAGTAGTAGTAGTAGTAGTAGTAGTAGTAGTAGTAGCAGTAGTACTAGTAGTAGTAGTAGTAGTAGTAGTAGTAGTAGTACTACTACTACTACTACTAGTACTAGTAGTAGTAGTAGTGGTGGTGGTGGTGGTGGTTGTGGTAGTAGTAGTAGTAGTAGTCGGTTACATTTAGGTAGTGTAGTGAAGGTTACATTTAAATCTTACAGTGAAGGTTACAATTTAGTCTTGCGGTGATGGTTACATTTAAGTCTTACAGTGAAGGTTACAATTTAGTCTTGCGGTGATGGTTACATTTAAGTCTTACACTGAAGGTTACAATTTAGTCTTGCAGTGATGGTTACATTTAAGTCTTACAGTGAAGGTTACAATTTAGTCTTGCAGTGATGGTTACATTTAAGTCTTACACTGAAGGTTACAATTTAGTCTTGCAGTGATGGTTACATTTAAGTCTTACACTGAAGGTTACAATTTAGTCTTGCGGTGATGGTTACATTTAAGTCTTACAGTGAAGGTTACAATTTAGTCTTGCAGTGATGGTTATTGTTACATACACTGAGTCTTACACTTAGAAGGTTACAATTTAGTCTTACAGTGAAGGTTACATTTAAGTCTTACACTGAAGGTTACAATTTAGTCTTGCAGTGATGGTTACATTTAAGTCTTACAGTGAAGGTTACAATTTAGTCTTGCAGTGAAGGTTACATTTAAGTCTTACAGTGAAGGTTACAATTTAGTCTTGCAGTGATGGTTACATGTAAGTCTTACAGTGAAGGTTACAATTTAGTCTTGCAGTGATGGTTACATGTAAGTCTTACACTGAAGGTTACAATTTAGTCTTGCAGTGATGGTTACATTTAAGTCTTACACTGAAGGTTACAATTTAGTCTTGCAGTGAAGGTTACATTTAAGTCTTACACTGAAGGTTACAATTTAGTCTTGCAGTGATGGTTACATTTAAGTCTTACAGTGAAGGTTACAATTTAGTCTTGCAGTGAAGGTTACATTTAAGTCTTACACTGAAGGTTACAATTTAGTCTTGCAGTGATGGTTACATTTAAGTCTTACACTGAAGGTTACAATTTAGTCTTGCGGTTATTGTTACATTTAAATCTTACAGTGAAGGTTATAATTTAGTCTTGCGGTGATGGTTACATTTAAGTCTTACACTGAAGGTTACAATTTAGTCTTGCAGTGATGGTTACATTTAAGTCTTACAGTGAAGGTTACAATTTAGTCTTGCAGTGATGGTTACATTTAAGTCTTACACTGAAGGTTACAATTTAGTCTTGCAGTGATGGTTACATTTAAGTCTTACACTGAAGGTTACAATTTAGTCTTGCAGTGATGGTTACATGTAAGTCTTACACTGAAGGTTACAATTTAGTCTTGCGGTGATGGTTACATTTAAGTCTTACAGTGAAGGTTACAATTTAGTCTTGAGGTGATGGTTACATGAAGGTTACAATTTCGTCTTGCAGTGATGGTTACATTTAAGACCTGCAGTGAGGGTTTATAACATGAGCACATATCCACAGGGTTACATATTATGACCATCGAATCCATATTGTCGATTCTAACGACAAACATGGTCTATTGGATACATAACAAATACTAGAATACGGATATGGAAATTCAACACATTAATATCATCAACTTGAGCGGCCTCATCTGGGATATTAAACGCGAGATAAAATCAGCAAAAAATATAGAAAACACGCGTAACACAAGCAATGCAAGGTCAGGTTACTAATGCAGGAAGTACAGACGCCCACGTTAACACCAGCTGAACCTCCAATGAGGAAACTTGTTCTACCCCGTGATAACAATAAACCGTTATACAACTATCATGTGATGCAGGTCACATAAGTGGTGGGTGGGGTTAGCGCGGGGTTAGGGGTGGGGGTAAGGTGGTACCCTGTTGGACTCCATCTCAAATTACTCGTGTAAAACAATTTACAAGCATTTCTACCACACTATCTCCAAGCTACCACACTACCTCCAAACTACCACACTACCTCCAAACTACCACACTACCTCCATAACTACACTACATCACCATAACTACTACATCACCCAGAACTACAACTACACTACCCCTAACTATCACACTACTCTTAACTACCACACTACTCCTAACTATCACACTACTCTTTTACTACCACACTACTCTTTACTGCCACACTACCTTTCACACACTACCACACTAACACAAACCACACTACCACAAACCACACTACCTCTTTTACTACCACACTACCCCTAACTACACACACCTCTTTACTACCACACTACCCCTAACCACACACCACTACTACATTACTACCACACTACCCTCTTTACTACCACACTACCCCTAACTACCACACTCACACCTACTACTCTTTACTACCACACTCCTCTTTACTACCCCCTAACTATCACACAATTTACAAGCACTCTTTACTACTCACACTACACTACAAACTACCACACTACCTCCAAACTACCACACACTACATAACTACTACTCACACACACTACTACTTTACTACCACACTACCCCCTAACTATCACACTACTCTTCACTACCACACTAACCCTAACTATCACACTACTCTTTACTACCACACTACCCCTAACTATCACACTACTCTTTACTACCACACTACTCTTTACTACCACACTACCCCAAACTATCACACTACTCTTCACTACCACACTACTTTCACTACCACACTACCCCTAACTATCACACTACTCTTTACTAGCACACTCCTCTTTACTACCACACTACCACAAACTACACTGCCACAAACTACCACACTCCTCTTTACTACCACACTACCCCTAACTACCACAATCCTCTTTACTACCACACTACTCTTTACTACCACACTCCTCTTTACTACCCCCTTACTCTTTCCTACCACACTACCCCTAACTATAACACTACTCTTTACTACCACACTACCCCTAACTACCACACTACCACAAACTACACTACCACAAACTACCACACTACCCTAAACTACACTACCATCAACTACCACACTACCACAAACTACACTACCATCAACTACCACACTACCCCAAAAGTACACTACCACAAACTACCACACTACCACAAACTACCACACTACCCAAAACTACACTACCATCAACTACCACACTACCCCAAACTACACTACCATCAACTATCACAATACCCCAAACTACACTACCCCAAACTACCACAAACTACACTACTACAAACTACCACACTACCACAAAATACCACACTACTACAAAATACCACACTACTACAAACTACCACACTACCCCAAACTACCCCACTACCCCAAACTACACTACCACAAACTACCACACTACCACAAACTACACTACCACAAAATACCACACTACCCCAAACTACACTACCATCAACTACCACACTACCCCAAACTACACTACCATCAACTACCACAATACCACAAACTACACTACCACAAAATACCACACTACCACAAACTACCACACTACGACAAACTACCACACTACCACAAAATACCACACTACCACAAAATACCACACTACCCCAAACTACACTACCACAAACTACCACACTACCACAAAATACCACACTACCACAAAATACCACACTACCACAAAATACCACAAACTACCACACTACCACAAAAGACCACACTACCCCAAACTACACTACCACAAACTACCACACTACCACAAAAAAACACTACCACAAACTACACTACCACAAACTACCACACTACCACAAACTACACTACCACAAACTACCACACTACCACAAACTACAACACTACCACAAACTACCACACTACCACAAACTACCACACTACCACAAACTACTAAACTACACTACCACAAACTACTACACTACCACAAACTACCACACTACCACAAACTACCACACTACCACAAACTACACCACAAACTACCACAATACCCCAAACTACCACACTACCACAAACTACAATACCACAAACTACCACACTACCACAAACTACCACACTATCCAAACTACTAGTCTGTCATACAGACCCTGAAGCAAATATATCCAAGAAAGCCCATGCAAGTCTAGACAATGTGGCAAGTCTAGATTTCCTCATTTCTTTATTATATTTTATTGTTTTTCCACTATGAGATTTTTTCTGTTAAATATGTTTATTTCAGAGACTAGTTGTTAGTCTACCAAACTACCACACTATCCCTGACTACCCCACTACCTCCAAACTACCACGTTATTAACACTGACGATTGGGTGGCCTGGCTATGTCCCTAAATCTGTCAATGACTTAGCCATAGCATTACTGTACCAGTCATCTGGCCTAATGGTGTAGTACTATAGTTACACAGGCCGTTTCGAAGAAAGGGGCAGAATCAGAGGACGTCTGTTAAATCGGAAACGCGGTCACGGTTTGTAAACATGCACTATTCGTGTGTTTCACTATATCTGTACACGCCTATGTCCCGGAAATACATCTATATTATTGAAAACATATATGTACAACAATGATAATCATATTGTCGATCGAACATACTCACAGGACAATCTTAATTTCAGGCCTATATGTGTAATCTAGATGTTAAGGAATTTAGTCAGCATTCCGATGATAAATAGCTCACAGATGATAAAGAGTAGGTTTTGTTTTATTTCGAAATCATATATCAATAACATGAGACGTTCTGCTTTGTGATTATAAAAACAAACTTAAGAAAAATAATATTGAAGAAACATATAGTACATAAGGCGTGAATATTGTGCATACGTTAACGTTTGCAAGAGATTTTAAACATTGTTATAAATGCCACGTGGTAGTGACTTGACATAAAACAGTCTTGGCTTAAATGATGACCGAAGATTATTGTGTACAGCTGACATGTTGCGATATAGCAGCAATATATAACAACGTTGGAATAACAATAGATTTAAATGCATAGAGAGTGCATAGGAGAGCAGAGGTAACGGATATTAACAGATGGCTTGAGCTCACTGCTATGTGCATTTGACTAGAGATCACTCTTGTGTACATTTCGCTGAAATGACTTAAAAATAATAATATCATACAATTGAACGCAGTTTTACAGTGAATTAAACTATCATGTACCCTCATGAATCCACCACGACAAAGTTCACGAGGACCTAACACAGTTCCTAGGGGCGGTGGGTAGCCTAGTGGTTAAGGCGTTCGCGAATCACGCTGAGTACCCGGGTTCGATGTCCCCAATGGGCACAATGTATGAAGCCCATTTCTGGTGTCCCCCTGCGTGATATTGCTGGAATGTTGCGGCGTAAAACTAAACTCACTCACTCACTTAACAGTTCCTTTATCCACCAGGCCCACCAAGAAGAGTGGCCCAGTGTATATGTCACAAGCTCAACTGTCGGCGAATGTTCCTCCTTGTTCTGTGCAAGTATCCTCATATTAACAACACGAGCCACGCAGTTCTCTGAGACGCTACAGTTCAGGAGTTTTCGAGGTTTCTAATACAATACATAGCCAAGAGGTTGATGTGTTTCGGCTTTCCAGGTTAATGCTAAGATAAATGTCGTTCAAATTGTCTATACATTAACCACCAAAAACCATTTTGATTCACGTCTCCTTGTCAGAATGGCAGTTCAAGTTAAAGAAGCATCCTCAAAACTGTCCACCTTAGAATAGTATAGCAATGACGTGAAACAGTCCGTTTTGAACAAAGGAGCGGAATAAGAGTACGTCATTAAATCGGAACGCGGTGACGGTTTTGATTCGTGTCTCCTTATCAGAATGGCATGTGTTCATGGGATCATGTGATAAACGCCATAGTGAATGGCAGAATGCATGTCATATGCGCCTACAACTTTGCGTGGGATCACTTGAGGCTGTTGCACACTCATCCAGAGTCTCATCCATCTCCCTATCACGGGCTCCTTTCACGAAGCAATCTTTACTAAGGTAAACCTTAACTCCCATTCTCTGGCATTGCACTAAGGTTACTTTAGTGACTTACGATCACCTTAGTGTTTTGTGAAAGTAGGCCCATATCTGTAAGTACCTGATATGATGACTAGTCTCTTGGTATGTTGACCCAAGATTGAGATTTTCAGAATACTGGTGACAATGAGATTAACTCCCTGGTGCCGTTCGATCGGGTTCCAGTTCCAGAAGCATCCTGCTGGCATCTTGGTATGTTGACCCAAGATTGAGATTTTCAGAATACTGGTGACAATGAGATTAACTCCCTGGTGCCGTTCGATCGGGTTCCAGTTCCAGAAGCATCCTGCTGGCATTCGTCCACGGTTTTAAGAGATACAATCCAAGAGTAGTCTTCCTGGGACCCTGGTACCCCGCTGTCTGTGGTGACCTGTCTGTAGGTGGACATACAACTGTCTGAGGAACATGACCATGTTTCGCTGTTCTCATCACTCTGAGGGCCAGCCGGCAGCCAAGGTGCTTCTGGGCCAGATGGTTCTCCTTCTGGAAGGACGTGGTGACCCGGAAGTGAAACTTCAATTTTGCTATTTCCGTGTCCCCTTATTTCATCTGCATGGTCCTGTACAGTAGAAGGGTGTTTGTGTTGTTGACGAAGATGAGAGATGGTATCAGGGGTGATGTGTTTGTCTTCTCTATGGTCTGTGTGGATGTCGTGGATGGATATCAATACACCAGCAGCATCTTGATGAATGCGATGTTCCTGCAACACAATTACAGTGAGTTGAGTTACACCCTACTTTAAACTGTGGTCTGTGTTTAAGTAGGCCTTTTTAAAACGAAAATCGTGAGGGAGTAAGCTTTTAGCAATAGTCCAGCAATAGCATAAGAGTGAGTGAGTGTGTCACGGCAGGGGAAACCAGAATGTATGTATGTATGTATGTATGTATGTATGTATGTATGTATGTATGTATGTATGTATGTATGTATGTATGTATGTATGGATGGATGGATGGATGTATGTATGTATGTATGTATGTATGTATCATCTATACATATATATATATATATATATATATATATATATATAAGAAGAAGTTTCTGTGTAATCACTTCTCCCTGAAGATAAAAGTGAAACATGTTGGAGAAGATCCGTGTTGTGTAATTATTTCAGAAACTTCTTCTTATATATGTACTACTGTACGCTCGGTATTCTCAACACTTTCTTTATATATATATATATATATATATATATATATATATATATATATATATATATATATATATATATATATATATGTGTGTGTGTATATATATATATACATACACACACACACACACACACATAGATATAGATATATACATATGAATGTTTGTATAATAAAATTGTGTATGTGTATGTTTATATATATATTGTATAACCGTGTCTGGGCGTCTGTGTGTAACACGTGTGTGTGTTTCGGTGTATATGTGTTTCAGCATATATGTGTGTGTTTCATTATCCGTTTAAGTGTCAGTGTATACATTGTCAGGGAGAGTGTGTGTTTGTGTGTATACATTTGTGTGTGTGTGTGTGTGTATGTATTTGTGTTTCCGTACGTACCATAGATATTGAATCCTCGTCACCTGGAAACGTCACCATCCTAGGCGTGATAATGACGAAACGTTTACAAAGTGAATGCCTGCTGTACAGTCTTCCACTGCTGAAAGTCAAAACGACAGATATGAATGAACATAGTTTCGGACAAAGCAGGGGTCATGCATGCTCTGTACTGACATACACATGGAGACGATTTCTGAATTGATATTAGCTCAACGACCAAACAATGGCGACTTCAGGGCGCATGCCATCCTGTATGCGCTGTGTGCCGTCGTGAGAGGGCATTGTTTTACGTCGCAGTTAGCAATAATATTACTGCAGTATAGAGGGGTCATTATAAATGGCTTTACACTTTGTACCCATATGTAAAACTCGGACCCACCGCCCAACATTATGTGAAATGTGAAGCTATGTGAAATGTGAAGCTATGTGAACTTTGAAGCTATGTGAACTGTGAAGCTATGTGAAATGTGAAGCTATGTGAACTATGAAGCTAGGTGAAATGTGAAGCTATGTGAACTGTGAAGCTATGTGAACTGTGAAGCTAGGTGAAATGTGAAGCTATGTGAAATGTGAAATGGAGGTCAATCACAACGTACTCTATGGCCGCGCTCCCCCAATCCATAGTGTTTTCGGTTACCAGCTATTTCTGTCAACTTGTGTCACATAACGCGGGAATAGATAGTATTTTATGTTCTTAAACATGATAAAAAAAAGTGGGAGGAGACTTGAATTCCCTCCCGACTTGAATCCCCTCCTGTAGATAACCAACTGCACGTCTCCGTCTTGACTCGCAGGGTTTCTGTGTAGTTGCAGGGTTTCTGTGTAGTTGCAGGGTTTCTGTGTAGTTGCAGGGTTTCAGCAGTATCCCTACCATCTGAGTGAGTGAGTGAGTTTAGTTTTACGGCGCTTTTAGCGATATTTCAGCAATATCACGGCGGGCGACACCCGAAATGGACTTCACATGTTGTACTCATGTGGGTAATCGAACCTGGGTGTTCGGCGTGATGAGCCAACGCTTCCTACCATCTGAGTATGGCCCAGACAATACACAGATCACAAGGCAAATAGTATACAATGACATCGAGTTTGACCACCTGATCCCGTTAAACGCCACTTACGACAAACACGAGTTGCTGAAGACCAGTTCTTAACCGGATCTTCTACAGAACGGGTATGATTAGCAAAGGATGATTAGCATGGGAATGATTAGAATGTGCACGATTAGCAGAGATATAATTAGCATGGGAATGATTAGAATGTGCACGATTAGCAGGGATATGATTGGCATGTGAAAGATTAGAACGAATATGAGGAGCATGAGAAATACCAGAACGTGCATGTTTAGTGTTGATATGATTATCAAGGTGTGAGTAGCGTGGGTATGATTACCTAGCACGGATTGGATAACAAGCACGGGAATGGATAACAAAGATATGATAAAGCATGAGTATGAATGCACATAAAGACAGGTGATATTTAAAATACTAACAGAACAACACAATGATGAGACATACGTACATAGCACCCACGGCAATAAACATGACGGCAACCATAACAGTCAGGACGATGATGACGGCTAGTATGTCCCTGTAGCCCTGGTCTCTCTTGTCATCGTCAACAGCTGCGACTGCAACAGCATGTGGAGAAGAGAGTCTGGTGGGTTGGACTTTAACGTTCGAGATCATTGCACTTATACAAAGATCTGAATGCATGCAAGTTTGAATTCTTCCGAGCCAATGCTGGTTTTATAGTGCCACCCCAATGAGCCGAGGTATAACCTGCATACCCAACAAAGACACAACAGACAACTCGGGACCGCTATGTGTTTTATATTCTCAGTGCCGGGCGCCAAGTACCATCTTAAAACGTATTTTCATAGGACGCGGGCAGGATGCTCCCGAGTAGACTTCTAATCGCTGAACCCAGGAGGCGGTTCTTCAGTAGCAGTAACAGATAAATATCCCAAACAAACAAACACCTGCCAACCAACCGACCAGTCATTTGACCAACCAATCAACCAACCAGTCAACCAATCAATCAACCAACCAATCAACTAGTCAACCAACCAGCCGAGCAATCAATCAACCAACCAATCTACCAACCAGTCAACCAATCAATCAACAAACCAATCAACCAGTCAACCAACCAATCTACCAACCAAGCAATAACCCATCCAATCAACCAACCAACCAACCATTTGACCAACCAGTCAACCAATCACTCAACCAATCAACCAACCAATCAGCCAGTCAACCAACCAGCCGATCAATCAATCAATCGTATTAAAAGTACTCAAGGATGATGACAGAATCCACTCGGAAGTCTTACATCGTAATGGAGTATTCCACACCAGTTTAGATCTGACGTTGCCGACGTGACGTGAGACAGCATACTGCCACTCACATCTACTACACCTTACTCTCAGAGGGTCAAGGTCTTTTATTGCCATAGAACGGCGCCCACCTGGCAGGAGTTTCTTCTGTATGGCGTTCTGAAAAAAGTTACAAATGCAGACAGTATACCGTATTCATATTCACTTCAAAAGGGTTGGGTTCATATTATAGTATCAAACATAATATTCAATTTGACATTAAGGGATCAAATTATAGTTAACCCCTATCCATCGAAACATCACCTTCCGGAAGTATGAACGCATGCGCCTCACTATACAAAAGGGGCATAACTCTCCACTCACATGAGTCGTAAACGTGTTAACTGTTTACCTGGGAACGTCCGGTTTAGCAGGGTTCACTGTATATGCAAAGTGTATACTTCCGGTAAATTGGCTAAAATATATTTTGGAATGATTTGACAGAATAGTCTGTTGTGGATAAGCGATGTCATCGACAACTCCAGACCCCTGTTAATCCGGACACTTTGTATTCCGAGAGAGTGAGTGAGTGAGTTTAGTTTTCATGCCGCACTCAGCAACATTCCAGTTATACGGCGGCGGTCTGTAAATAATCGAGTCTGGACCAGACAATCCAGTGATCAACAGCATGAGCATCAATCTACGCAATTATTCCGGAAGAATATGTGCTACCAGAACATGTCTATGTACCCTGAATAGTTAATCCGTACGACTTCACATTACCGTCCTATCAATGGTGTTTACTGCGTACATATAATAGTCATGTTCATCGCTATGTAATGCTGTTACTCACCATGCATTTTACAAGCTGTGGCAGTTTGTAATGTTGATACCCGAAACACCACGAGACTATGGTGGTGTTCAGAGCTTTTCGTTCAGCGATCAAATCCCAATGAAGTGTTTTGTTCGCTCTGTGTACGTTGTGAACATACCGTACGTCTGTAAACAGAGGAATTTTGTTATACCGCACGTCTGTAAACTGAGGAATGTTGCTATACCGTACGTCTGTAAACAGAGGAATGTTGTTATACCGTGCGTCTGTAAACAGAGGAATGTTGTTATACCGTACGTCTGTAAACAGAGGAATGTTGCTATACCGTAGGTCTGTAAACAGACGAATGTTGTTATACCGTACGTCTGTAAACAGAGGAATGTTGTTATAACGTACGTCTGTAAACAGACGAATGTTTTTATACCGTACGTCTGTAAACAGAGGAATGTTGCTATACCGTACGTCTGTAAACAGACGAATGTTGCTATACCGTACGTCTGTAAACAGAGGAATGTTGTTATAACGTACGTCTGTAAACAGAGGAATGTTGCTATACCGTACGTCTGTAAACAGACGAATGTTGCTATACCGTACGTCTGTAAACAGAGGAATGTTGTTATACGTCTGTAAACAGAGGAACGTTGTTATACCGTACGTCTGTAAACAGAGGAATGTTGTTATACCGTGCGTCTGTAAACAGAGGAATGTTGCTATACTGTATGTCTGTAAACAGAGGAATGTTGATATACCGTACGTCTGAAAACAGAGGAATGTTGTTATACCGTACGTCTGTAAACAGAGGAATGATGTTCTTCTATACGCATGTAAACAGATGAATGTTGCTATACCGTACGTCTGAAAACAGAGGAATGTTGATATACCGTACGTCTGAAAACAGAGGAATGTAGTTATACCGTACGTCTGTAAACAGAGGAATGTTGCTGTACATTGTTATACACGGATTCGTTTAAACTATATCCATGTCTTTTGGTTCTTGGACATTTCTGCCATATTTCTACCAGGACCCTTCTGCCAGAAGGAAGAGAGCAAGTATAACTTAAAGCTAAGAATTCAGGAATCTACAGGCATAAATGTTAGGGACAACATAATTGGAGAAGAGCTTTCATAACATTTTAAGAACTCGCAGAGCATTGGTGTATCAGAGACAACCTGTTTCTAAAGTATTATTTCTTGCAATATGTTCTTGAACAAATCCCATCCTGTTAAGGTCCGAATTCGACTTGGTCTTCATGTACCCATGTTCGCCTTAACAGGCGACTAAAGAGGTCGAGTGGTTAACGCAAGTCAGCGTGTCCCTATGCATAGATCGATACTCCTGGCTCCATTGGCCGGTTTTTGGCAAGCTGTGATTGATTAGTCGACTCTAATCATGGTATTTATTGAATTCATTTAAAATTGCAACAACGAAAAGTTCATTTGCTAAATAATATAATAATGTTAATAGATTTAAGAAATTTCTGCTATAGCAGGTCTTTTGTATTATTTGTAAAATTTATATCAATCCAGCAGTCAGTATGTAAGGTCGTTACGCATGCGCTCCATTAACCGGCTACAGTACAAAAGTGTACAATATGTTATGAAAGCCACATGGTGACGAAAACTATCTGCTTTTTGTGCGAACTAAATGTTGAACGAGTTAATTACTATTGGGCACGTCCATCCAGGTAAAGGTGCATTAAGAGGTACTTAAGATTCGTTAATTCTACAACTACTTTGTAACCAATGGATTAACGAGCTTCCGTTGTATCTTGGACGTCACAGAGGTACTCACCCAAATCCCGTCTGTATACATGGAGCTGGGACGCATTCTTAGACCAGCCGATCCTAGTCGCAGCGTTCACCCGTACAGTCACGTTGCTGTGTCCGGTGATGTTGATTGTGGTCGAGTGGCCAGTGGTGTACAGCGGCTGTGACAGACAACAGCTGGCGTGGACGGAGTAGTTGACAATAATTCCCCTGCTGGCTTCCCGCGGAACTGACTGTAAGATTACATACATACATACTGACATTTGTATAGCGCCGATATCCAGCGGAACTGACTGTAAGATTAACCAGATCATCAGATAAACATGCATCAAAAACCTGGAGATATCTCACTAATATAACTATAGTCCGTTTGGCTCAAAACCGGGCCGATGAATGGCAATCTAACTCGAAAACTAATAACCATAAAATACTCAATGAAACACTGATCATAATGAAAACGTCATTAAAATATCGACACAGTTCACTATTTCTTACGAGGGAGGAGTGCAGAGAAAGGGACAGCCGGGTGTGCAAGAAAGGATGGAGACGGCACAGCACAGGTTAATGAATCAATAACTTTGTCGGCACTTGTGCACGTGCTTCTCGAACACCTGGCTGTCCCTTTCTCTGCACTCCTCCCTCGTAACAAATAGTGAACTGTGTCAATATTTTAATGATAGTTTGTAAAAACAACTTTTTTAATTTTAGGACATAAATTCTGCAAACAAATCACAGACTTGGTCGGATATTTTGATTATGATCAGCGTTTCATTGAGTATTATATGTTTATTAGTTTTTGAGTTAGATTGCAATTCATCGGTCCGCTTTTGAGCCAAACGCGCTATATACAGGATGACAGATACGTTTAGGGTATGACAGAAGTGAATATCATATGACTTTCTTGTAAGTTACTAGAGTAAATGTCAGGCAGGTTATCGATATACATCATAGAGATCAATAATCGTAAACACATATCGATATCGATCGGTTATTGATAAATATAGGAAACGCAACTTTGAGCAAAAATGTCAAACTGTCTGAAAGTAATGAATGCATTTCACATCTCACCAGTGATGTGAAATGCATTCATTCATAAAACATAATTTAGAAGCAGGCCATGAATAAAGTAGTAAATATGTATATGGTATGAAAGAATTAGAACTTTTTTCTATCACAAAAGTTAACGTACGATATTATCCAAAATACAATTTTCATATCGATAAGCATCAATACGTTTTCATATCTGCGATATTTCCGAGTATCTATCATTTTAGCCAGCCCTACTAACTGTTGTATCGTAATGAAGTTACATACACCCCAATAGACCTCCAGCACTCCAGGCGCCACTTTGCTGAATGCGCTCTCTGGTATTACTGGGCCTCTCGCTGGAACTAGAGAATCGAGACAAGTTTAAGATACCTGATAAATATACCATGCTTCTTAGAAAGTGGTTAAATGCAGCATATGATGTACTTGGGGTTATTCTTCCTTTGTATTTTTCATATTACAGTATCTTACAGTAACGAACAGTAACCCAGTTGTCTCCCCTTCGTTCTGCAGGAAGTTGTTGGTATATTTTGGTAGGGACGTTTCGTTTGTGACAAAACATCCTTATTACCCTTTTATATTAACACTGACATCTTACTTGCTTGAATCAATGGTATCATCCACATATATTCGATACAATTAGGGATATTCGACACAACCGGAGGTATTTGACACAACCGGAGTGCTGATATGAGACCAAAGCATCTTACAGCAAAAACAGAAGCAGAGCATATCATGTTAATCAAAATTTATTACCATGGCATAATCCTTCAGTGTCTCGTGTACATAGACAAATTGGTGGAGCCATCAGGTTCATTGAGCAGTTGCTGGAACGACAACGTCCCTTAGAAAGCTAGTGGCAGCATGCACAATGGATGGCGGATTCGTCATTTTGATATACTTAGGATCAAGATGTGAAGACAAAGCGATAATGCACAGTGAGAATTACAGTTTAACCTATATCCGTGCTGCTGTAGGTAATAGATATATAATACTGACCGTCCTCAAAGGTTGAATCTGTGGCATTCAGTGGGGGGCCAAGGAACCCCTTTCGGCGGGGTCGTGACCTGACTGTTACAGTGTAATTTGTCCAGGGCTTCAGGTCAGTCAGAACCATCTCCACATCTTCATCCTTGGACTTAGTTTTCTTGACCTGAGACAAAAGTGAAAAGTCAAAACCAATACAAGTTGTCCGTAGTTCGAACAAGCAGCGTTATGTGAAACAGATACTGATTCTCTCTTGTAAGGGAGTTCGAGTTAACTATGTTGTTTTGAATTCGACTGTCATGTATATCCCTAGATTTCTTTTGAACGCGTTTTTTTCTACTCTCTTTTCTGTCGCAATAAGACATTTCAAACCTATGTGATAACAAAACAATCAAAACAATCAATCATCACGTGTTATATATAGTTAGGAGTTACTTACACGATTCGAGTACAACACTACGTATTTATAGGTCTCGTAGTAGGGGTATCTGTCGTCAGGTTTCTTCCATGACACCTGCAACGCTGTGCTGTTGATGGCTCTCACTTGTAGATCTCGAACTGGACCAGGTTGTACTACAGACAAACAGCAATAAAAGAATCAGTAATGATGCTCCACGACCACGCTTAAGTGTTAAAAGCATAAGAGAAGAAATGATGTTATTCAAGTAATCCGAAGTAATTACGTACCAACCAAACTGTCGAGTTAACTAATGGGGCGATGGAGTAGCCTAGTGGTTAAAGCGTTGGCTCGTCACGCCGAAGACCCGGGTTCGAATCCCCACATGGGTACAATGAGTGAAGCCCATTTCTGGTGTCCCCCGCCGGGATATTGCTGGAATATTGCTAAAGGCGGCGTAAAACCAAACTTAGTCAGTCAGTCAGTTAACTAATTATGGGCTACTTTGCTACTAGATGTCGTGGATTAGCCGAACGGGTAATGTCCGGATGCGCGGATGGATTGGACTGCTAGACATATTCGTGTTCCTGCCAGGGTATAATTTGAGAGAAACAAAGTTAAATATACTAATGGGCAAAAGACAGTGAACGCTTTTATTTTGAATTTTTGGCAAAGTTGTCCAATTTAGTAAAATCCTTTTAGGCCGAAATAGCCAGGTGAGAAGACGACCGCGGCCCACAGCGAACCGACAAGAACTTGAAGACGCTCTCAGGAACGAGTGGAATAGGATTCCGAATGACGTCATTCGGCGGCTGACGACATCGCTGAGACGGCGAGTCGGGACGTGTATTGCTGCTAGAGGCGGTCACACTCGTTACTAAGGATGTGTATGCGTGACCAGAGACTTGATATGACGGAGACATTCCATGATTGACTTTTGTTGTATTTGTTAACTCTGCTATCCCTCCCCCTCTGTCCATTACATGACACGTGCTCTTTATCACTGAGGAGTTTATCATAGACACTGTGGGTGCATTGTCCTAAATGCTGGCTTCATTAAATGTACTATAACTTGGGGTGTTTATCTTGTCACACCGGGAAACAGGAAATGTTCCTAAAAGCTGAACAAAGCGTTGTTATTTAAACTCGGATCCAGTCTTCTCTGAAGACTCATGAAACAAATGGAAATGCATACCAGCGTGCGAGGTTGACCAAGCGTGGATTTGTAAAAAAATAGACTTTGAATTTTGATTTGAATTATGTCCTTGATACCCTTAATCGCCCGCAAAGCTAAGAATGCCCTTTAAATGTTTGTTCATGAGAAAATATAATATCTCCTAAATCTTTGAAGGATTAGCTTAACTCTCCCCTAAAACACTGAATGTGGGTGATTCTATTTCATATAATGACAGGCAGGGCCTAGATTTTCGAAACGTTCGTAACCCTAAAAATTCTTTACTTTCATCGTGGCCAATGTGTGCCAGCCTTAAGAAGTTCGTAGGGCTACGAACGTTTCGAAAATCTAGGCCCAGGTTTACAACTCCTGTTGCTTCACGTCACGCATGACGTTTTTTATTGCATATTTGAGGTGAGGTGAAATTGGGTTTAACGTCGTGCTTGAGAATATTTCGCTCATATGACGACGTGCATGCGTGTATATGTGTATGTGCGACTGCTTGTACTAGCCCAGACTGAAGCTGGTTTTATAGTGCTAGCCCACTGAGATACCATGCCGCAGTGAAACATGAATATCCCACTCAGACACAGTATACTGACTCCAAGCCGACCAGTCCTTGTTGTACCCATTAATGCCGAGCGCCAGGCAGGGACCAACAAGTACCATATTTTAACGTATTTTGGTATGACGCGGTCGGGGATCGAACCCGCGACCTTCCGCTCTCCGGGCGGACGCTCTAACCACTACACCACGGAGGCGGTTGCATATTTGAACCATCTTAGACGTAATGATATATGGTGCTCACTATAGTCTTTAGTTTTGATTTGTCTGCACATCGACCCTGCCCTAGCATCCGTGTCCCCTTTCATGGATATCTTCATCATGTGATAGCCGTCACAAAACTTCAGCCTGTCACAGTCGTATTCACATCTGCCAACAGCAGTGTTGCACATCCTCCCAGTGACGACATCAGGACACGTGTCATTTTTGCTGTAAAGAACCAGATTATTAAAAAAAAGTAAACTGAGTACATAGAGCATTCCAGTGTACTGATCCACTGGAGTTAAACCTACTTGTGTGACAGATTTAGTTCAAGATTCATGTCGACGAGATGTTGCTGGGATCTGTTTTAACACGGAACTCCGCGAGATCAGCATCTTTCGCTGTAAGCTGAAACTCACTCACTCACTCACTCACTCACTCAAACTGGCATACCCTAATAGCCAGGGGCGTAGCTACCATTAGAGAAAAAAACCCGGGCTTACACGAGATTCTTGGTAAAAAGGATGGACAAGCCCTCAATACTATCTAAATATAGATGCAACCTTTCGGGCTTACACGAAAAAAAAGGCTTGCTACGCGCCTAATAGTGTCACCAAACCCGGCCTTGAGAGCAAGGTAAACCCACCTTTATCTTAAGACAGTTAATAGAAGCGACAAAACCATTTCCACATCCACAAGAAATTTCTGCTAAAAGCAACTGTCCAAGAGCGCTCGTTATGGATGCTCTCGGATGGTAGTTCAGGATGTTGGAAAACAGACGGAACACAAAAGTCAGCGGTAGGATTGAAGACAGCGGCAGCCACGTTTTATTATTGTTTGGTCAAATAATGGTTGAATTGGTACAAGTTGATTGTAATGACGCAACAGAACGCACGCCGGGATTGAGACCCGCTCTGTCAGTTACACGCACAGATAGTAGTCGGACGGCGATTCTTCCTCGTCGACGTAGTCGTTGGTGAGGCGACGGTCTTGGCCGACGCCCCGACCAGCAGCACTACCCGTTTGCTTCTGTCGATGATCTGGCCCGTCTCCTCCCCTCGTTTCTCTAACTGGTCTCCGTGACTGATCATGTCAGTCAGGTTTTATACATAGGGACATTACGCCACGTTGTGCAAGGTCACTGACCTATGCACATGTAATATCCGCCTACGTTGGGAGGTATTAAGCTACAGCATTGATACTGATAGCATTGAAAATTAAGGGTTTATGATAAGAGGGGATACCCCGAATGTTTGCTGAATACATTAAACAAACAAAGGGGATAGAATTTCGGTGTACTTAGGACATATACTGAGTCAAAAAAGAAACTGCACAAAATGTAATTTGAAAAATAATGAATAATTTTTCTCTGATGATACATCTATGTATCCGAAATGGGATCCCTATCTTTTCGACTCTAGAAAAACGTTAGCAAAACCCACTCAAACCCATGCATTCCTCGTGCAAATGACGTTAGTGCCAAATCAGGTTTTGCACGTGCAGTCGATCACGTGATCTTCGCATCGAAGTTTTCTTCATATGCACGTGTTTGCATTGGCCTCAAGAATTGAAAAAACACTTTTAAACCACAGTTCTAACGGTACTTGAAATGCCACGATTGTCAAATGTGCAACGTGAACGTGCCGTTGGCATGTTGCAAGCGGGAAGATCAGTTATTGACGTCGCAAGAGCAATGGGATGCAGCCGTCGTACTGTGTATGACTTGCGAGGTCGTCTACAACAAACTGGCACCACTTCTGATCGCCCAAGGTCGGGTCGTCCACGTGTGACGTCACGAGCAGAAGACCGTCAACTCGTCCTACGTCACCTACGTGACAGATTTCTGCCGGCTACACGAACCAGGGCTGAGATGTTTAGAGGTCGACTGTCCTCACAGACCATTCGAAATCGGTTGCGGGCTGCCAATCTCCATTCTCGACGTCCATATTGTGACTTGACATTCTGTATACCCATGTTTTGGAACGGCGGTGTAGCCTAATGGAACTGATTATGGCACTGTCAGTGTATCGAGTACATCACACAGATCTCAGCAATGAAATAATAACAATTTAACCATCTTACCATCTCTTGTTCTTTTATAGTGCCCTGAAGAAAGAATGTCAAGTTTCTTTTTTGACTCAGTATATATTGAAACAAATATGTCGTTTGAATATATGACGTTTTAAAGAAACTTGGTGAAATGGTTTACTCTATGACACAACGATACTAATGCATGTACGTTGTTCGCAAATAAACACCCGTAATAAACGCATGCAAAGTCTTGTCAATTGTTCACCTGTTGTATACCTGGGTATACAACATTCACCAGAAATAATTCGGGAAAGTTTGGTACGAGTCAAAGTAGGGAATCGCATCGGACATCATTTTTGTCACTTGAGTATCAAAATTTCGAAATGTCCTCCACGTGTCCACCATAATGTAAGTGAGTGAGTGAGTGGGTGAGTTTTACGCCGCACGCACCAATGTTCCAGCTATATGGCGGCGGTCTGTAAATAATCGAGTCTGGACCAAACAATCCAGTGAGCAACAGCATTAACATCGATCTGCGCAATTGGGAACCAATGACATGTGTCAACCAAGTCAGCGAGTCTGACCACCCGATCCCGTTAGTCGCCTCTTACGACAAGCATACTCGCCTTTTTTGGCAAGCATGGGTTGCTGAAGACCTATTCTACCCCGGATCTCCACCATGATGTGTTTTGAAAGCTTTACTGATACCTTGAATGTTGTAACCTTGATCAAACAACTTCTAAGCAAGAGTGGGACAGGGACTTTTTCCAACTCACCTAAACTGTGAACATGTAGTGCACGTTGTGTTGTTACGGTCAACGTCGTCACGGAGGTCGTACGTACAGGTGAGAAGTCTCTTGGCATAAAGGACGCAGGTCATGTTCTCCGGCAGTGTGGGGTCTGAGCAAAACAACTAAAAGCCATTAAATGAACACTTGCGAAGGGTCTACTATTGGTCTGGCTCAGTATGAAATAGTTCGTTTGACATTTGGACTCGTATAATTGTTCATGATGTGTCAAACTTACCTCCTTCTGTCAAATTAGACAACGTTGCTATGACAACCAAGGTATACAGCATACTTGTTCCGATGCAAAATCGACCTTGACCCTTCTTGATCAATGGTTACGTCGTGCATCCTACAAGAGAAACTACTCACATTCATGTCACCCTATATACCCGTACTAAGAGGGCTGGGTGGGTTAATGCACAGGCAAACTATAGCGTAAATATGGTTGCGCAACAAAGACAAAATGAGCAGTCTTCCTTTACGCCAGCGAAGCGAGCAAAGGTTGGCAACGTACTTTCCTCGATTCGGCTCGAAAACTATTTTTAATATCAAAATAAAATATCACCACCATCATAGGTAGACACTCATTTCCTCACAGGGCTGGGCTGTCAGATTTCCAACCTCATATTTAATAATTTCTCACGTAAACCATATTTAATTCAACATTTTAAGCGCAACTCTGCCATATCAAATCGTTCTTCGCCTCCATTACCCCTGCCAGCTTCCGGTTCAACGGAGTGAAGGAACAAGAATAAGCAGAAATATAAAAAGAAATATCATATTGCCTAATTTTACCATTAAACTGTTGGAGATTATATGTCTTATCTACCGTCGTTATTGTTAGAATTTTCGTAACATTTTTACTACAAAAAAGACACTTCTGGCGTAGTGGATGAATGAAAGCAAAGGAAGTAACCCGCATGTATTCCATATGGCGGACATGTGATTCAACAAGTGTACTTCACACCGTTGAACCGGAAGCTGGCATGGGTAATGGAGGCGTGAGTAATTATTAGATATGAGGTTGGAATTCTGAGATCACAACCCTGTGAGGAAATGGATGTTTACCTTTGATGGTGGCGATATTTTATTTTGATATTTTGAATAGTTTTCGAACCGAAGCGAGGGAAGTACGATGCAAACCTTCGCTCGCTTCGCTCACATATAGGAAGACTGGTCATTTTCTCGTTGTTGCACAACCTTATTTGCGCTATAGTTTGTCTGTGGTTGATGTCGGTTTACTAGAGAGTAACGGGATAAGAGAACGGTGATGTTACGGGCAATGTACATATGAGGATAAATAGTCCTTCTTATGTTTTATATACTAGACAAAAATAGTTAGGAATATATGTAAATTTTGATATTATGTGTAATGATCTATTTACTCATTGACACACTGATAAAATATCAATAATAAAAGTACCAATATCCCTACCTTATTTTGTCCAGTATATATTTCTTATTATTAAATCAACATTAAACGACTCTGTAGTGTCTATCTCTGCCGCTCTGAAACACCCTCCATTACAAATCTACGACCTTCCTCCGCCCCACACTCCACCCAGATCTCCCCCTTCACACAGGATCTTCTTCCTGTGCCCAAGTTAAACTAATGGATAGCGATCACTCTCCTGTCGGCAGTCTAACACCCGAACAATCTTCACGACTCAGCAACCAAGTCTTTCTGCCCAACTAAACTCCAGACCCTTCCCCTCCGCCCGAACTTTGACTCAGCTTGCGTTTCTTTGTCCGCTATGAATATGACTTCCACAACAACAAGCCCCGCAGATAAAAGGCTATTAAGAACATATTTTTTTAATGCGTGCGCACATTTAAAAGTCGAAGCGTGTGCCAATTTACATCAAATATTTTGGCGTGTACAAGTTGTAAAGGATAACCTCAATTCTTAAAGAAAGAATGTCCGAATATTTTGAAATCGTTTATTATTTCTCTACAACACAAGTAATATTGGTCTATACATTTGTTAAAGATATAGTGTAACTGTGAACATACTGACACACTTTATTAGGGATCAGATATACTACAATGGAGACAGTCGTTTCTTATGACTGTGTCCTTAAATTGTCAAAATGTTGTTATGCTTGGCATCTGTATTTATTATAGTATGACATTAACCAAGTATCAATATGACATTAACCAAGTATCAATATGACATCAACCAAGTATCAACATGACATACCGAGTATCAATATGACATTAACCAAGTATCAATATGACATTGACCAAGTACCAATAATATGACATTTAGCAAGTGTTAATATGACATTAACCAAGTATCAATATGACATTAACCAAGTATCAATAGGACATTAACCAAGTACCAATATGACATTAACCGAGTATTAATATGACATTAACCAAGTATTGATATGACATTAACCAAGTATCAATATGACATTAACCAAGTATCAGTATGACATTAACCAAGTATCAGTATGACATTAACCAAGTATCAATATAACATTAACCAAGTATTAATATGACATTAACCAAGTATTAATATATGACATTAACCAAGTATCAACATGACATTAACCAAGTATTAATATGACATTAACCAAGTATCAATATGACATTAACCAAGTATTAATATGACATTAACCAAGTATCAATATGACATTAACCAAGTATTAATATGACATTAACCAAGTATCAATATGACATTAACCAAGTATTAAGATGACATTAACCAAGTATCAATATGACATTAACCAAGTATCAATATGACATTAACCAAGTATCAATATGACATTAACCAAGTATCAATATGACATTAACCAAGTATCAATAACCAAGATCAATTGACAACCAAGTATCAATATGATATTTACCAAGTATTAATATGACATTAACCAAGTATCAATATGACATTAACCAAGTATTAATATGACATTAACCAAGTATCTATATGACATTAACCAAGTATCAATATGACATTAATCAAGTATTAATATGACTTTAACCAAGTATCAATATGACATTAACCAAGTATTAATATGACATTAACCAAGTATCAATATGACATTAACCAAGTATTAATATGACATTAACCAAGTATTAATATGACATTAACCAAGTATCAATATGACATTAACCAAGTATCAATATGACATTAACCAAGTATCAATATGACATTAACCAAGTATCAATATGACATTAACCAAGTACCAATATAACATTAACCAAGTATTAATATGACATTAACCAAGTATCAGTATGACATTAACCAAGTATCAATATGACATTAACCAAGTATTAATATGACATTAACCAAGTATTAATATGACATTAACCAAGTATTAATATGACATTAACCAAGTATCAATATGACATTAACCAAGTATCAGTATGACATTAACCAAGTATCAGTATGACATTAACCAAGTATCAATATAACATTAACCAAGTATTAATATGACATTAACCAAGTATTAATATATGACATTAACCAAGTATCAACATGACATTAACCAAGTATTAATATGACATTAACCAAGTATCAATATGACATTAACCAAGTATTAATATGACATTAACCAAGTATCAATATGACATTAACCAAGTATTAATATGACATTAACCAAGTATCAATATGACATTAACCAAGTATTAAGATGACATTAACCAAGTATCAATATGACATTAACCAAGTATCAATATGACATTAACCGAGTATTAATATGACATTAACCAAGTATCAATATGACATTAACCAAGTATTAATATGACATTAACCAAGTATCAATATGACATTAACCAAGTATCAATATGATATTTACCAAGTATTAATATGACATTAACCAAGTATCAATATGACATTAACCAAGTATCAATATGACATTAACCAAGTATCTATATGACATTAACCAAGTATCAATATGACATTAATCAAGTATTAATATGACATTAACCAAGTATCAATATGACATTAACCAAGTATTAATATGACATTAACCAAGTATCAATATGACATTAACCAAGTATCAATATGACATTAACCAAGTATTAATATGACATTAACCAAGTATCAATATGACATTAACCAAGTATCAATATGACATTAACCAAGTATCAATATGACATTAACCAAGTACCAATATAACATTAACCAAGTACCAATATGACATTAACCAAGTATTAATATGACATTAACCAAGTATTAATATGACATTAACCAAGTATTAATATGACATTAACCAAGTATCAATATGACATTAACCAAGTATTAATATGACATTAACCAAGTATTAATATGACATTAACCAAGTATTAATATGACATTAACCAAGTATTAATGTAATATGAAAGTTTGAGTCATCGTTTGTGTGGGTATTGCACATCTTCCTAACCATGTTATCATTTTCTAAATAAATGAATGAATAAATAAATAAATAAATATGGTTCTGAATGAATGAACGAATGGAGGGGGTTTGTTTTGCATTAAGACGCTGAATAATGTCACTGATTTCTTGTTGTTGACTTCGGGTTTCTGTATGTTAATACATAAATAACCAGTCTGACGTGTTGGTGAATGTATCTATTCGAATTCACATTCTGTGTGGATTTTTAATTTACAGAGTTATGAACTACCGTAACAATTTCTTTATGGAGAAAATAGGTTCATACCTTATAGATCGATATGGAAGTAAAGTATCTCCTTGGTGTACAATCTTCTAGCATCTTGCATGCGTCTTACACTGAACTTTAAAACTTGCAAAGTTTCATTGAGGATTAAGCAGGTGCGACTGTATTGTCAACTGAATTACCTCTATGAACACAATGCAGTGTCAACAAATGTTTTTTAAGTAACATAGCCGCCTCCCATTGGTTAGTTTAAACTTAAGGTTTGAAGTACAAACACGTGTATTGAATATATTTCATTGCTACTGATAGTGTAAACATGCCAACAACATGAAAAGCTCAATTCTAATTATTTATCACATAACAATAAGAATCAAAGAAATTCAGTGTACGTTTGCAATGATCTCTTAAACAGTCCATCAGCTCAGATATCAGGTTTTAGAAGCATGTATGGCTCATGTTAGATTGCCTTCTATGTTGGGTGTCGAGACTCCTGACAATGTTCATGTGGGTAGGGGCGATGTGGTAGCCTAGTGGTTAAAGCGTTGGCTCGTCACGCCGAAGACCCGGGTTCGAATCCCCACATGGGTACAATGTGTACCGCCGTGATGTTGCTGGAATATTGCTAAAAGCGGCGTAAAACCAAACTCAGTCAGTCAGGCGTGTGGGTTGGTACATGTGATCTGTTTGAATGTCTGCATGACACAATTACGAGATAATATTGTTGTCTTTGTCTCAAAACACGGAAGTAACTCTGCTATCGCTTTTTCCTTCCGTTTCAACTTTCATACGGGGATCAACTGTGCAGATAAGAGAAACGAAACAGCGGTTTAAAACAAAACAAAACAAGCGTCAGTTCCCCGTCAGTTCTCGGAAGTACTTTCAGGTGAGATTAAAGTGGGGAGAAATTTGAACAGTGTAGTGTTTGCATAGGACCACGTGGTGTTGGTAAGGGGCACGTGCGTATTGGTTCTGGGGGTGTTTGCAGGGGAGGTTAGGCGAGTTCTTATCCTCACATGCTTTAACGTACGCGCTATTTAAAATGGATTGCCACGTTGTGCCTAACTTGTTATTATACAATTTATATCATAACATCCCAGCATAATCTGTTTCTTTTTCTATTATACTGACAGAACAGTTTGTTTGACTTTGATTGGGTTTGTATTACAATAATTGTTACGATTTGATTGCTGTTTCGGGGTCTTTTGCTAACTAGTATAAAAACTGTAAAATATTGGAGCTCTGCAGCAGTGCAGAAACGCTATCGACAACAAGTAATGCGATGCCTACTGCACTGTGTAGAGTGCGTATAAACTGGTCTCATAACGCTTCTCCGCTCGGCGTCTGTAAGTGCCCGGTCAGTATGACTGTTTGACGACCGGAATATTTATATATAACGAAACGTGCACATTGAAACTTGACCCTATTTACAAAGCAATTCTTAAACAACGTTTACAGCTTAAAATAACCTGCAGGTCGCAAGGGACTGCTAACATTTAAAATTATCAACTCAAGAACAAATCTGTCAGCCATGGACCGATGTCGACTTCGACCACTGTTCAATACAAAGGGGAAATAATGCACCGTAGCTTACCTTCAAGCAGCTGTCACACGAGTGCGCCAAGTTTCCCTATGAACTCCTGTTTATATTTACAACCATAAGGAAGATAAAACTTGGCTTCTCCAAAACATTTAGAAAGACAATTATCTTTAATTGTTCCTAAATCGTGTTCTTCAGTTTCGTAAGACAAAGCCTAGAATTCATCGACAGCGTTGTTTCCGCGTTGATAACTGAACCTTGGCTCTGTGGATTAAAAAAATGATGCCTTGAACACGTTCGGTCATGTTTAAACGTTGCCTTTCTTAACTGTGCACATCACAGATCTACACGATAATGTTAAGATCCCTGGATCTGTGGGTTAGTTGTCATCAAGCGCACCATAGATATGCTACAATTCTGTGTTCAAAATTTAGGAGAAAATGGAAAAGACTGGAAGCGAATTTCATTCGAAGTTTATTAAGAAATCCTCATGTCAAGCTGAACTATTCCAATGATTACATCACGTGGGAGTAAAACGAATCGGGTTCGTCCAGTATCAGGGAATGAGGGAACCTGTACTAATATTTTGTAGTCACTATAAACTGAACAAGACATTAGGAAATATGATGCAATGCTGTGGGAACGTTTATAAAACACTGCCAATGGATGAATACTAGTTCATTGCTACGACTCACAATTCATCTGCTCATTACTGAGTTCGCATGTTCATAAATATCCAATTTAACCAGTTATCTCTCTCTCTCTCTCTCTCTCTCTCTCTCTCTCTCTCTCTCTCTCTCTCTCTCTCTCTCTCTCTCTCTCTCTCTCTCTCTCTCTCTCTCTCTCTCTCTCTCTCTCTCTCTCTCTCTCTCTCTCTCTCTCTCTCTCTCACACACACACACACACTTACACCCTCACTTACAGGTGAGGTTAGGTGAAATTGGGTTCAACGTCGTGCTTGAGAATATTTCGCACATATGACGATGTGCATGCGTGCGTATGTGTATGTGCGGCTGCTTCTACTAGCCCAGACTTCAGCTGGTTTTATAGTGCTAGCCTACTGAGATATCATGCCGCAGTGAAGCATGAATACCCCACTCAGACACAGTATACTGACTCCGAGCCGACCAGTTCTTGTTGTACCCATTAATGCCGAGCGCCAGGCAGGGACCAACAAGTACCATATTTTAACGTCTTTTGGTATGACGCGGTCGGGGATCGAACCCGCGACCTTCCGCTCTCCGGGCGGACGCTCTAACCACTACACCACAGAGGCGGTCACACACACTCACTTACACAAACCACACACACACACACACATGTGCAGTGTATTATTTCAGCCATATAGCGGTCGTATGTGACCACCTAAGTGGTTCCTTCCATTGACGTTACCGTCATGTAAGACGTGGAAGGCGTTGGTGACGTTGAAGACCATCGTTTTCGAGCACACTGGGCTGGATTCAGTTCAACCACATCCTGTGATGTAAGTCTATAGCTGCATAGAGCCTTCGATGGAAATATAGAGATTAAAGACAGGACGTGTATACATTGTTAAAAACACAGTATCAGCAATGGGGACGTGGCAGGATCGTCCATTCACTCACTCACTCAGGGATCAGCGTTTCACATGATATTCCGAATCCGTTGTACTAGTTTTTTGTTGTTGAACATTTTTTTTTTGTTCAACAGTAGTTTGTTGTTCAGCCCTCATGACAACAACACATAGTCTGTTTTGCTTGAATATTTAACAACATCCCCAGTGCAGCACCCATCATCTCCCGTTGAAGGAATAGATGCCTGGCCTGGATTGGGACCTGATGGTTGGTTTTGCTCCAGGTCTGTCACTGAGGAAGATGGTGGTTTGAGACCACTCCCTGGTCTGCCCACATAATGGTTGAAGGAAAGAACGTACCCCGCATTTGTCACGCGAAGAAAAGATTCACATATATTATCTCGATCACTTAATAATTCTTCTCCTCCCTGGCTTGTTAGTGATTTCCGTCTCCCGTTCTGTGGAAGAACGGTATTTACTCACAGGAATACTGACACACGTTGGTCCCAATTCCTCTTCATGTTTTGGGGTTGTTGGGTTCCACCTACCCCTGCAGTGGGTGGGGGTGGGGCACCATGACACAGGGGTGAGCTTCTTGACTGTTGCATGGATCCCAGCGGCTGCAAGTGAAGATCATGTAAGAACAAGAGTGAGTGAGTGAGTTTAGCTATACGCCGCACTCAGCAATATTCCAGCTATATGGCGGCGGTCTGTAAATAATCCAATCTGGACTAGACAATCCAGTGATCAACAGCATGAGCATCGATCTGCGCAATTGGGCACCGATGACATGTGTCAACCAAGTCAGCGTGCCTGACCACCCGATCCCGTCAGTCGCCTCTTACGACAAGCATGGGTTACTGAAGGCCAATTCTAACCCGGACCTTCACGGGTTTGTAAGAACAAGAGTCACGAGTACTTCTGCTGATCAAATACATGCATGCTAATGTTTGCGGTTGACACTCCAGTCATTATGATGAATTAGAGTTTAATAATGTAAGAGTGAGCAAGTGTGGTTGCTTTTAGCAACATTCCAGCAATATCGCAGAGGGGGACACCAGAAATGGGCTTCACACATTGTACCCATGTGAGGAATCGAACCCGGTCTTCGGCACGACGAGAGAACGCTGTAACCACAAGGCTACCCCGCCTCAAGACAATAGCGTAAGAACAAGACAAGATCTCTCGGACAGGGTATAATACTGATCTACACTGTGTATATTGTAGCAACATTCAGTCAATCATTGCAAGGAATGTTGCTGATACACAAGCCACTGTTTACTGTGGGAATGATCCGCTAAATGATAATTTAGGTTACAATGTATCTGTTTGTTCGGCAAAATCTGTGACGTAAAAGATGTCTCTACGTCCGGGGAAAAATCTGCGATCAATGTTGGCAGACAGTAAAATTACAATGAGGCTTTTATTCCGGGAATAACTGCAGTTTATGGTACTGGTCACATTATAAATTATAAATCATAAAATTTGTGATGTGTTTGTGTCTACGGCAAAGACTAGAGTCAGGTTTGCTGGCACACACCAAACCTATTCGTCTATTATTTAAATTCATACATATTGTAGGAAATTAGGAACAGATTATCAGGCAGTGAAATATACTTACATCCTGCAAACTTACTCCGTTTTTTCCGACCTCACCATCAGTGTTATTTTCCATCTCACCACCAGTGTTATTTTCCATCTCACCACCAGCGTCTTCTGTAATTTTACCATCAGTGTTTTGACCAAGGTCCTGAGACAGACAGGAATACAACTCTTATTAATTCGAGCTAAATCAACCCTCGAATAACCGGTTATTTAAATATCAAAACATTGGAGTGGTATGAAGTACATATTTTTAAAAGATTGTCTTTTCGTAATTGTCATAGTAACGATACGGGTGATTGGGTTTGTATTTTGATGTACAAAGGTTTGTCAAAAACTATGTTTAACCAAAACAACTGAACATGGTCACTCGTTATGCTGCTAGCTATGACGTGAAACAGTTGTTCAGCTGTGACTTTTACATTCAAATTTGGATGTTGTTCAATGACAACAACCCGACGTTTTATCATACCATGTATAAGGAACACACGAATTTCAAAAATTCAAAATACAGTCTGAATCTCTCATATTTGTATCTAAATCTATTTCGGTTTAAACCAGTTCAAAATATCAATAAATATGGAGCGATAATTTAAATTTGTTTAAATTGAAGTAGGCGTAAATAATGTACAAGTGATATGCCCAGTAAATCAGAATGCGTATAATGTTTTAGGGATAATACATAGTGCGTTTGGCTCAAAAGCGGACCGATGAATTGCAATCTAACTCGAAAACTAATAAACATATAATATTCAATGAAACACTGATCATAATCAAAACATCAGACCAACTCTGTCATTTGTTTGCAGAATTTATGTCCTAAAATTAAAAAAGTTGTTTAACAAACTATCATTAAAATATTGACACAGTTCACTATTTCTTACGAGGGAGGAGTGCAGAGAAAGGGACTGCCAGGTGTTAGAGAAGCACGTACCGACAAAGCTATTGATTCATTAACCTGTGCTGTGCCGTCTCCATCTTTTCTCGCACACCTGGCTGTCCCTTTCTCTGCACTCCTCCCTCGTAAGAAATAGTGAACTGTGTCAATATTTTAATGATAGTTTGTTAAACAACTTTTTTATTTTTAGGACATAAATTCTGCAAAAAACTCACAGAGTTGGTCTGACGTTTTCATTATGATCAGTGTTTCATGGAGTATTTTATGTTTATTAGTTTTCGAGTTAGATTGCAATTCATCGGTCCGCTTTTGAGCCAAACGGACTAGGTTATATTGCTTCATAGAGATCATAACATGAAGAATATGACTGATTATGATCACAATGCGTTTCGTTTCGAGTACATCGTTGCTTATCTTTCTCTGGTAGGTATTGGACCGGTATTACATGGTATGATCGTATTGGACCGGTATACATGATATGATCATACCTTCCACAAGGATGAATCGATCGGGTATGACGCCCGTTTATACCTCCGACACAGAAATCTGACCCTGAAAAGAACATGGCGGGTTGTAAACATAATCCTTAATCTTATTGTACCCGAGGTTAAAGAGTGGAAAGAGCATGTAGCGACCTATAATATATAATATAATATATATACATCTTAGCGATTGTACTGATCATAGGTTCGTGGAAGTGATATGACGTCACCTTGCAGGGATCCAGATGATTATTTTGACTCAGGGGCATTTCACTCCTCAGAATCAAAATTGAGGAGTAAAATACCAAATGGAAATAAAAGGAGTGGTATTTCACAGGTTGTATTGTTTTATTACTTGTCCTTGCTAACTGAAACAGTTTTCTTTTCAAACAACTCGACGATTTTTGGGGGGTTATCATTAGTCATTCTTACTGCAGACGACAGGAAATGAGCGTTAAGCTATTGCGCATTAAATGTTTTCCTACGCTGGTTTGAGGTCATCACGTAATCTGCAGCAACCCAAAAGCTGTATCATTGCTAATACGGACCGGAAACGTTGTGATAGTAACGTTGTTTAAGGGCTAGCTTTTAAACCAACTTTGATCCGAACGTGGAATAGAGATACATGTATTAACGGAGATCAAACGGAGAAACTCGACAATACTGACAACGAACACTATTCGAGATCTTAGGATCGGATGTATAGGGCTGATTTTGACAGGTTTGGTTCACGCTGTAAACAAAATCTGACTCGTATTCTGAGAAAGTTATGCGTATCGTTCACTCATTGATGTGACTTTTTATGTGTATGTCTGAATTATCCATGTGTAATTCACGCAGATACGCATCTTATCTGGAGCCCTGCATTGTTTTATTGTTGAGATAAAAACAAACTATGGCGTCCACGACTATTTATGACGCCGCAAATGACGTTAACATCACGTGAACGATATATGTTTTGTATGTTTCTCAGAAAGGAATAACATTTGATAGTGTTCCCTCATAAAATGACAGGGTGTAATACAAAGCATACACTAGAAGGTACTTGGAATATTCTGTCGAATATGAAAGTGTTGATAGTATAGGTATTAGCCGGACTCGACGTGCTAATTTGCATGTCATGTGACCGCACTTTTCTCTTGTTTGAAAAACCAATGACCTTTAGAGAAAATATAAGCCAAATATAAGTCTTTCAGTTAATCATGCTGTACGCCTTCATCAAGCAGTGGATATGAACATAAGATGAACAAAACTTTAGATTGGTATGCTTGTAGATAGGCACATATTGGCGTTAGTGGTTACTCATACAAAGATGATGAACACCAGGATGTGGAGATGAACATAAGATGAACAAAACTTTAGATTGGTATGCTTGTAGATAGGAACATATTGGAGTTAGTGGTTACTCACACCAAGATGATGAACACCAGGATGAGACTGATGGACATTCCTACCAGAACCTTTATCTTAGTACCTGTAAAACAAGGTCCCATTAGTTTTGGTAAGTTCATAGTGACACTTTGATGCTAAAGCTACAGAGGCAACTGTCCGTCAACGTAGTAGTAAAATATAAATGTTATACTGCGATTTGAAGGAAAACAAATATACAACACCAGTCTTATCCATCATCAAAAGTAATGTCAGTGTGAATACTGTTATGCATAGTTCCAATCCGATATAGCATCCAAGACGATGCCAAGCCCTAATCGGTATTGTAGCCAATGTCGACACTCCGCCTATCCGGACTGTTAGTTATGGCCGTATTTCTTGACGACTTAAAGATTAACCCCTTAATACAGTTTCTATCATTGTTTTCAAAGTAAACATTTTGGTCTTTCACGAGGCAAAAACTGTATCATATCTATTGTATATTTCATTTGTCACCAGTCATGTACAATGAACATAAATATTTTCAATGAAAAAGTCGATATTTCTAGGTTCTTACTGAATATATTTTCTTCTCGATTCTGGAGTCGAGTTATGACTGGAGAACTTGGAGGTCCGAGTCCCCGCTTTGTACTGATGCGCACGCAGATGCAATAGCTCTCTGCGGATTTTAGGTTGTCAATTACAATACCGGAAGTGTTGAAGAGTGCGGGTATTGTTACATTTGGTCCTGCAAAGGAATAATTATGCCATGTCACTGTAAATTGTATTGTGAATTGTTTTACAAAATTTCTGTAATCTTTAGCTACAAGGTTTCTTTATACGACCTGTTTTTATATCAACATGGTGGATATAGTGTTGAATGCAGACGTGCGTAACCCAAGCATACGCTTCATACACACACGACAGTCTACCCTGATCACAAACATCAAACAACGCCAGTTTACACACATTCAACGGCAACCTACCCTGATCACAAACATCCAACAATGTCAGTTAAACACACATTCAACGGCAACCTACCCTGATCACAATTATCCAACAATGTCAGTTTACACACATTCAACGGCAACCTACCCTGATCACAAACATCCAACAATGTCAGATAAACACATTCAACGCCAGTCTACTCTGATCACAAACATCCAACAATGTCAGTTTACACACATTCAACGGCAACCTACCCTGATCACAAACATCCAACAATGTCAGTTTACACACCCTTCAACGGCAACCTACCCTGATCACAAACATCCAACAATGTCAGTTAAACACACATTCAACGACGGCAACCTACCCTGATCACAAACATCCAACAATGTCAGTTTACACAAATTCAACGGCAACCTACCCTGATCACAAACATCCAACAATGTCAATTAAACACATTCAACGGCAACCTACCTGATCACAAACATCCAACAATGTCAGTCTATTATTACACATTCAACGGCAACCTAGCCTGATCACAAACATCCAACAATGTCAGTTAAACACATTCAACGGCAACCTACCCTGATCACAAACATCCAACAATATCAGTTTACACACATTCAACGGCAACCTACTCCTGATCACAAACATCCAACAATGTCAATTAAACACATTCAACGGCAACCTACCCTGATCACAAACATCCAACAATGTCAGGTTACACACATTCAACGGCAACTCTACTACCCTGATCACAAACATCCAACAATGTCAGTTTACACACATTCAACGGCAACCTACCCTGATCACAAACATCCAACAATGTCAGTTTACACATATTCAACGGCAACCTAGCCTGATCACAAACATCCAACAATGTCAGTTAAAACACATTCAACGGCAACCTACCCTGATCACAAACATCCAACAATATCAGTTTACACACATTCAACGGCAACCTACCCTGATCACAAACATCAAACAACGCCAGTTTATACACATTCAACGGCAACCTACCCTGATCACAAACATCCAACAATGTCAGTTTACACACATTCAACGGCAACCTACCCTGATCACAAACATCCAACAATGTCAGTTAAACACACATTCAACGGCAACCTACCCTGATCACAAACATCCAACAATGTCAGTTAAACACATTCAACGGCAACCTACCCTGATCACAAACATCCAACAATGTCAGTTAAACACATTCAACGGCAACCTACCCTGATCACAAACATCCAACAATGTCAGTTTACACACATTCAACGGCAACCTACCTGATCACAAACATCCAACAATGTCAGTTTTACACATTCAACGGCAACCTAGCCTGATCACAAACATCCAACAATGTCAGTTTACAAACATTCAACGGCAACCTACCCTGATCATAAAAATCCAACAATGTCAGTTAAACACATTCAACGGCAACCTAGCCTGATCACAAACATCCAACAATGTCAGTCTACACATTCAACGGCAACCTAGCCTGATCACAAACATCCAACAATGTCAGTTAAACACATTCAACGGCAACCTAGCCTGATCACAAACATCCAACAATGTCAGTTAAACACATTCAACGGCAACCTACCCTGATCACAAACATCCAACAATATCAGTTTACATACACATTCAACGGCAACCTACCTGATCACAAACATCAAACAACGCCAGTTTACACACATTCAACGGCAACCTACCTGATCACAAACATCCAACAATGTCAGTTTACACACATTCAACGGCAACCTACCCTGATCAAAAACATCCAACAATGTCAGTTTACACACCCTTCAACGGCAACCTACCCTGATCACAAACATCCAACAATGTCAGTTAAACACACATTCAACGACGGCAACCTACCCTGATCACAAACATCCAACAATGTCAGTTTACACAAATTCAACGGCAACCTACCCTGATCACAAACATCCAACAATGTCAATTAAACACATTCAACGGCAACCTACCCTGACCACAAACATCCAACAATGTCAGTTTACACACATTCAACGGCAACCTAGCCTGATCACAAACATCCAACAATGTCAGTTAAACACATTCAACGGCAACCTACCCTGATCACAAACATCCAACAATATCAGTTTACACACATTCAACGGCAACCTACCCTGATCACAAACATCCAACAATGTCAATTAAACACATTCAACGGCAACCTACCCTGATCACAAACATCCAACAATGTCAGTTTACACACATTCAACGGCAACCTACCCTGATCACAAACATCCAACAATGTCAGTTTACACACATTCAACGGCAACCTACCCTGATCACAAACATCCAACAATGTCAGTTTACACATTCAACGGCAACCTAGCCTGATCACAAACATCCAACAATGTCAGTTAAACACATTCAACGGCAACCTACCCTGATCACAAACATCCAACAATATCAGTTTACACACATTCAACGGCAACCTACCCTGATCACAAACATCAAACAACGCCAGTTTACACACATTCAACGGCAACCTACCTGATCACAAACATCAAACAATGTCAGTTTACACACATTCAACGGCAACCTACCCTGATCACAAACATCCAACAATGTCAGTTAAAGAACACACATTCAACGGCAACCTACCCTGATCACAAACATCCAACAATGTCAGTTAAACACATTCAACGGCAACCTACCCTGATCACAAACATCCAACAATGTCAGTTAAACACATTCAACGGCAACCTACCCTGATCACAAACATCCAACAATGTCAGTTTACACATTCAACGGCAACCTACCCTGATCACAAACATCCAACAATGTCAGTTTTACACATTCAACGGCAACCTAGCCTGATCACAAACATCCAACAATGTCAGTTTACAAACATTCAACGGCAACCTACCTGATCACAAACATCCAACAATGTCAGTTAAACACATTCAACGGCAACCTAGCCTGATCACAAACATCCAACAATGTCAGTTAAACACATTCAACGGCAACCTACCCTGATCACAAACATCCAACAATGTCAGTTTACACACATTCAACGGCAACCTAGCCTGATCACAAACATCCAACAATGTCAGTTAAACACATTCAACGGCAACCTACCCTGATCACAAACATCCAACAATATCAGTTTTACACATTCAACGGCAACCTACCCTGATCACAAACATCAAACAACGCCAGTTTACACACATTCAACGGCAACCTACCCTGATCACAAACATCAAACAATGTCAGTTTACACACATTCAACGGCAACCTACCCTGATCACAAACATCCAACAATGTCAGTTAAACACACATTCAACGGCAACCTACCCTGATCACAAACATCCAACAATGTCAGTTAAACACATTCAACGGCAACCTACCCTGATCACAAACATCCAACAATGTCAGTTAAACACATTCAACGGCAACCTACCCTGATCACAAACATCCAACAATGTCAGTTTACACACATTCAACGGCAACCTACCCTGATCACAAACATCCAACAATGTCAGTTTACACACATTCAACGGCAACCTAGCCTGATCACAAACATCCAACAATGTCAGTTTACAAACATTCAACGGCAACCTACCCTGATCACAAACATCCAACAATGTCAGTTAAACACATTCAACGGCAACCTAGCCTGATCACAAACATCCAACAATGTCAGTTAAACACATTCAACGGCAACCTACCCTGATCACAAACATCCAACAATGTCAGTTAAACACATTCAACGGCAACCTACCCTGATCACAAACATCCAACAATGTCAGTTTACACACATTCAACGGCAACCTACCCTGATCACAAACATCCAACAATGTCAGTTAAACACATTCAACGGCAACCTACCCTGATCACAAACATCCAACAATGTCAGTTTACACACATTCAACGGCAACCTACCCTGATCACAAACATCCAACAATGTCAGTTTACACACATTCAACGGCAACCTACCCTGATCACAAACATCCAACAATGTCAGTTTACACACATTCAACGGCAACCTAGCCTGATCACAAACATCCAACAATGTCAGTTAAACACATTCAACGGCAACCTACCCTGATCACAAACATCCAACAATATCAGTTTACACACATTCAACGGCAACCTACCCTGATCACAAACATCAAACAACGCCAGTTTACACACATTCAACGGCAACCTACCCTGATCACAAACATCCAACAATGTCAGTTTACACACATTCAACGGCAACCTACCCTGATCACAAACATCCAACAATGTCAGTTTACACACATTCAACGGCAACCTACCCTGATCACAAACATCCAACAATGTCAGTTAAACACATTCAACGGCAACCTACCCTGATCACAAACATCCAACAATGTCAGTTAAACACATTCAACGGCAACCTACCCTGATCACAAACATCCAACAATGTCAGTTTACACACATTCAACGGCAACCTACCCTGATCACAAACATCCAACAATGTCAGTTTACACACATTCAACGGCAACCTACCCTGATCACAAACATCCAACAATGTCAGTTAAACACATTCAACGGCAACCTACCCTGATCACAATCATCCAACAATGTCAGTTTACACACATTCAACGGCAACCTACCCTGATCACAAACATCCAACAATGTCATTAAAACACATTCAACGGCAACCTACCCTGATCACAAACATCCAACAATGTCAGTTAAACACATTCAACGGCAACCTACCCTGATCACAAACATCCATCAACACCAGTCTACTCTAGGCACATACATTCATCAACGCCAGTCTACTCTGATCACACATATTCAACACCGCCAGTTTAAACACATTCAACATCAACCCACTCTCATCACGCACATTCATCAACGCCAGTTTAATATCTTGATCACACATATTCAACATCGCCAGCTTACACACATCCAACGTCAACATACCCTCATCACACACACATAAAGTCTGATGAATATTTACGAGGGTATACAATATAACTAACCCTCCAACTAATCATCAGTGACAATCCAAAAACGACAACCTACCCGACCACACAGACTAAAACTTTGGTTAAAAAATGAGCTATATTATCACAATTTTATATCTAACAAACTTAATTTTCTCAGTTGTATCACAGACAAACAACTTATCACATAGAATCAACTATACAAATACACAATTATGACAATCCAGTGTAAAATAGAACTGTACCTTGCTGAAACATAACACGAGCCCCTTACCGTGATCGCAAACACATGGCTTGTTTGGTGACTTTAAAGTGTATACCACCACATAGAACAACGGTCGACTCTTCATCACTGTCCTGTCACAGAAGATGGGCCCCCATTGGACATGAACTGCACGTGCTGTCGCCGTAACGTCAGGCTTCGGGGCATGGTTTTCTGGCAATCATGAGTTCAAACACTTATAATATGAACATGGTGATTGTATTAAGAAACAATTGGACGACTCACTCCATGAGGGGTGGAAATAACTTTAAAATTGCTAGTTTACTCCGGTACAGTGGCACATGTAAAATCACTTACCCTGATAATGTTTCCACTATACCGGCCGTTTTCTTGTTGATTTTTTAAATAAACAACATAATTAATATTGGAAAGTCAACTGGACAACGGTACAGTGTGATATACAAATTTGCTTGCCCGACAGAAAAAACCACTGGACTCGGGCGTCGGGCAATGGGTTATTTCCACCCCTGGATGATGGTTCGCTACGAAAAGGAGTAACATTTCTGATGTAGTGTAAAACAGTAATTATTCATTTGTTTATTGAAGGTGATTAAACAAAATGGTCCTTCGCTTGAGACGTTTTGATGCAGGTATCATGATTGTGTTTTGTAGGTTACTTTTGCGGTTGCTCGGCGACAGATTTCCGACCAGTGGCGTTTTTATAACGTTTGGAAAATCCAACTCGCAAGTGTATTCTTTCTTTTACCCCACAGTTTGCTTAACGTAAGCCTCGGTCTTAATGTATTAAGTGTTTTAAACCAATTCCGCTATTTCACTTCTATATTCACTTCAACGAGTATGTCGGGTTTATTAATATCTGTCCCGATGGGTAGAAAAATACAGAATTATCTAGGTGATTTTCAACCAGAAATTAATACAAGATATAATATTATGCAAAACGGTTTGATATTGCCTCGTGAGTGTTTTTCTGATGTGAACCCACCTTCGTCTATGTCGAATATGCACTTGTTCCACGTAATGCCATAGGTGAGGTTCCTGAATGTCAAGGACACGCCAAACCAGATGTCACCGCCTGCGTGACCTTGGGCGTTTAATGTGACCTGTGTGGATGTGTTGGAAAGTGTGGTCCAACGAAAGTTATTCTGCAACAGAAGAACAACGTCCCCGTGTTCAACGTGACCCGTAGACTCAGTGAGTAAATGTACATGAACATACAAACTAATGCTACCCACCACTGAATAGGGATTCCGAGATTTGTGACGTAATAAGAGACAGAAAGAATCCACGCAATGTATAACAGATCCCACCAGAGTCAAATCAACTACATGTTAAATTTTAGTCAACGATCTAACCCACTGAGCCACAACGGCTTACACATGTCCCTACTTTTAAAACAACATTCAGGGTTGGAAATAACCCATTGCCCAAACCCCGAGTCCAGTGTTTTTCTGTTGGGCAAGCAAATTTGTATATCACACTGTATCGGTGTCCAGTTGACTTTCCAATATTAATTATGTTGTTTATTTAAAAAATCAACAAGAAAACGGCCGGTATAGTGGAAAAATTATCAGGGCAAGTGATTTTACATGTGCAACTGTACCGGAGTACACTAGCAATTTTAAAGTTATTTCCTGACTTTGAAAGTGTGAGTTCGAATCCCCTATGGAAATTATCCCCCAAAAGTTCTAGAATCTGTACTTTAATGAGAAAGTGTAATCCTGAGTATTTACAAGTGAACAATTCATTCTATATAACGACGTGAAATCCGGTGACTTGGCCCAACTGAATACACACACATATAGGTACGTGAAGAACGTTAAAGTACAGTTATGGACCAAATGCACTGACCACGGATAAAGTGTTGGTGCCTCTACACCACGTGACAGTTACGTGGTCGACATATTTCTGTGACGTCATCCATGTGACTGTGTACCAGACAGGAGATATTTTCTCTGCTACCACATAGTCAACTCTAGGCAAGTCTGAAAATAAAAATTAAATGCTAAACGCATCTTGGAAAATGAATATGAATTTATTTACAACACGATGCATGTTAAGTCTGCATGTTTCTTTTTCGGGCACAGTTTAGTAAAACCTTAGATTGGGTGGGGGGAGTGAGGTTGGCTGGGGTAGGGTGGGGGTCAAAAGTCATGATCGTGGTCTACATCATTTTTTTATGCCACCAAGAATCGTACAATTGACTGGTCAAGACAAGATTTATTGTGTCCATGTAACGTTTTGTGCTGGTTATATACTGTGGGGAAAAAATTAGGGATCACATGAGAGCACACGTGTTCCTTTATTTTTTCCCTGGTTTCTTCACAAGCGTTGTATCGCACAACTCGTGAAGAAACCTGGAAAAAACATAAAGAAACACTTGTGCTTTCAAGTGATCCCTTATTTTTTTCCCTCAGTACATTTCCAAAAGATTTTACAAAGAAGAGCATCAACAGCAAATGCAGAAAATATGCAAGAGGAACCTAGAATTATAATGCACACATCAGGGTATAGTTTTCGTTGTCGATTGACTGTTAAACGTCTTCATGCGTGACCAACCTTTGTTCGCCTGGTGTATCACCATCTGAGCAGGGTCGGAGAAATTCGCCCTGGTTCCCCCTGCCACAGTGACCACGTGGCCAACATCAACGTCGATGTTATCCCAGGTTTTGGAGTTGACGTTACCAGGAACGTCTGTTGTCTTTGTGTCAATACGGACTCTGTACCCGACAATCTCGCCATTCCTGTTTTCACGTGGAATTGCCTTCAAAATATGAATCAGTCAATTCAATCCCTATTGTCAGTGATGGTTCGCATGGAATGGAGGAAAATATACACGCCTCTCTATTACGGGTAGTAATGAATTAATGATGAATATGTAATGTAATCATTTTGATGTTATGTAAGTAAATGTTTGTCAGATATAATTGCAAAATGAAAAGAAGCATGTTCTCTTTTCTAGTTCGTATAAAAACTATGTTAATTTCTTTTGGATCCTGGAAAATCATGACTTTTCGATATGACTATTTTCTTCTCAACTCCAACATTCGTCTGTTCGAAATATGATTTCTGTCGATCAATCTGATATTACAGATGTAATACGTCTTGTCGTCTTAACACGCCATAAGGGCAATATTTTGGTTAATATATTTTTTTCATTTTTTTAGCATATTTACTCCTAATACAATTCCTTCATCTTTAATAAAATAAGTATGACATTTGCATTTGGATTTGTGACACAGTCTATTTTGATTTTGAACAGACTAATGTAATGGTTGTCAAAGCTACCTTCCAATATACGGTGAGCTTTGGTAAGTCACTTGACCAACTGTAGCCTGCAGCGGTCACCAAGGGAGGGTGACTTGGTTCTGTAATACCAATAAATTCTTCCTCATTATTGATATTCAACATTTTACCTTTAATAACTGTACTCTACTCTATAATTTCATTGGCATCATACTTACCTATAATTTTAGTCAAAAGCATAATATTCATTTGAAAAGGCAGCCTTCAACTGAGCATTGGTGGGCAGTGGTGACCACAGTGGTGACTCAATGGTGAAAACTGGAGGTGTTGTCTTCATAACGACATTGACGAGAGCAACGTTCTAGGCACTGCATCGGTGAACGATGAATGGGCAAGAGCAAGCTATGACTGACTGACTGAGTTTGGTTTTACGCCGCTTTTAGCAATGTTCCAGCAACATCACGGCGGGGGACACCAGAAGCAAGCTATGAAGTGTAGTTGCAAAGAATAGAAAAAGGTTATTATCCGGAAAAGATAGTTAGTTTTACGCCGCTTTTAGAAATATTCCACCAATATCACGGCGGGGAAAACCAGAAATGGACTTCACACATTGTACCCAGGTGGGGAATCGAACCCGGGTCTTCGGGGTAACGAGTGACCGTTTTAACCACTTGGCTACCCCACCGCCCAATATTATCTAGAAAAGGAGAGTATGGTTATGCACGGTTGGGTCAGCATGTCCCTCTTGACTCATATACTCTGTGTATGTGTCTACATGACCTGCTACGTCAGTACAGGGCCCCGTACAACAAAATCTTCGTAACATTAAGACCTATCGTAACATAGTGACATAGTGCTACGAAGGCTTAGTGGTTCGGGACCCAGGACAATTAGGTCTGACATGAAAATGAACACACTTTTTCTTTTCGGCCAAATGATATTTTCAATAATGCAAAATGTACATTTGGAAGTAGGTGTAGGTGTCGTGTTGGGCAAAGTAAACTATTGGTCACCTACTGGCTTCCGTTGTGCGTTGTTGGAGGGCGACACATCTGCTCCATACTCCATTGGCAAGGCCCTGGAGGACACCCATAGGTTTCGCTTCAAGCCAGATAGTGTACTTTGTGTACGGTTGTAGCATTGACAAACGGATATGTGTCTCGTTGGTTGTTTTAATCTGCGAAACATGGTATGGATGTCTGTGAAGTCCTGTACAGACATATTTTACTAATTTAAACCCTACTTATTAAGTCTTATATGATAAGAATTGTGGAATTTGGAAAAGTTTCAGCTACATCCCACCTCACTCCACCCCCACCCCCTTCATGGTAAATTAAGAACTATATTTAAATGTAGGAAGACCGACTTTAGTACATTTCCAGGATTTTCACTAGTGTATCTCGGTTGTTCTCAGTTTTGATTGGTCAAAACATGCGATACGACGTCACATTGTTACCAAACTGACTCACTCACTCATTTGATTCATCGTACATATATCCATTCTAGAACTTACGATGGGTAGGTTTCCATAAACAAGAGATATATTTCTATTTCTTTCCCAAAAAATTGTTCCTGTTTTACTAACCATGGAAACGTTTCCTCTTCCGGTGACCCTGACATTGTATAAAGGTTTGTAGATGCCCTTCACTCCCGCTTGACCGCGGGGCTGCTGCCAGACAACTTCCATCCATGTTGGTCCCACTCCCTCGACACTGACATTAGTCATTCTTCTGTATGTGACCCCTATTTGTTGAATTCACCAGAGTGAGTGAATGAGTGAGTTTAGTTTTACGTCACACTTACCAATATTCCAGCTATATGGCGACGGTGTGTAAATAGTGATCAACAGCATAAGCATCGATCTGCGCAACTGGGAACCGCCAGCGAGTCTGACCAAACGATCCCGTTAGTCGCCTTTTACGACAAGCATGGGTTGCTGAAGATCAATTCTAACCCGGATCTTCACGGGTCTTAAATCACCAGACCTTAAAAACGACCTGTGTGCCTTAATGCCCTTGTAATGCACATTAGCCAAACACAAGTAACACTGCATGTTTCCTTTCCCTTTCAGAGTTTGTACTTACTTGAAGAACAATCAAACTAAGCAGGCACTTCATCACAAAAAATTAAGTAGAATTCAAATTTTAAATTAGTTCCAAATACCAGATCATTTTCAGTCTTCTGAAGAATTATGATAGTTTTTTAGTTTTAATACGTTGAATATTTAATTAGGAATTTCAATTACTTTTGCCTATGTGTATGTAATCACTTTGACAATACTGACCGAAAATACTGCTTGACATATTGTACTCGCTCACTCCATAGTCGTTCTGGCCGGTCAGAACGATGCTGTACGGAAACGAGACAAAATTGCCAGTGTCGCTGCATCTGTACTGCCCGTCAGCGTTGATCTCACAGGAACCCAGGCACATCACGTTCTGACACCGACTAGCATCCTTCTTGGGGGTGTTGCTTAGAAACAGAAAAGTCAAAACCGACGATAACAGTGCAATATAGCTCTCCATATGCATACTGTCTTTACAATGAGTGGGTCAATTGGCTTCAACGCCATTTTCAACCATATTGCAGGTGTATCAGTTTGTGTCAGCTTTTTGTGGGAGGAAGTCCCGAAGTAATGCAGGTCTGAGACCGGGTATGGTGCTGCCGAACCAGGATTCGAACCCACAATCATATGTTTCTGGCTTACTCACGAAACGCAACTCTGTAGAGCTAATTGCGGGAAAGCATGAGTGAATGAGTAGTTTTACGCCGCTAATAGCAACATTCAAGCAATATCGCGGATGAGAAAACCAGTGATGGGCTATATACTTTGTACCCATGTGGGAATCGAACCCAGGGGTCGGCGTGACAAGCGAACACTGACACTAAACCACTGCATCGCACTAACTTACAAAGAACGAAATGTACATGCACACCTTAGATAGTGCATGTGACACGTGACAGTGTGTGAGCGTATGTATGTATATTGCACGTTCTGTTGGACGTCGTGAATCTGACGTGTTACAGTGTGTGAGTTCATATATTACGTGAACCCCGACAATGAACTTGGTGAATTATATATTTAAGGGAATATACCAGAACCAAGAGCTTACAGACACATACTCAATAATGCCGTACTGGAATGTCCAGTTGCCTGGTCCGTAGGCATACCACGTGCAAACTAGATGTTCGTCAACAAAGACTTGGCAGGAGAGGTTTTCGTACGTAGGAAGATCTGAAATATAATTGATAAAGCAAAACATAATAATGTTCCATATTCATTATAGCTTCATAAATTGACAGTTGCATTGTAATGTAGGTACAGCGGCCACACATAAAACCTGAGATGCGAACATGGACATTCATTTAAATAACCTTATAACCGTCAACAACAGTCGCAAAATCTCAAACGCGCAAACATTTAGCCCAAACTCTCAAACGCCCACAAAATGCCGATCACTTAGCCAAGCGCACTACAAGCCCTCTTGAAAACATAAACACGCCCACCACTAGCCCTCACCCTTAACCACGCCCAAAACTTGCTCTCGCCCTTAACATGCCTATAACTTTCCCTCAAACTTAAACACGCCCACAACTACCATTTACCCTTAAACACGATAAAAGTACCCATCACCTTAACACACGTCCATAAGTACCCTTCACCCTTATCCACGCCCATAACTACTCATCACCCTTTAACACGCCCACCAGTATTCCTCACCCTTAAACACGCCCATAACTACCCGTCACCCTTTAACACGCCCACCAGTATTCTTCACCCTTAAACACGCCCACCAGTATTCCTCACCCTTTAACACGCCAATAACTACCCGACACCCTTTAACACGCCAACCAGTATTCCTCACCCTTTAACACGCCCACCAGTATTCCTCACCCTTTAAAACACCCACCAGTATTCCTCATCCTTAAACACCCCCACCAGTATTCCTCACCCTTTAACACGCCAATAACTACCCGACACCCTTTAACACGCCAACCAGTATTCCTCACCCTTTAACACGCCCACCAGTATTCCTCACCCTTTAACACGCCCACCAGTATTCCTCACCCTTTAAAACACCCACCAGTATTCCTCACCCTTTAATACGCCCGCCAGTATTCCTCACCCTTTAACACGCCCATAACTACCCGTCACCCTTTAACACGCCCATCAGTATTCCTCACCCTTTAATACGCCCGCCAGTATTTTTCTCACCCTTTAAAACGCCCATAAGTATTCCGTCACCCTTTTTAACCCTTTAACGCCCACCAGTATTCCTCACCCTTTAAAACACCCATCAGTATTCCTCACCCTTAAACACGCCCAACAGTATTCCTCACCCTTAAACATGCCCACCAGTATTCCTCAGCCCTTAAAACACCCAACAGTATTCCTCACCCTTTAATACGCCCATAACTACCCGTCACCCTTTTACACGCCCACCAGTATTCCTCACCCTTTAACACGCCCGCCAGTATTCATCACCCTTAAACACGCTCACCAGTATTCCTCACCCTTTAATACGTCCATAACTACCCGTCACCTTTTAACACGCCCACCAGTATTCCTCACCCTTAAACACGCCCAACAGTATTCCTCACCCTTTAACACGCCCACCAGTATTCCTCACCCTTAAACACGCCCATAACTACCCGTCACCCTTTAACACGCCCACCAATATTCCTCACCCTTAAACACGCCCAACAGTATTCCTCACCCTTTAACACGCCCACCAGTATTCCTCACCCTTAAACACGCCCATAACTACCCGTCACCCTTTAACACGCCCACCAATATTCCTCACCCTTACATACACCCGCCAGTATTCCTCACCCTTAAACACGCCCACCAGTATTCCTAACCCTTAAACACGCCCACCAGTATTCCTCACCCTTTAACACGGCCATAACTACCCGTCACCCTTTAACACGCCCACCAGTATTCCTCACCCTTAAACACGCCCACAACAGTTTATCCACTTACCTCCAACTTCCATGTTGATGGTGGACTGAACACTGCCACCACTTGCAAAGCTGGACTCAGTCGAATCAAGACAATGGTCAACACAACAAGCAAAGTTCATTGTTTCATTAATGTGTGGTATGACACAGAATATGCTGGTGCTGTTCAAAATGGTTATCTCGTAGTTGTCGGGGGAGATTCTGAGATCAGAAGAAGTTCTATCTGGTAACTCCACAGTGCAAGTGATATTTACTTCCGTTCCGGCCACGAAATAGTGGGCACCATCTGAAAAACGTCCTGGAGATACAGCCATGACGACATCTGCTGAAAACAAATAAAGAAATTGGTAGTAGTTGTTGTCGTAGTAGTTTTGGCAGTAGAAGAAACAATAGACAGTAAGAGAGTGGCTATAGTTTTACGCCGCTTTTACAACAATATTACAGCAACATAACGGCGAGGTAGTAGTAATAGATATGTAGTAGTAGTAGTAGTAGTAGTAGTAGTAGTAGTAGTAGTAGTGAGTGAGTGAGTTAATATTTAACAACGGCAATATTTCAGCCATATCGTGACGAGAACAATTAATTTTATATCAATATTAAAATCAATAACTTTAGAACGTAAAAACCTGTCATCGAAGGACAGTAAAAATACTAGAGTATCACAGATAAAAATTTAAAACTAGTACGATATCGTAAAAATTTAATCACTATAAACACTACAATGTAAAAACGGGCTATAGATCACCAACAACTGAAGGTAGATCACCATACTAGGGCCATGGGGACTTACATTACTTTTGCTACCTGCATGGACCCTAGCTGGATTTACACCATCCCTTCAGCCATTGGCGTTTATGCTGAGATTTAGCCATGCATTAAAATGACAAAAATACTACGATTAAAAACCTGGTAGACTTCAGATACTTCAAATGTTTTGGGACTTACGTACCCTCTCAGGGGACAACAATACAGTAGTTTACAGTAGTAGTAGTAGTAGTAGTAGTAGTAGTAGTAGTAGTAGTACAAAACTTACCTGCCTTCTCTTGGTCGCATGTACCCGGAAGTACAGGAAGTATGGTCAGTATACACAACAACAGCGTCCTCGTTACCATGACAACGTTGCAGCGTCGACTTCACAGACACGTCTTTCTACTCCTTGATTCAACAATGAAAAAAACGAAGATCAACAAAACAATGTGAAACAATTTCAAAATATTAAACTGCTTAAAAGATGCGCCGTTTCGGGAACAAATCGACCAATGATCAAACATAAAATCTTCTTTTGAAACGGAAGCAGTGTTAATATATAGTCCAAACTCTACGACATGTAGAAAAAGGTGTAAATCACCACAAAGTCGAAATGATGTGGGTATTTGGAGCTCCATCAAAACAAGACTGATCGTGCATCTGCAGGTTCCTGATAGGCTACATCATAAAGAAACCAGTTGCCGGTACGTAATCTTCACTTCTGATATGAACAAAAACCGCTACACGATGTGTGACACCAAAAGAATAACGGGTGTACACAGCACACAGAAAAAATACATACTGAAATACGGGACAGAGTACAAAGCATTAATACGCATTTATATTGGAATACATACCTCGGATCCTACGTCGAACTGAAACTTCCATATGTTTAATTCAGTCTGCCAGTACTTCAAAATACATCGCATGTCACCTTCCTCTGTAATGCAGGTCAAGAGTGCGTTGTTACAACGACGGTGATAACACGTGGCTGCACCTTCGCTTGTTATCGCATGATAACACAATAGACGCGATGCGACACGAATCTTTTGTCTACATCCTTCTTGATAAGACGTACACCGAGTGGAAGAATACAGTTTGAGTGGGTAATTGTATGTATCATATATAAACATATTTAGAGAGTGTCATCGAAATATCAACACGAGCGCTGCTCTATCTCGAAATGCGGCTAACATAGTCACGGTGTGTGGCGTCACTGTTATTTATATACACATGGAAAATGCATCGCAACGCCTATGCTTTTTAACCACCATATAGCCATTTATATTCATATCATACTTATGTTGTTTATAGAAGTATTTTTACCCTTCGGGTGAACGATACATCGGTTTTAGATATGCACATGCTACGACTAAAAGACGAGAATCACGTGCATTACCTGCAACCGTTATCAAGCAAGTATCAACTTCATTACACTTGTCTTACAACCGATAACTTGGAAAACCACTACCCCTCCGTTTGTTGCTGATAATCAAACATGGTGCCTTTAAACTGACAACTGCTCGAAGATGGCAATGTACTCCTGTGTGAAATACTTGCTCGTATAGAAGACTTTTCCAAGAGATGCTGGTTGTCATCCGTCCGATATCAACCGACTGGTCAGAAAGGTTCACTCCCAAAAGACAGACCTCCCAAAAGACAGACCACCCAAAAGACAGACCACCCATAAGACAGACTCAATGAGTACACTAATAAGCTGATCCATGCTGTCCACCCCTATTTAATTAATGAGTTGGCCCCAGAGTACAGAGTATCGTAACAACTAATATCTCCTGTGCCCTTCTGAAAACATATAACTAATCCTTTTATTGAACAGAACAGAATAGAACCGAAATTGTATTCTTAAATAATCACATATAGTGACACAGAGAACATACAGCATATTGATACATATTAAAACATTGAACAAAAGCCAGTTTTGATAGATTTAACTTAAGATTTAAGTGGGGAATAATCACATTTCATTAGATAAACAATGTTTTCAAAAGTAGGATGTTTACAGAAATATTCGGAAAGAAATTAATTTCTGAGGGCATTTAATGCTGGACAGTATAATGAAAAGTGAAGTTCATCACAGACATCTGAATTCACACTGTGTTTCCCACATTCAAAGATTTTTGCAATCCATCACTTGTTTCAGCTAATATGACAGTATCGTCAGTATAAAAAAATTCATAAAGATACCAAGCTGGTCCTCAATAGGTTTATTTCCTGTTACATCACGTTCATAAAGAAAACACTTAAGATGATAATAGTATAAATACAGTACAATTAGAAATTATTGAGAATTTAAATATTGTAATTTTTCATATTTTTTTCACTCATTATTCACGTATTAAATGTGAATATTAGCAGAACATAACTCCAGATTCAAAGACAGGTGAACAGTTAGTATTTTGTCAAGTCACCATGGGCAGCAATGCAGGCTTCAATGCGGCGGGGCATACTACTGATCAAAGAAGTTAGAAAGTCGTGGTCCATGCTGTCCCAATGTCGGACCACCTCTTCTATCATTTCAGCAACATTTGTCAGATTTTTCTTATTGACACTTTCCTTCATAAGTCCCCAAACATTTTCTATTGGATTTAGGTCAGGGCTATAGCTTGGCCAATCTAATAATGTCATATTTTGGGTCCGAAACCAGGCCTGTGAATGCTTTGAACGATGTATTGGGTCGTTGTCCTGCTGGAAAATACAAAAATGTCCACAGAACACGTGAGCAGATGGAAGTAAATGTCCCTCGAGAATATCTGTGTACCGCTCACTGTTCATATTCCCTTCAAATACACAGAGGGGCGTTGCCCCTAACACAGATATGCCACCCCACACGTTAAATTTCGGACTGTACTTTGGACGCTGGTACAAAGGTTTTTCAGTTTGTTTGGTCAGAATTTCAGTGTATTAGGAAACAGCCACACAGAACTTTCATCTGAGAAAATCCCATTGTCCCAGTTAAAATTTCTATGTTGTAAGCACCAGTTCAACCTTCGCTCCTTTTGTTCAGGTTTCATGATCGGTGATGAAATTCCTCGACTTTTCTGCCAACCCATTGCATGCAGCTCAGTTCTAATTGTCTCCTTACAGACAGCCACAGTTCCTCTATCAATCATATCCAGCCTTAAGTTTTCTAAACTCCTTCGATTGTTTTTAGAAACAAGAATACCAAGCCGCCTCCTGACACTGACAGACAATTTTCTGGGCCTACCTGCTCCTCCCTGAATGAGGTTGGATGATACCGTCGCCTCCAATAGTATACATGCATGTGTGTGTCTATTCGTGCAGCAGCAACAGAAGCAATAACACGTAGTAGTAGTAGTAGTAGTAGTAGTAGTAGTAGTAGTGTTTCCATCAATTAATTTAACATCAACGAGTTTTCGTTAAATCTGTTTCCCGTGTCTTGGAAATTGAGTAACCTAATTAATTATACAAAACTTGTTTCTTCATTTAACTGTACACGCACACATAGCATGATGCGGAGCAGTGAAACACCTGACTGTATAGACCTTGAATAAATATAAAACAGATAACAAAACAATAATAAAGTTTATTGTGAGCTGGTGGAAATCGAAAACTTCCTTAATCGGGGTTATCTTATGTCGGCATGCAAATTTAATTAGGATGGGGATAGACTAAATTGAAATGGAGACCCAGTGACCTCGGAGATTGGGGAAATCTAGACTTGCTTCAGTTAAAGGGCTTCCATTGCGGAAAGGGTTGGGTGGAGGAGGACAATATTCACGACTGTGAGAAAGACTAGGCTGGGGAGAGCGTGGACTATAGCTCCGAATATTAATGCTACCTTTTTGAGGGATGTCTCTTGAAATAATAACTTATCTCCCTTCGAAAGTTAACGCTTGACGATGCTCTGCTTAATGTTCATGTAACAGTAAGTGCGACAGGTACATTCAACTTGGGCTCGAACTAACTTCAAACGTGTTGAATGACATTCATAAGAACACAGGTCCACCATAGGCTGGAAGACTTGTCGTTCATCCTTGACAAACCGAAACCATTGAAGACAGCAGTGACAATGAAGACTCAGTTGAGGACAGCAGTGACGATGAAGACTCATTTAACTTGGGCTCGAACTAACTTCAAACGTGTTGAATGACATTCATAAGAACACAGGTCCACCCTAGGCTGGAAGACTTGTCGTTCATCCTTGACAAACCGAAACCATTGAAGACAGCAGTGACAATGAAGACTCAGTTGAGGACAGCAGTGACGATGAAGACTCATTTAACTTGGGCTCGAACTAACTTCAAACGTGTTGAATGACATTTATAAGAACACAGGTCCACCATAGGCTGGAAGACTTGTCGTTCATCCTTGACAAACCGAAACCATTGAAGACAGCAGTGACGATGAAGACTCAGTTGAGGACAGCAGTGACGATGAAGACTCAGCTGAGGACAGCAGTAACGATGAAGACTCAGCTGAAGATAGCAGTGACGATGAAGACTCAGTTGAGGACAGCAGTGACGATGAAGACTCAGTTGAAGATAGCAGTGACGATGAAGAGTCAGTGAGTTGAAGATAGCAGTGACGATGAAGACTCAGTTGAAGATAGCAGTGACGATGAAGACTCAGTTGAGGTCAGCGGTGACGATGAAGACCCAGTTGAAGATAGCAGTGACGATGAAGACTCAGTTGAAGACAGCAGTGTGAGTTCAGATGAAGAAGCAGTGACGATGAACAGTGACGATGAAGACTCAGTTGAAGATAGCAGTGACGATGAAGACTCAGTTGAGGACAGCAGTGACGATGAAGACTCAGTTGAAGACAGCAGTGACGATGAAGACTCAGTTGAAGATAGCAGTGACGATGAAGACTCAGTTGAAGACAGCAGTGACGATGAAGACTCAGTTGAGACAGCAGTGACGATGAAGACTCAGTTGAAGACAGCAGTGACGATGAAGACTCAGTTGAAGACTGTGGTAGCAACACAGTGACGATGAAGACTCAGTTGAAGAGAGACGACGAGTGAGACTCATCAGAATGAAGACTCCTGAAGATAACAGTGACGATGAAGACTCAGTTGAGGACAGCAGTGACGATGAAGACTCAGTTGAAGATAGCAGTGACGATGAAGACTCAGTTGAGGAGAGCAGTGACGATGAAGACTCAGTTGAGGACAGCAGTGACGATGAAGACTCAGCTGAAGACAGCAGTGACGATGAAGACTCAGTTGAATATAGCAGTGACGATGAAGACTCAGTTGAGGACAGCAGTGACGATGAAGACTCGGAATCGGATGTCGTGGGGGACTGTGGTAGCAACACAGTAACTGACCAATCACAAAATGACCTGCAGATCTCTCCAAGGTGAATTTTGTACAGCATGTTTCTTGTTCATAGTCAAAACTGATGTGCTGAATATTCTCAGCTTGTGGGTTTTAGCAAAGGGCGTCCATTGTGTAGCGTTATTTATAATCAGGGAGACTATATAACGTTGTAGATTAGCCCTGATATAATTAGCTTCCGAAATTAAGCTTACTTTTGGATAAAATCTTTCACATGAGAAGGTGCTATTTTCCACAACTGAGCCAATATTCTGGTATCATTTGCGCTTTATCTCCCCGCAGTGTACAGAGAGTACTTGCCATTTTTCGACACATTTCGTTCCGGGTGGGTTATGATTTTACGCTGCTTTAACAGTATTTCATTTTATTCTCGGTGGGTAACATTATTGTTGGAAGAGAGCTAAGTAGAACTGATGCAGATCTGGTATACGATTTCCGTTTTGGTGTTTCTATAAGTAGTGGTAGTGGTAGCAAGAGAAGTGAGATGTTGTATCAAAGTAGTGTCCCCGCTTGGTTTGAGCCGGTGTGACATGAAGCCGATTGTTTTCCCGGATTTTACCAATGTAACCAACTAGTTACCTCCCTTGGAACATCAAGGTCGTTTCAGATCAAACTAAACACATATTTCACAGGGCCTTTCTACTGAAACTCGGGTAAATCTTCCTATATTTTTACACAGCAAACATCTCAGCATTTCTTCGTCGAATGTTCCGATCTCCCTGGCTCTCGACTACGTTGAAGTTGCAACGAAAACCTCGTCACATTCAGCTTTCGACATTCAATCACCTGGCATACGCTATGTTCAATTTGTTCTGAACTTCGGTCGTCACACATCCCTATCCCCCCTTAAATTTCATTCTAGTCAAATCATATCACCTGAATATATATTTCTCATCTGATAAGGATGAGTTTTAACATGTTTCGTTAATTGTATCTGCACATACTGAAAGACATATTCTTCTTCTAAAAATGCCCCTCAAAGAAGGTTTTCTTCATCATTAAAATTTAGGGGGGATACGGGCGGAAGTCTTACACCCAGATCAAAATGGGTGACCCCCTCTTAAAATAATCATTACTATGCTTTCAGAGTACAGCATGGCTGTGCCAGTTTTTTATACACCTCTCACCAAGGCCCAGCTGGGATTCTTCAGTCACCAGAAAGGACCATGTTCAGATTTTGAGATGGATTTCTTCCGATGTGCAAGCAGAGTCGGTCAGACGAAGTCCGTGACAGTCTGTAAGAAGGAGCTAGATGACTTTGCTGAATGCGCAATGAAGAAGAAGGAGGTTAGTCAATGCACAGTAGAGAACTCGGGATGTCCCTAGCCCCACAGAGCTAAGGTCCGCTTATTATCAATTAAATGGTTAAAGCGTTGGCTCGTCATGCCGAAGACCCGGGTTCGAATCCTCACATGGGTACAATGTGTGAAGCCCATTTCTGGTGTCCCCCCGCCGTGATGTTGCTGGAATATTGCTAAAAGCGGCGTAAAACCAAACTCAGTCAGTCCTGAACTTTACTCATCTCAACAAGCAGAAAACTTGTTTGCTCACATGTTTTCATTCACACTTGTTAGTTTTCTTTGGGAATTCATTATTCCTCCCTTTAATCCAATCAAACTGGATGTGTACAAATCAGGTAGCAGACCTTTGTGTGGAATATTTCTACTTATTATGCAGTTACAGGTGACTTTGCAATTTGTGTCTGTAAATGTAGTACCATAACTGTTTTACTATCACACATTCCGTAAGTTTACAACATTTGTATTCTTACTTACTTACAGTAAGCATGGTAAGTGAGACTGTGACACATAGCAGCTTCACTGCAGTAGGGATTAGTGTTGGGAAGTGGTTGAAATCTCATAATTGATGATTGCTTCATTACCAACGAACAATCATCGATAAAAATTGGTAAGCATCAATTTTCAGATTTTCCTATCCCAGGTTGTTATTGCAGATATGTATAACATGATGCACCTTGCTACTTTAAAGTGATGTTGATATATCATGAACATAAACCTTCTGGCGTCTTCAAGAAATATTCAGTCATGACTTTTCAGTTAGTGAAGTGAGTTTTCGAAGAATTAAACAAGTTTTCAAAGCCGCACAACTTATTATGTTCCATCGCCAAGTGTTTCAAAGACTAAAACAGCAGTTCCAAAATCGTTTGTGTTCGATTATGAGAAAATGTGATCGATTGCTTGGTCGTTTGGTCACTGCGACCAATCTTCGAATATTTCAATTAATCGGAACACCACTAGTAGGGATAAGGTGCCTGATGGCTTTATTTCATGGGGAGATAAAATGCTAGTAAGCATGTTGTGAATGATACATTTAGGAGATAAACATTCACTGACGGTTCCAAATGTATTCCTGTGCTTCAAATACGCAATAACCAGGGGTGGAAATAACTTTAAAATTGCTAGTGTACTCCGGTACAGTGTCACATGTAAAATCACTTGCCCTGATAATTTTTCCACTATACCGTCCGTTTTCTTGTTAAATATACAACATAATTAACATTGAAAAGTCAACTGGACACCGGTACAGCATGATATACAAATTTGCTTGCTCGACAGAAAAAAACACTGGACTCGGACAATGGGTTATTTCCACCCCTGATAACACTTGGAAATTGGCTAACACATGATGTTTATCGACATTATAAACACAAAAGTAAACCAAATGGTCAACACACGTTTTTGTGTCTGCACTCATTGACATCGAGTACGTGAAATGTCATCAGCCGGCCGTGTCGGCTGTCTCCCATGGTAGCATCTGGAACTGCTCGTTTGTGACGTCATTCAGACTTTACGTCACAATATGATATTAATGACATCACCATTACTGACGATGTTACAATACAATGGTGTGTGCGTTTTTTGTACGTATTAATGCGCAGTGAATGGTCTTGAATTCCGTGAATCAAATACCATTCGATCATGTTTTTATCCAATCAAATTACAGAACACAGTAACTTTTGGTTTACAGTATTTATGCACATTGTTGTTAGAGTATTGTTTTCTTTCAATTATTTGATAAATATTTCTAAATGTACACAAACAACTCAAAATTAATGAGGTAATGGTGAAGTTTCTTGCATATATTTTACTTTAATATGCAGCTTGTCAGGATTTTTGCTGAAGTTTCTCATACACCAGGAAATGATATGGGTGGGGAACTGGTCAAGGCAGTTTTAAACACATCTTTTCCATTTATCCAGACCATTCTGAGGTTACTTAAACCACTGTCAGCCTCTCAAATTGTTTACGCTACTCTGAAAGAAGGGAGACAACTGAGTTTGAGTTTTGTTTTGTGTTGATGATTTTTATGTAATACCTAGGGCTGTATTGATAAGACATGGCTGTGATATTTCACTTCTCCAGATGATATATTTTGATATGATTCGAATCTCAATTCAGTACATATATCTCAAAAGTCATATCATTTCCCTTTCTGCAGGTAAATCACAACCTGAAATCATTTTTTTAAAGTTTCGGTCAGCTAAGTTGAGATATTGTAAAGGAGAAACATTGAGTTTGGGGGTACTGTGAAGATTCTGCTATCTATAGTCAACAAGGAAATACTCGAGAATTTGCACTAACTGCTTCTTGAACAGTTTCTTTTATTTTTCACATTTTTTACCAATATATGTATGTTGACCTTGTATACATTGCAATACAGCTGTAAATGTATGTATTGTATCAGGAGCCTCACAGGGTTCGTGTTAAGATATGGCAACCAGCTTGCACCAGGTGCAACTTAAGATAAAAACCTAGTTGCTCCAGCCAAATTCCAGTTGCACTGCTTTTATTGCAATATGTAATAAAAGAAATGCACTGTTGAATTATTCAAAGTTTAGAAGAAAAATGAGTTGACATCATTATGTTTATACTGTTAGATTTATTGTTGATTTATTTCTCAAAAATTTACCTGCACCAGGTGCAGGTTCGACAAATTACTAGGTTGCACTTTGTAATTATGAGTTGCACCAGTGCAAGTAACAAAGCACTAAATCGGGCCCTGGCCTCATTTACAGCACTGTATTGCCATATATCATTACACCACTAGTAGACCGCCTCCGTGGTGTAGTGGTTAGAGCGTCCGCCCGGAGAGCAGAAGGTCGCGGGTTCGATCCCCGACCGCGTCATACCAAAAGACGTTAAAATATGGTACTTATTGGTCCCTGCCTGGCGCTCGGCATTAATGGATACAACAAGGACTGGTCGGCTCGGAGTCAGTATAATGTGTCTGAGTGGGGTATTCATGCTTCACTGCGGCATGGTATCTCAGTGGGCTAGCACTATAAAACCAGCTTCAGTCTTGGCTAGTACAAGCAGCCGCACATACACATACACACGCATGTCGTCATATGAGCGAAATATTCTCAAGCACGACGTTAAACCCAATCTCACCTCACCTCACACCACTAGTAATTATGGTCAGTATATAAACCTCTCAACATACCACATGTTAGTGGAAGATGTTATAATGTGGCCCATCTGTTTCAGTTTGAGCGGTATGTGATCATGCAGAAGGAGAGGAAGAAGCAAGGTCGACCTTATGCTCCAACACCGGCTCCAGACGTAGCGGGAATCATTAACTGATATGGAGCTGACTTGTTAGGGTGTTGAATGTTTGCCTGTTGTATAGAATGTATAAAATACTGGAAATAAATGAATATGAGACATAAACACTGTCATGGTCTTAACTAAGTAATTGTATTGTTCAGAGTGAGTTAGTGAGTTTAAATACACCAGCACTATCTTGGCAGGGGGAAACCAGAATGGGCTTCAAACATTGAACCCTTATGGGCATTCCACATGTGGAGTGAACACTTTAACTGCTGGGCTACTCCACTCCCCACTATATATATACAATTGCATCAGTGACCCCATGGTGTAAGGTGCCACTTGTTGCCATGATGCCAAGTGGTGCCAGAACTTGCTGGGAAACATAGAATGACAAGTCAGCCACTGTATAATATTGGGATTTGTTGTCGCAACCCCAGAATGTCAGTTATATCAGGGGGTGGGGGGATTACCAATGAGTGAGTATGCCACTTTTAGCAATATTCCAATAATATCAGGGTGGGGGACTCCAGAAATGGGCTTCACACAATCACTGGAATTATGTAGGGAATTGAACCCATGTCTTTAGTGTGACAAGCGAACACTTTTACCACTATGCTAACCCACCGCCTCCTATGGCACAAAAGAAACCATTACTTAGTGATATCTTGAGACCATGCCCTGACAATATATTGTAACAGAAAATCAGTGTTGCAGCCTGTAAACAATCTCTACTGCACCGCACAGTCTGGTGGCTGATATTGTGAGCACCGATCTACACCATTTTGAGTACAATGACGTAATATAAACACACACACCACGCAGTCGGATGTCGGAAGTGTCTTGGTCCGTGACCTACCTGGTTATGTTCAGCATTAAATAACGGTACCCATGCAAAGTTGGAATCCTCACGGGGGCGTGTTTGCAATACTGTAATTGACCACTTGGCCATCATAGCCTGCTGCCACCTGCATGCAGACTTTAAAATCTACAGGCCCTGAATGAAATCTGCCGGCCCATTTTGTTTTGGTCAAACCAATAAAAAACAAAATAGACTACACTGTACACAGATTCACATTGTTTCTACAAAATCAATAAGCGAATCCTATGGCACACACAGAAGTTTTTATTTATTAAAGACTGGTGTTTACATTCCTATGTGCTAAGCCCTGAAATACCAGGAAGTGAAACAGTAAGTTATCGCAACATGATGGATCATATATTCACGAACGTTAATAAAGAAGAAAATATGGGAAAGATTCCACTCGGAAAAAAAACAACCTAACAGATAATTTACTGAAGGCCACAAGGGCCTGCAAATATCTGAAACTGCCGGCCTGATACAATAGCAACCGGCGCTGGGCCTCCGGGTCGGCGGTTATTTCGAACGCTGCACAGGGGACCAGCATAGGTTGCTGGGCATAGGCGTATCCAGAAATTTTCAAAGAGGGGGGTACACCTTGGCTCCGCCATTGCAAAACATTCACTTCAATGTGGTCTTTAGTCATTTTCAGAGGGGGTGGGGGGTGTTTCGAACCCCCTGAACCCCCCTCTGGATCCGCCACTGCTGGGTATCTTTGGAAATGGGTAACTTGGAATCCTGAATTGTGGTGAGTTTATCAGGTGTCAAAAACAGTAATTTTAATATGTCTCTAAACATCCGAATGATCTAGTGGACAGAGTTTCTTAGTAGCTCTGAGAGCAGTAGATTGGAGAGTGAGTGAGTTAAAGATTTACTTCGCGTCAGCAGTATTTCAGCCATATAGCAACGGAGTGGAGTTGGAGCCTCGTTCATCACACCAACAAACCTTATAAGATGGTACTTGTTGTTAACCAGCCTGGTGATCGGCATTATGAGAATAGAACATAGACCGGTAGGCTTGAGGTTAGTGTACTTATAAGGGTTGAGAGGTATGAAACTGGGTCATAAGATCTCGGTGAGCTGGTACCTATTACAAGTCAACGAGACACACGAACGCACGCACGCATGCACATTCACCTCATATTGTGGCAAACGGTTCCGGGTTGTTTCTGCCCAAGTAGTTTCCCCCGGGTCGTTTCATCCCAATTCCAAACTAGGTCAAATCATCCACCCCCCACCCCCGCCCCCTTTTTGCCTTGAAAGTTTATTAAATAACCATTGAAACTCGGGTGAAAATGAAGTGTGCACCCTTCCTTTTCTCAAAAGTGTGCACCCCCCTTACCGAAAAAGCTGTATCCGCCCCTTTACTGCTCTTATAGACCCATCTTTTATATACTTAATAACCTCTGGGCACAGTACACAAGTTCATTCCTGTCCAAAGGCAGCTACAGTGCACTCTGTCAAACTCGGACTCTGTCAAACTCGGATTGCTGTATAAACAGGACCGAACTTACGGTCCCGACGTAATCCTTCTTTGTTGTCATAATGAAAAAGTTCTGTACCTCGGACTCTCATTATTTCGGATTTCGTACCAAAGTGTCAGCCCGATAACGTAGTTACACGTAAAAACATTGCTATATAATACAGGCTGAGCAGGAAGTTCGCTTGGCCAATAAACCTTGAATAAACAATCTGTTTATTGGTTTGTGTATTTTGTCTCATTTACCTGCCCGGAAGTCCGCTTGGCCAAGACCCCTTGGTCTAGCGGTGAACGCTTATTTACGTTTACGTTTGATGCGATTATCACTGAAGGACGTCATCCGATCCAGTACAGCCAATATGAAACTGATACAATTATTCAAACAATCTGAATATGCTGTTTCGACGCTATACATAGATGAATAAAATATTGAAACAATTTTATAGTTGATGATAATAATAATTAGTTTGCTGGGGTGAAACAACCTCTAAATCGGGTGAAAAAACCCGGGTGAAATGACTTGGGGTTAAACTGCTGGGGTGAATGTGTTTGGGGTGAAATAACCCGTTATCGTGGCAAACGTTTAATTATAAACGATACATTTCCAAATACACTAACAGAATCACGACAATATTATTATTTGTTGTAACTAAGAAAAGACATTTTTAAGGACAATATTAACTAGGATTGCCTCCTGGGCAATACTGACTGTCTTCAGACTTCCCCATACACTCCCCGTGGCTACCTTCACTTGTACTGTTTCTTTGGACGCCATCTGGAGCGTCCATTACAGTGTTTTTGAGATTAATCTGGCATTGATTCCATGCTGCTGACACAAACGGAAAGTTCACAAACATGAAAGCACAGTCAATCAAAGCAAAGGAATTGAGCAATATATACGGACATATATTAAAAGAGAGATTACTGGTAAATGATGTAGATTTTGTTGTGGTCAAAAAGTCAAGCGTATTCCTGTCACAGTCAGGTTGGTAAACAAACTGCTGGATAGATCGCATCCTGGCAGTTCCAGAACACTAATTGTTTTGACTGTAGACCTAAGAACAACGGAGCTACGGCCTGTTAAAGAGGGAACTATTTCTATGGGCACTGGAAAACCAGGAAGTGGGGATTGTTGCTAACTTTTACTGACGCTTCCTTCAGCTATCTAACCACTAACGAAATGCGAAAAGGCCTAATGTTCGTGTTTGGGCCGTGATTGGGCCGTGGTTTTGACGTACTTATTGACTTTTACATTACAATAATGTGAAGCAAAAATGTCCCCATTCAATTACCTACAGTTTGGTACCTTGAAAAATGAAATCCATTGTGTTTTCGCAGAGCTGTGACATTTTTATGAACCCTATGAAAATGCATTTTGACAAAATTGACCAACTTCCAAAGGCGATAACTCCAAATTTCTTGAAGATATCGACATGCCTTTAGCAATCTAAGTAGTCCCATTACAACGCTATATCACACACGATTGTACTATTTGCCGTTCCGAAGGAAAAGATTATGAAACACAGGCACCGTCAAAACGAGCGGAAATGTAAAAAATGGTAATGTTTGTGTTTGTGTCGTAATTGTGACTTAAGTATTGATTATGACATAATAATAATGTGAAGCAAACATGTTTCCCTTTCAATTATCTACGCTTTGGTACCTTCAAAAATGAAATCCATTGTGTTTTCGGATAGCTGTGACATTTTTATGAACCCTATGAAAACGCGTCTTGGTATAATTGACCAAATTCCACAACCCTTCACGATAGTTTATAGAAGGAGGTGCGCATGAATTTGGCTTCCAAATCATTATAAGGAATTCAAGATTTATGGATGTCAACTTCTTATTTGTGAATAACTCGACGTTTCAGAGCGTATGCTTCCTTTATCAGGTGAATGGTAACGATTATAAGGGGGAGTAGCATGTACATATACTGAGGTACTACAAAGAAAACATGTTTATTTGACAATGTTGAGGCTAGTTATACACATTTATGCTGGACATCTTATGTGATCCATTAACATTTATAGAAGAATAGACCTAACGAAATTAACCTAATATTTAATTGTATAAATATATGATTAACGCCGGTTGAATTAAGTCAGTGTGAGAAATAGTTTTCAAATTTTGCTAGCCATGCTGTCGGACTAGCTATGCCTGAAAGTTACTAGGCCAGAGAATAATTCACTTGTCCGAAATGTGAATGTAGAAATAATCTGAATGTCAGAATGTTATATTAAGCTGCTAATATGATGGACATGTTTATAAGGCCATAATAAAAATCGCTAGCTAGTCTGGCCAGTGGCTGTGGGGATTTACTGGTCCGACTGGGTTTTTACTAGCCACGGGCTAGCGGGCCAGTGGCTATTTCGCTCACTGGTTGAGGTTGATGCAGAAGAAGACAGTTGTTGTAGGAAATGAGAGCTCCGCGATTGTGCCATCCCTGTGGGGAGCTTGAACGAGCCATTGGAAGGGGAGGTAAGTCTTTAATTTTCCAAAGGGAGGTAAATGATACTAGGATTTATGTAGAAGGGGTAAGGATGGCGGCGAGTTCGGAAAGAGACGAGGAGGGCGAGTCGGCAAGGTTGTTGACATTTCTTGATGAGGCAGAGAAGCGAGTGGAGAGTTTCCGGACACAGGCTGTGTATCTGATGCAGGAGAGAGCGAGTTTGTTGACAATCCTTCAACAACTGAAGGAAGAGAGTCTAAAATGTTCATTGTCCGAGGGTAAGGGTGAAATTAAAAATGAAAGTAGTGCTATTGTCAAAAATGTACGTTCGATTAATTATTAGTGGTGGGAATCGGTTGAAATTTCATAATCGATTATCGGTTGCAATCGGATTGTCCCATCCGATCAATGATTGATTGTACAATCGGTTTCACTAATTAAGAATTAAATATTTTGTACAACTTGTGCAATTCCCAGGTAAACATTTTCACACTCTTTTACAATACTGCAATACTGTATATTTGTCTTTTTTAAAAATAATTTTATGTCATAATAGTGAGCATTAAATGAAATATGTCAACTTTTGTGGTTGGTTTCTGTGAAAAGCGTGACTTGGGGCAGCAACTACAAGAACTTAAAAACTCCTGAATATAATATTTTCCATAAATTTTAATTGTCACTTGAGGCAAAGTTGTACAAACTTACAAACAACCCAGGTCTACACTGATCAACAAAAAAATGTGTACAAAAATAAATATTGACAGACTACCAAGATATATAAAAGATGACTGTTCAATTCACTCTTTTGCTGATTTTACACAAACACAACAAATCCTCTCATTTTTTTCCAAAGTTTTGACCCACTTTTTACACTAATGTATATCACCATAGATAAGCCGAATTTTGAGGACCAAAAATAGCAGTCTGTAGAAGAGGGTCGGCTTATCTGTGGGTTCTGCTTTCGTCAAACTTTTTTCAGGGGATAAGAAAATGACATTGTATCGCTTTACATGAACAGATGGACAAGAGAAGATGACTTTGTCAGTAAAGACGTCAAATTTCAAATTGCAATTAAACATCACTAGACAAGAATATTTACCTTTTCAGTTCTAATTTGTTTTGCTAGGCATTTTATTATATGCAGAGAATAAGATTATGTGTATTTGGATCGTATGTAAAGCCAGAAAAGCAATCAGCCGTGCACACATCTCCCAGTGATCTAGTTAAAACATACTCAATGATGACTCAACGACCGGGAATAATTCTGCTGCAGTGATCGGTAAAATATAATATCTAAAACTATTATTTTACCAAGAGAAATATATATTATGTTGTGTAATTTTACTTACAGGTTTTGCTCTATATAATATGTAAAATATGTATAATCTAAGGTTATACGGACCCTCACAAACATGGCAAGCAGAAGTTGAATACACATGGAATGAGGTAAAATAAGCATGCCATTTCACACAGGTTTTCACCGATGTTACTATAAACTAGGGCCTCCATGGATGCCGATAATCTGTTCGTGATTGTTGAGAATAATCTGAAACTGAAATTGGTGCTATCGCGGTTGGAGCGAAAAGCGCACCCTCATGAACATGGTAAGCGAAAGTTGTATGTGCATGAAATGAGGTGAAATACACATGCCAGTTTGTTGTGATCGCCAGCTACAATAAATATGACATTTAGCAAAACAAAATATATATGCGTATCCATTTTCTGTCTACTACACTTCATTTTGAGTAGGTGCAATGTGATTGTGATTTCTGTGAATAATGCGGATAGAAGTTATAATTATTGGTGACTGCCAGTTGTCTTGTGGTGTGAGTTGGGTGTTCATATTAGCGACAATCGATTATGAAATTTTGCAATCGATTATCGCATCGGAAAAGGGTAACCAATCAATTATCGATTATAATCAATCATTGGAACACCACTATTAATTTTCTCTGTGATTTTGTGTCAACACAAATATGAGCTCGGTTACAGTATGATGGATACAGAATCAGACGTGATTCGGTAACAAGTCGATATAATACTGATAAGCCAAGGTGATGATAATATCGTAGGATACAATTACCCAAAGGAAACAGATCACTGGTAGGGCTAACAGTAACACGTATTTGTGTGTAGTAATCATCCAGTTGTTTAGGAACAAGTGGGTATGGAATTTTCGATATTTTGAGATATTTGAGAGCGCCATAAAAGTTCGTGTATGAATCTAAATGAGTGCTGACTGTCCAGTTCCCATTCCGACCACTTACATACCAGTATGAATTCAAAAACAGTTTTATAGGATATTGGGATCTCATAAAGTTGTATAATTCCATTGATTACTGCCCTCTCTCAGTTTTGATTCATTTCGACCTCAATATCAAATCAATAACATGACTGCAATTAGAACAAATTTAGCTGGAACTCATTGCAAATTATTTGGTCCCACCATAGTGTCATGAACATTTTGATTCCTTTGATCATGTTGAAGGATATTTATGGTGTTATTCAACAGGTGATCGCCAGCAGTTCCTAGCCAACATAGACCGTCTCCGGAAGCGATCCAAGTCAGCCACAATTGAAGTAAATACAGTCCGAAATGAAACACAGGAGGAAGCCCTGAGTAAGATCAATGATATTCTGGACAGATTACAGGGTGAGTTTGAGGAGCAGCCCGAGAAGTGTTGGAAACAGCTTCAGATCTACTACAATACATGCCTTGCAGAGAGTAGTGGGGCAGTGGACCTGCGCTTCCAGAACCTTGTGCTTGACTGCACTGTGGATGATCAGAAGAATCTCCGACGGAAACTGGACAACTGGCTTAGGAACCAAGATTTCAAGTCAAATGGAACATTATAGCAGTTTGTGTGAATGTCATTGAATGAGAGGACCTCTGACAAAAAGTGGACAGCTAACTTAGAATCAGAGAGATCATGTCAAATGGAAGATTGTAGCAGTTTGTCTGTGTGAATAATTAATAGGACCTCTGACAAAAATTGGACAGCTGACATAGGATCCAAGAGATCATGTCAAATGGAAGATTATAGCAGTTTGTTTGAGGATGGATAATTGGATAAAAGTCAGCTGGACAGCTGCTATTTTATGACAGTTTTTGTGTCTGGTCACTGAACAAGGGCTGTAATGGTTAAACTGTGCATGTCTTATTGTGAGGTGACTAGTGGTGGTCCGATTAATTGAAATAATCGAAGATTGGTCGCAGTGACTAAACGACCAAGCAATCGAACATGTTTTCTCATAATCGAACGCAACCAATCTTGGAACACTTGTTTGCATCAACAACATTTTTCACAAAGTTGCTTTTGTCTGTGTCATTAAATTTACATTTCATAAGCACAACAAGCTCGTTCCAAGTCATAATTGAATTTATCTTAAAAAATCCAGGAAATCTGTGTTCCTAACATACTAATAATCCTTTAAATATGCAAAATTTGCAAATGGATTTTGTTTTATTTGCAAAAAAACCCAAATTAATACTTGTTTTTTCATTATTTTTCACAAAGACAACAGGAACATTTGATAAATGACGCTAACCAATTATTTTCGATGATTGATTGGTTGTAATGGACCAATCATCAATTATGAGATTTTAACCAATTCCCAACACTAGAGGTGACACTGTACATTGAAACTGGACATTCGCAATGACATTCTGTCATCAGAGGTTAATCTGAAACAGTTGCTTCAGATACATATCCACAAAATATAGTATTGTGAAATTAATTTCCTTGTTATGTTGCATGTCACTGTCATATATTCTTGCATCATACTGTCACATGACTTCACAATACAAGTAGCATATCATCATGATCATGCCAAAGATGATTATGATGTGCATGTACCCCCTGGTATTCCTTGAATCATCACATCCCATGCTGAGCAAGCAACTTGGGACCAAGCACTTATTCAGCTGCAGATAATTGCAGTGTGTCTGGACCACCATGGAAATGTTCACATATTAAAATGGTTAATTCATAAAAACGTTTTTGGTAACAGTCCTCAGTAGTGTTGGGAATTTGTTTGAAATCTCATAATTGATAATCGTTTCATTATCAACATGCAGTCATCGAAAAAGATTGGTTAGCATCAGTTTTCAAGTTTTCCTGTTCAGGTTGTTATTGCAGATAAGTTTTTGTTTTTTTTGGTTTTATTTAGAAACTGCGCAAATTGCATTTGCAAATTTGACATCCAATGTAAAATGATGCACCTTTCCACTTTAAAGTGATGACATAAACATAAAGATCCTGGTATTCAGTCTTCACTTTTCAGTAAGTGAAGTGAGTTTTCTGAGAAACACGTTTTCAGGCCCTGAAAACTTCTAAGATATGTTCTATCGTCAAGTGTTTCAAACACTATAACAGTAGTTCCAAAATTGTTTGTGTTCAATTATGAGAAAATGTGATCGATTTTTGGTCATTTGGTCAGTGCGACCAATCTTCGATTATTTCAATTAATTGGATCACAACAAGTCCTCAAGCTTAGCATCCTTAGTGGAGATTATACATACTATATTTATCCGTGGTGTGTGATGTGACTTTGCTTTGCTGACAGTATTTTGTTGTACATTTGAAGGGTTTAATATTTTGTATCATCCAACAATCCATTGTTACAACAATGTTGTTTTATCACTCTTGCACCGTCTGTAACACTAATGATTACAGTAACAACTGTTTTATGCAGAGTACACATATTCTGATAGCCTGTCGCTCTTATTCATTCTTGGGGCGGTGGGGTAACCTAGTGGTTAAAGTGTTTGCTTGTCACGCCGAAGACCCGGGTTCGAATCCCCACATGGATACATTGTGTGAAGCCCATTTCTGGTGTCCCCCGCCGTGGTGTTGCTGAAAGCGGCATAAAACCAAACTCAGTCAGTCAGTCAGTCTTATTCATTCTTCATCATGTTCACTACAGACTTTTAAAGGGGAGATCACTCCTGTGTTCCTCTAGTTTACATGGTAGTGAATATATTGCTACCTACAGGAGATATAATTTTAATTATGTCTGGTGATGTTTTATCTCAAATGTCTAGTTTTTACTGACCCAGCTTTTTTATTATGTGTTCATGAATTCCTTGAAATGATGCTGTTTTCCTGCTTTATATATATTTTTCCATAATATTAAATCCTCTACTTGAGAACATACCATACTCAAGAAAGCACAGTATTTGTTTTTGCCTTGATGGATAATACGTCCCTCTCTCAGTAAACCTGTGTATGTGTTTGCTATTAGTTTTAATTACTGAACACTGAACAAATATTCCTATTTCCATCAATTTCCATCAACATGAAATGACATTTCATGTTCCATCAGTACAACCATAGTCTCATTGCTACATTGAAGTCACACTCTCCAACTGTCTCTAACATTGTACAGGACCTTTGTTGTAAACTGACCAGACAGTGTCCATTATACCTAGTGTCATGCCATTAAACTAAGGCTCAAGACGCAGCAGTGGCTGTGATTGGGTCAAGGATATTTATCATCATTATTATAGTGGATGGAAATTCTGTTCAAATCAGTCATGAAACTATAGTGAAGTGAGGTGAAATTGGGTTTAACGTCGTGCTTGAGAATATTTCCTCATATGACAACGTGCATGCGTGTGTATGTGCAGCTGCTTGTACTAGCCCAGACTTAAGCTGGTTTTATAGTGCTAGCCCACTGAGATACCATGCCGCAGTGAAGCATGAATACCCCACTCAGACACATTATATTGACTCCGACCCGACCAGTTGTTGTTTTACCCATTAATGCCGAACGCCAGGCAGGGACCAACAAGTACCATATTTTAGCGTCTTTTGGTATGACGCGGTCGGGGATTGAACCCGCGACCTTCCGCTCTCCGGGCGGACGCGCTCTGACCACTACACCACGGAGGCGGTCCATGAAACTATGGAGGTCCTAGTACTGATATTAGATGTGAAGGAGTTAGGTTAGACCAGTACAATGGCACCCGACCTCAAGAGCTCAGCTAGATATCGTTGTTTCCAGCTACTGGAGATGTGATACACTGTATACTTAGGGAGGAGTCTACAGGTGTTAGATGAAGTAGCATCCAGGATGGATCCCAATAGAGTGGCATGTCTCACTTGTCAATATGTTACAGTCCATCTCGTCCAATCTTACTGGCAAACAAGGATAAGTTGGACCAGCGCAGAGAATGTGTTTACGAGAAGTAGGTGGTGCACAGAATGAGCAAACCCATTTGGTTTGTGAAAGGTAGAGCAGATGTAGGCTAGTGCACGTGCAGTACATGACAATGATATTGATTCCGCGTGTAGCTGCGCGCCTTGCTCATAAGACTGTCATGTAGTCGGTGTAGCACTACACTTGATCGCGGACAACCAGGGTCCCCTTCGATAACAATGGCAAGCGCCAGTGGGCGGCATTCATACATGCTAATACGGGTCAACTGTCAGGTCGGTGCTCAACTTATCGTTGTTTGCCAGGAAGTAAGCTTTATCAGTGTAATCCAAGGATCAAAATATTGCTGTTTTGTTAACATCATAGTTTACGGTTAATCAGCAAAGGGAGAGAACTCCCACTTCGAACAAACATGTGTTCCATGTACATAATAGTTTGAGATCAAAGAAGGGAGTTAACTCTACACTCGCTACCAAATTTACTCCTTGTCTTTTCAATAATGTGATACCGGTATATTCTTGTTGATGTTCACATTTTGTGTTGATCATTCAACATGGTAAGATGAAAATACATGTTTTTGCTCTGATCATTTAACATATTTTTTGTTAGATATATTTTTTTCATTGGTGTATTGATGAAAACATGAAGCTGTGAATCACACATACAGGATACCATGCTGTAATATAATTCTCACAATCAACTAAAGGGGCTTTAACATTGTCCATCTTGCTTCATGGCACTGAAATATGAGCATGTTCACTCTTCATCACTCCTGTGTATTCTAAGAAAATAATTATTTGTTTCACGTAAGCAAACTACTAACAACAGCTCCAGACAATCCTTCAGTGTCAAATATGTAAAATATGGTGTTTCATTTTATAAAAATACAGTAGCACACAAACACTAAGCTTCCCCTTCATATATTTGAGAACTACAGTCAAATCCCGATGAGTCGAATGCCGGTGTCTCGAATATTATGCATAACTCGAAGTACCTGTCAGTCCCGACCATTCCCTGTTATAGTTGTCATCATTTGAATACCGGTTACACGAATTCGTCTCAAAAATACACACGATGACTCGAGAAGGAAATTTGGTCCCATGAGATTCAAACAACAGCAATCTTGTATACATAAGCCGAAGTCAGTCAATGAGAAGTTGGTTGGTGTAGCAAACTGATCCAATTAACAAACCAGCGCGGCTCACACCTTTCCGCCATTGACGGGTGAGTTCAAAAGGCAGATTAGAGATTTTACGGAAATCACTGTGTGTGCTAATCAGACTGGAACTGATAAGGTGCCCCTATTAGTGATAGGGAAATCATTAGATAAACAAATGCTTAGGCGGAGGAATTAGGACTGGATCATCTATTTTTTTACCCTCATAGACATACCTATGTCTCGAATACATTGATAAGTCGAATTTATTACTTTGTCCCCAGCGATCCGACTCATCGGGATTTGACTGTATTTCTATTTTCAAATTAATTAAACTGGCAAATTAATTTACTTGGCATCAGAGGTAAAATACCCAATTCTCATACTGTTACCATATATACGGTTGCTGATCAAGTCTAATCCTTATCAGTGGTAATTAATATGGTTCTCGACATGATATGGCTGAAACTCACTCACTCACTCACTCACTCACTCACTCACTGACCAAGTCCTTTATTTGGTTGTGGCTTTTGATCAGTGACTTTGTCATATATTTTTTCAGGAAGAAGCCCAAATAGCCCTGTTAATGTTTATATTGTTTCCTGGTTATTTCTTGTAGACAGACATTTTATTGATGGTTTTGTTTTCAACAATTCATCTTTATGTATTCAGTAGGTTCTGATGGTAAAGTTATTGTTTCATTTATTCATTAATATGTGTAAAACATTCTTGCCTCTGTGTCGATACTATTTCAAGAGATATCCATACTGTTTTAAGAGATGTCCATACTGCTTTGTCCTCTCCAGACTTGATAATGTGGAGGATGCTGTCATAGTGTGAGTGGGACATTATGCAACAAACAATTGATATTTATTTCTCTTCATTGTATTGATTCCAAATCCAGT